GATCAAGCTTTTACATGGCCTTAAGTAAAAAAGTATCCGAAAATGTCTTCTCAACAACAGAAGGACAATGTTTAGTTATGTTAATATGCTAGCATTCACAGGCAGTGCAGTTTTCCGTTTGTTAAATTTATAGGAGGAAAAAATTTCTGTACTACGAATTATTTTATATATTTATATATAAGAAATCATTTTGAATCTATGTCACAACAGTAATGTAGTTGTCCTTCAATCAGAGCTTCTAAACAGTTTTTTCAAAGCATAAATGAATCACAGAAGTACATATATCAACCTTGATTTTGTCTGTCATTGAAGTAGCAAATTACAATTTTACGACAAAAATTTCCGATATGACAACTAAAGCACTCATATTTTATGTCAAACAGCCTCCGGACAGCGGTAACAATTGTTAGGATTATAAAGTAGTTGATATTTCAGACAGCAGAGCAAATTTTACCTTTATTATAATAGCAAATTAAAAAATTATCAGAAAAATTCAAGTAGTCTAAGTTGCATTTAGATTACTATTAGATTTTCATGTGTCTTAGTTTTACATGTATGTTTAGGGGGAATCATTTTATAGAATTGAGAATGAGAATATGAGCTTAATAGTAGTCATCAGTGGGTTACTGTTTAAAAATAATCTTGCAGCTGATGTCTTTCTTGAATAGAATAAAATGAAAGCAATTAAAACATGTAGCATTAAAAAAAACTTGAAAGCCAAAATGTACGATGGCCGATATCAACCATGTCATTCTACAGTTAAATTAAATGTAGAATGTCAGTGCTATGTACAGTTTGCTTTGTCAGGTTACTCATTGCTTGGGTAAAGTGTGTACACCGAAACTGCATCGCTGTCACGACACTCAGATCGCTCGGAAGATGTGAATTGTATACATGTGTTATTAATTGACGGTTTACTCCTATCTACAATTAAAAATCTTCAAAAACATAAAAAGGAATCCCTGTATCTGGAAACAAAGGGAGGGACACAAAGGGTGCGACAAAAAAAAAAAACACATCTTGAGTTCTGTTTTGGTTAACAAAAAGATATATCAACTCTCCCTACATGTTTAATTATATAGATCACTTTCTTTAAATGAATGTAATTAACAAATTTAATTAAAACTAGTCATATACTTGCAGGATAAGGGCGTATTAAGTTTTTAAAACTTGTACACATGCTATGACGGTACATATTGTCGTTTTGTACATATTGTCGCCGGCGACAATTTGTACCCACCATCAATGCTCATATTGTCGTCCATCGGTACATCGCCGACTGAAAAGTTACATATGTACATATTGTCGCTGGCGACATTATGTGCCTCACCCTCACTGTACATATTGTCGCCCCACAGATATTGCTGTTTAAAGATCTCTTTTGTTGTTTTTTGGTAGTTTTGTGAATGTAATTGGTGTGAGAATCACACTGACGTGTCTCGTATGCTATTTCATGCAGCATGATTGTGACGGTACATTTTGTCGTCCTGTTCATATTGACAATGTGTACCTTCCCTCACTGCGCATATTGTCGTCCATCAGTGTTATTGTATATGTTACGTTAATTATTTAATTATGAAATTTTACCTGTGTACTAAGTATATACAAGTTAAACAAACAGAATTTACCGAAGCAAAAAAAAATAATAATAATAAAATTTAAAAAATCAATCCACCAAGCGAGGGGGGGGTGCTACATCTGTCTTTGGTGTTTGAGAAGATTTTTAAAGATTTTCTGTATATATTCCTATGTAGAACATTGATCACCCATTGTGGCCCCACATGACCCCTGGGGTCATGACTTGAACAGAATTGATTCTGTTTTTATTTGTTTGTTTGTTGTTAAAATGTCCCTCTCGAGAATTTTTCATTCATATTGAGAGGTCACCACTTTCCGGTGGAGGGCTGCAAATTTAGACCTATACTTGGTACTCAGGATCATTGAGCAGTGAGGGATCTTTTTTGTGCAGGCACCTCAAAATTGAACGTACGCTATGAAGCTTTCACATAAGTATCATCTCTTCTGACCCAGTAGTTCTTGAAAAGAAGATTTTGGAAGATTTTTTTTTCTAAATATTCTATGAAAAACATAGATCATTTATTGTAGCCACACCTATCCCCCGAGGGGCATGATCTGAAAAAAACTGAATCTACATTTTCAATGAAGCTTTCACAGAAGTTTAAACTTTTCTGACACAGTGGATGTTGAGAAATTTTTTAGAAGTCACTAACTTTTCACTTATTCTTCACTACTTCCCTTGAAAGAGGGCATGGCTCTTCATTTGAACAAACTTGAATCCCTTTTATGCACGAATGCAAGTGTGGCAAGTTTGGTTGAAATTAACCCAGTAGTTCTTGAGAAGAAGGTAAAATTGTGAATAGTTTAGAGACAGACGGACGGTCAGACAAAATGTGATCAGTGAAGCTCACTTGAACTTCCAGTTCAGGTGATCTAAATATGTTATTTTTTGCGTTATTCTTATATCATTTTTAACAATAAATTATATTTATAATATTATATCGGCACATGATCGTATATAAGAATAACGCAAAAAAATAATCGCTAAATAATCATTACTACTGAACAAAAAAACCATACCTGTATTCAATCTCCAAGTATATGTTACAAGAAAGAAAAGATTAGCTGATTTATCAGATATGTCAAGAATTACGGTATCTATGTATGTCATAGTGATGTACATCAATCCTGGACACAATTTTCTGACCAAACAGTTTTCTCCCTACAGTATTGTGAGTAATGCTGTCTGTTTTCCTCCGTGCGTATGTGTGTTTGTCAATCTCTCTTTCTTTTCTCAGGTAAATATTCAGCAAAACAATATATGGACGACAATATATGCCGACCTTGACTGTACATATTGTCGCCGACGACAATATGTGCTTGTGCTTGACTGTACATTTTGTCGTCCATTTTGCAGGAGGAAAAAAAAGCTCGTCTCGGTACATATTGTCGCCGGCGACAATATGTACCAATGGAAGACAATATGTGCAGTGAGGGTAGGTACATATTGTCGCCGACGACAATATGTACAAAACGACAATATGTACCGTCACACACGCCCTTTTTACATATAAATAACAAAAAATGCGTTGAAATTAAATCAGATTTGTAGGATTGATATACATTTGTATACATGTATTTAACCTTAACAAATTTCAAAATTGAGTGATATGACCAAAAAAAAGAAGTTAACTTTATCTATACGTGTATACTGAATTATCGAATCTTTTGGACAACCTGTTTAACATCAATGTTACTGCACGTTTACGAAGCAACTAATTAATTAACAAACATTAATATATTTGAAAGGCACATGACTGTACTCTGCTTTTTAGGGAAAAACATATCCTTAAGAGTTGAAACGTCTCATTAAAATTGAGATTTATATATTCCTGAGAAACAGTCATTCTCAGAAATTACAACAAATGTGAATTCTGGAATTTTTTAACTCAGTCATTATGAAATTAATATCAGTATTTCATTTCAAAGAAGAATTGGGACAATAGCAAACAAATATTCTTCTAAATGAAATTTGTGGAGATAACGAAAAGCATTCGAGCTCAAAAGTCCATTAAACATTACAAAATAGGAACAGCGCAAACACGGACCTCTAAGACATCAGAGGTGGGATCAGGTGCCATGGAGGAGTGAGCATCCCCTGCCGACTGGTCACAACCGCCTTGTGCTCCTTGTCATGATCGGGAAATAACGGAAAAATCCGTCGGCAATTCAGTGTGTAAATAATGGCCTAACAATTGGTATGAAAAAAGTCAGTCAGCATTTGACTTAATGATAGATTGTATTTGCTGACAAGGTCATTGTATCGACCATAGAACTTACGAAATGATGACTTTAAACGAGACTGCTGATATTCTTGTTTCATCAACTTGTTTGTCAATAACTTATCTCGTTTTCGAAATTGTTCATACGTAGAGCATGCTCTGGCGTATCGAATCAACTGAGAGATATAAACTCCGTATGCACATGATAAGGTTATATTGCTGCATAGGTAAGAGAAGTTGACGATTGAATATTATAGGTTTGGCCTCATATATCTTTTATCCTACCAAAGGTTTTCTCTTTCATATTAAAATTTTATTGCCTCCTTGACCATATTTTCAGTCCCTTCTGCTGTTTCCAGATGCAGGGATTTGTTTTTATATTTTTGCAGATAGGGGTAAATCGTCAATTAATAACAAATGTATACAATTCACATCTTCCGAGCGATTTGAGTGCCTTGACAGCGATGAAATTTCGGTGTACACACTTTACCCAAGCAATGAGTAACCTGACAAAGCAAACTGTACATAGCACTGACATTCTACATTTAATTTAACTGTAGAATGACATGGCTGATATCAGCCATCGTAAAAATGTCCTTTGCAAGAATGGAAATACAAATTCTCTATGAGAAAATAAAACTGAGCTCCTGTAACTATGGAAAACAAACTATCGTTCTCATTATTTTTTTTTTTAAATTAAACACATTCTGCCAACTTTATTCTAGCAAAATTTTTTTATGCAAATGGTTAAGTGCTTTATGTACTAAAATTCCAAAAATACTTTATACATATTTGTCTGGTTTTCAATGAAAATCTTTAAAAAATGTTTAGAATTAGAATTTTATTTTAAACCTTTAAGTTTCATGTTTTATGAATAGTAATCAAACGATATATTTACTGTATGCTAAAATATTGTGAATTCACCGCACTGCTTTTTTGATCCAGATATGAATGTGTTTTCTATTTACATTTGTATATATCAAATGATTTAATGTAATGGATTATTTGCAGCAATACTTATTGCAAATTGTATGTGTACATGTTAATATTTTATCATTAACAACTACAGGTATATTTAAAATCAGTCCACGTGACCTTAATCACCTGAGAGTTTGTTTACTACGCGCACAGGATGTACATAAAGCGCGATTATCGACAAAACAAATGTTGAATGATCTACTCTTCCTGAGGTGTCAATGAATTTTTTTTTTCATATTGTCAACTTTATGAAATGAAGAATGTACATATTTCCTGTTGATGTGTCAATGTACTTTTCCATGGTGTGATCTTCATGTAATATGAAGAATGTGCAAATTTACCACTGACTCTCATACTTACGAACATTATGTCGGTACGTGAACGCAATGATGCGTTGAACGTAACAGTTCAAAACGATGGCGGAGCTGCAAGCAATGAAGGACAACCTTTTCTTACTAATAAGGAGAAAAGTAAAGTTAAAACTTACAAAAGACGATGGTACGTTCTTGCTGTGTTTGGTTTAGCCTCCTTTCTACAAGCCGCCGTCTGGAATACGTGGGCAACTATAACCAAGTCAGCAGAGGTGGTATTTGGGTGGGAGGACAGTCAATTTGGAATGTTTGTCAACTGGGGAAATATTGCATACATCATCACTGTTTTCCCAGCCAGCTATTTTATGGACACAAAAGGTATATATATAACATGCATAAATTTTCTTGTCGGAGTGAAAGGAAGTTATGTATTCAGAAAATTGTCGATTGCACTCAATATTTCCTCCGGTGTTTTCATGTTTTAGAAATAGATAGCAATATTATGATAAATGAAACATATAAAGCAGAAAAAATTGTGTGCAACAACTGATAATGGACTTTGTTTGAATAACAGGCAAACGTAAATGATAAAGATTTCTCAATGTTGTAACTATCCAAAGATAATCTATCTCATTCATATATATAAAACCTTACTCATATAAAACTGAACATAACTTAATGAGGTAGTAAAAATAGCTCAAGTTCAATGTTGGACATTAATTTTTCTGCCTATGAAGGCTATTAGAATATATGAATTATGCATAAAATATCAAATTAGCTTTCTTATACTACTTTACTTTTGTTTTACAAAAGGCTTACGGGTTTCTATCCTGATATGTACAGCGTTGATTCTGAATGGTACAGGAGTCAGGTGTATTACACATGAACCTATTTACGCCACGTGGTAGGTATGTTAACAGCTACAACGTAATATAAATTTAAAATGTGTTAACATGGTTTGTGGAGTAAATCTGCACCTTCTAAACACTAATTGTCACTTTATTTTTAATCAAAATATTTACTCGTAGATGATTTGATTGACCCATTCTGTAAAAACAAATCAATAGCAACTCTCCAAACAAACTCTGAATACCCAAATCCCTGTGTTGAGGTATGTAGGAGAATAAGCAAATTTAGTATTAATTTGGACTGCATACCAGCTTTGCTATCTTTTTATTAAAGTTTTCAAACCAATTTGAAAATATTAATATAACTACATGTACAGTAACTGTATAAAACATGAAGAATAACTAGTGCATGTAATTATATAATTTAATCATTTTTATTTTTTATTTCTACATTTTAGGCTCAATTTTTCCCCCTGAATGACAAGAAGAAATCAATTATTTCATAATTTACAGTCATACTGGAAAAACTTTGATATCAATTAAGCTAAATACTCTATTTGTGTAGAAAACAAACTCATTCCTAATATTAAATTGATAACAGATATAGATCAAACGAATTATTTCTTGGTATAACAGGAAATAATTCTTCATATTAGACAAAGGCTTTCTTCGATCGGAAATTTAAGATTGATTCTGTTCAGTATTTTCACATTTTCAGGTTGATGAATTTATGTGCTATTTTGAATGGAATGGCTGGAACTGTACCAGGGGCAGGACCTGCGCAGGTCGCAAACACGTGGTTTCCGCCAAACCAGAGAGCAAGTGCCACAGCTGTAATTTACGTATGCAATTTCTTAGGCTCAGCCATGGCATTTCTCATTGGTAAACATCAGTTTCAGCCTTAAAAATCAAACCAATAATGATATTTTTTTTAAATTAACACGATTGTTGTACCATTTCTTTTTGTTGTGTATTTTTTTTTCTATATTTTAGGACCACAGCTGGTTGATTCACCAAAGTATGAAAGTAAAACTCATTTCCAAAATTATACACCTACTATCATCAGGTATATTCTTTTGATCTGTTACCTGACATATAATTCCAATTAATAGATTTCCTTTCTGATCATATATAAAAAAGTATATGTTCTTTTTGTTTTCAGCTTAGCAGAGAATCTAGATGTAACAACAACAGATAATTTTAGAAACGCATCAAATTCATCTCTAGGTATATAAAAAATGATAAAGACGACAAAAGTTTGTTTTTCATTTAATTCATTATGTATTTTTGTGTGTTTTAAACAAAATTGGATTGAGACAACTTCATATAAAGCATGTCAGTCCGATATTATGCAAATGTGAAAAAAAAAGTAAGATCTATTCTCATTGCAGAATTGGTTAACTTTACACATATGCGTCAAGACATTATGCACTTTATGTATTACGGTAAGTAATTTGAAATATATATAATACAACAGTAAAAAAAACTTTTCTTGAAGATGAAATTAATATTATATCGCACATCAAATCACACCACTCCTTGCATTTTTGTTCTTAATACATAGACTTCCTTTCCTTATATTCGCTGCAACCTTTGCTCTAATATTCCAGCAATCACAGTATTTCACATTCTCAAATCCTGTAGCATTTTCCAAAGTTGCTATTAAAATGTTGACAATGAACATTATTAGAATGTCTTGATTTAGAATTTCTTAAAAGTATTTTTTTTAATGTTGATCAGTCCTGTTAAGATTTTCTACCAATTCTATAAATGTGCTTTACAAACGAAAAACCAAATCAGAGCATTCATTAAGAAAATGAACAAAACTTATTCAATTCTTGATTGTTTGAGTTTTTTTTAACCGTATCGTAGTATAGAAAACACGTCCATAACACACTTTTTGAACCAAATGCATTACATAACTACATGTCTCTTTTTTCGTAATTTAATGCTTGTATACGTGATATATCATCAATAATTGCAAAATTTTTTAAAATATCTTGACGATATATAATATACATGTATATGTAGTTTTAAAAAAAAACGAAACATAGTTTAAAACATCTCCACTTCAACTTTCAAAACACCATTTGACCAACATTTCCAATAAAGAACTGCACTCTGATCAAAACTTTTTTCTAAACTAATATCAAAATAATCTCCAAACCTTGGGTATAGAAATAGTTAATAAATATTTTAGAAGATTTTGGTTTTAAAGAATAATGTTTTCCCTTTTAGAATTTGCTGTGGCGGGACTTTTATTTTTAGGAAGTCTTTTAATGCCATCAAAACCTCCCACTCCACCAAGTGTGTCAGCTTCAACACAGCGTGTTGAGTATAGGAAGGCTTTATTGAACATTGTTCGGTAAGAGATCAAAATTTAATGAGTTTAGTATACTTTTGTAAACAATTTATATAAACATTTTTGAAAAAATAGTTATGCTGATAGACAAAGGTGCGAACAAGAGCAAAATTGTTCTAGTTTTTGTATTCATTATTGATATTCTACATTGTAGTACTACATTTCTTCATTTTTTCACAATACACTGCTCCAATGCGACAAGGCATGCTATGAGTTAAGTTTTTAGAGACCAATTTTGGAATTAAGTATTAATGCATCTCGACTCCTTTCCTTTTTTTAAAGTCGCTGGCATATTTTGACCAATGTTCTTCTTTAATCGACCTCAAAGATTTCAAACTTTGTTTTTATCAAGGGAGTGTTTTGAGTAATGTGAATTAAACTATTATTTTCAAAAATCGTTCAAATGAACTCAAAAATAAACTTGACACTCTTCGTTATATTTATTTTTCAACAGAAAGAGAGTTCGAAAGATGTTACTACCATGTGTGTTTGTTTCAGAACATGAGAGAGTCTCTTAAACACAATGCATTTTCTACTCCTATGCACCGGGGAAACAGTCCTGGTTAAAATCCACATGAAAAAATTCTAAAAAAGTCGAATAAAGAAGACCCTTGCTCAAAACAAGTCAACAACTAAAATAGACATGTGATGAACACTCCAGTGTGAATGGAATCTAATTCAAGAAACGTTCCCAGAAAACTTTATTTATAGCAATCAGAGTGGTATTTAGGCTTTTCTCCATGCCAAAGGAGACTAACATCCTGCTACAAATTAAAATATCATTAAAGTTTACAAAAACTACGGTAAAGTAACAAAATTCATCTTATACTGTGTTTGCATCTTTTTGTAGCAGCAAAACATTTCTTTAAAAAGAGGGGTTTTTTTTATTTTCACAAAAGTGTGTTAGATTTTTTTGTTTGTTTATTTGTTGTTTAACGTCCCTCTGGATAAATTTTCACTCATATAGAGACGCCACCACTTGCCGGTGGAGGGCTGCAAATTGGGACCTATACTCGGCACTCAGGGCCATTGAGCAGTGAGGGATCTTTTTCGTGAAAGCACCTACTGTGACATGGGATCTCAGTTTAAACGGTCTCATCCGAAGGATCGGTCTCCGCGTCCCGCACTGGGATTCGAACCCGCGGAGTAAGGATTAGCTCCTTACACCGCGACTCTAGAGAAGACGCTGTAACCACTGCGCCACGAGGGCGACGTATGTTAGGCTTAATAAAACGTTTTTGTAGTGTATGAGGATTTTTTTTAGAACCAAATACCATATTCCTTAGTCTAGCTACCCCTGTTTAAACAAATACATGTATGATAATTCTCATTATCTAAGTTAGACTTTGATTTAAAGCTAAATGTCACAATCTCTGTGTGTTGTTATTTCTGCTATTCTTCTGTCTGTATGTCTTTCTTTATCTTGACAGTTGCCGGAGAGTTATATCGAAAAGTTGAGATGTTATGAGATGTTATGCTACAATCATGGCAAACATTATATCTCTTCTAAAAAATAGCAATTCAATGCAATTTTTAGATGAATGCAACAAAATTTCGGAAGGCACACTGATCAAGAAAAAATTGATTTCCTAAAAATTCAATCAACTTTATATATTGATTGCAAGATTTCAATAATGTTTAAATTGGATGAAACAAGACGGCCAATTATATTGGTTTTTCAGGTTTAATCATCTAAAAATGCATCCTGCAAACAACGCATGTCGTTTTTGAAATATTGTAGTGTTCATATATTCATATAATTTATCAAAAAAAAAAAATATAGATGTAAGACAAATGTAATCATTTCTTTTATCTGGTAAGGAGCAAATCAATGTGGTGTATAGGACTGGTCTATGGTATACCAGTATATGGAGCCTGGGGATCGGTCCTTGGTGTTATTCTGAAACCTGTAGGAATTGGACAGGTAAGAATAACCATAAATTGTGCGGCATCAGATAACTTTTTTCGAAAAAAAATCAATTTCACCAGAGAAAGTGTCCTTATTGTTCAACATGGTTGGCCGGGAAATACCAGTATTTCCCTTCCTGGTAAATACAACAATACTCGTTTATAAAGAACTCGCTAATAAGGAAATTTCGATTAAAAGAAATTTTTACAAATCCCGTAGAAGACTTTTACTGTGTTTAACTGTGTTGCATAAACGAATATAGAGCATCTCGGTTTTTAGGAAGCAAAATTTGAGGTCCACGTGACTTCCTTAAAATCGTTTTACTGTACTACAAATTTTCTATGATCTGAAGAATATTGGGAAATACTGAGAATTATAAGTTAAGGTTTCTTTATTTCTTCAATGTTATATCAAATTCTTGAATAAAATATAGAAAGTAAACATGAAAACATAAAATGTATAGCATTGAACATGTCTTAAGGAGTCCAGGTCCCCTACCCATAATCATTCTGCAGCAGAGTATGTTTCCATGGCTGTATGTTAAGAACAAAATTCAAGTTTTCTAACTGGAGTTTGTTTTTAGCTTTGTAAAATTAAGAAGTTTATCAATTATAAACACAAGAACAAAATAAACTTGTTTTAATCCTTCTAAGACCGTGGTTATTACAGTCAAACATGTTTTTTTTAAACAAATTGGCTCTTAATTGACAGTTTTTGTTCCTGTTTTGAGAGATAATTACTTGGAGAAGAGCTGAAGGGCCTCTTCGTATATGTGACATTTACACCACACTCTAAATTTAACAAATTTCTCAGATCCTTCTTCAGTTAAAGTTTATGGAACTTTACACAGATACACTAACTGTTAAAATGTTATGGCCAAGGTTAAAGTTTTTCAAGTTCAAGGTCAAAAGGTAAAAGTTTTTGATATCCAAGGGAAGGTCTTTTCACAAGGCATACACATGTGAAGTATGAGAGCCATAGCAATAACTGTTTAAAAGTTATGGCCAAGGTTAAAGTTTTTCAAAAGTAGGTCAAACTCCAAGGTTAAAGAGTCAAAGTTGTTGGTATACGAAGAAAGGCCTTATCACAAGAAATACACATGTAAAGTTTGAAAGCCCAAGCACCAATTTTTCAAAAAGTAATGGCCAAGGTTAAGGTCTCATAAAATTTTGCAAAAGTGGGTCAAACTCCAAGGTCAAGGTCAAAAGGTCAAATATGATGGTACCGAAAGAAAGGTCTTGTCACAAGGAATACACATGTGAAATATGAAAGCCATAGCTCAAACCAATCAAAAGAAAAGTTGTTGGCAAGGTTAAAGTTTTTGCGAACAAACAGACAGTCAAACAGACAGGCAGACTGACAGACAGATGAACGGACAGGGCAAAAACGATATGCCTGCGAATCTTCGATTACTGGGGCATAAAAAACTAGACAGTTAATCCTTAATGCATTACAAGATAGCCAAGGATTTTTAACTAGGGACGGTGATTAGATATTAATGAAATATATAAGTATAGATGTAGCTCTTCCTTATTTCCTAATATTTAACAAGAAATATCCGTATTTCCAACAGTCCTGGGAAATATGAATACTCCTGATTTTTTTGCCAACCCTGCTACAATTTAAGAATTATTATTTTAAATGAAATATTGTTCGAATATTTTAATTTTGTATGAATGCCGATTCTGTTAAAGTTGATGACTTACTATAGATTCATTTTTATCCTTTTTAATCTGTCCTATTTTTTGGTTTAGACAGAGGTTGGATGGATTGGTTTTTACTCAATGATAGCAGGTTGTGTTGCAGGTCTAGCAGTTGGAAGGTAATCCATGAATTCCCTATGATTTTTACTTACCCATTTTTTTAAATACTCATGGATAGTGTGGCTAACGGAATAGCCAATAAGTTATATTGAAATGCAATACTGTTTATAGTGCAAAATTTCTTATGGAACTTTTAGATTGTCAAAAATGCAACCTTCACAAAATGATTTTTTAATTTTAGATTTTCTGATATGTTCATGAAGCATATGAAACTTATTAGTATGGTAATGTTGGCTGCGGCTGGATTATCATTTTTATGGTTCACACTTTTGAGAGTCAAGATTATACCGTTTTCCACAGGTAGGTTATATGACTGAATATTCTATTTCTAGATACATGTACATGTATGCTACTACACTTATGAGCACCTTTGAGCCGATAAGAAGAAAATATGATGCATTAAGATATGGGGACCCTCCATCTTATTTTCTAGATAACACAAAAGACTACTGTAGATCACTAAATTTTCGCGACACTTTATTTTCGCGAGATAGTCATTGACTCTATTAGCGAGACAGAATATTCACGAATTTTGGTTATTGCTCTATATAATCTTTAGGAATACTAATATACATGAAAATGAAATTTTCGCGAGCACATTGTGTCGCGTAATTACGCCAAAATAAAGTCCTCGGGAATAAAAAGTGATTTACAGTATTTGTTGATATAATAAAGACAAATTTCTGTCTCTATGGTAGTAAGTTTTCTATAATCTCTTGAAAACTGCTTATGTGTACATATAGTACAGAAAAATTATAATTTACAAAATACAATGTACATGTATATCATAAATTGATAAAGATAATTAGCCTAATTTCTTTAGATAGTGTCAAATGTAGGGGATTTGCGATTATTTTTTTAAAAGAGGACAAAGGCTTGTTCAATTTTAAATATTGAATTTATGGAGAGTAAGCTTGCTAATAAATATCACGTATTTTCTTTCAAAACCAAAAAATAAACATAAAAAACAAACGAAGCAAACAAAAATGAAAAGATATAGTATTTCTTAATATACAATAAAATAAAGTAAACTGAGAAGTATTGATAAATAAGTGGTATTCCTTTACATTAATACATTTGTATTTCATTTTATTACTTTTATAGATTCTATTTTAATATTTGCTGAATTTAAAACAAGCTTGTTGTAAATGAATACAAAATCAAATGTGAAAATTGCTAAACTCAAGAGCACAAATAGATGGGATAATATTTAACCTTAATAAGCTACAATAGGAAAATTGCCAGTAATACTTTATTAGTACAAATATCATTTCTGCTTGAACTTTCAGTAAGGCGTGACACCTAGATTCTCATTGGTTAAGAAATTAATAACATTAGCAACTTAAGATTGTTGGTAACAAACAAAGATGACATAAGCCACATCTCTTTACTGTAAGAAACGATGTAATTGGTTCCCTGCGTCACTCGTTGACGTCTGAACCATATTTATTCCATGTGTATTTCACCCGTGAATGAAAAGCTTTGTAAATTTCAGTATTGATGAGCTAATCTGGCAACCAATGAGAATCTAGGTCACTATTTGAGAGACGCTAATTATGTATAGTCGAGAATATCACGCCTTACTGAAAGTTCAAGCAGAAATGATATTTATACTAAATATAAATTACTACCTTTTAAAGCAATATGAGCTGCATTTTTGAGGATTTTATTTTGCCGTTGAATTGTGTTATTATGATAAATTTGTATGTAATTTAAACCTTTTTGATCAATGAGACAGAAATAAAGTATCAAATTGTTTCAGAATAAAGGATTCTGTACAATCAAATAAACAGTATTATATAAGAAATATTGTACAGGACGACAATAATGGAATTTTGCTTCATTCAAAGCTTATAAATAGTTTTTCTATCACAAATATGAACAAGAAGTTTATAAACGTTCTTTTTTCTATCATTGAAACAGTTAATTACAATTTTGCAACAAAAATTTCTGACATCAAAGTTGCAGCTCATATTGCTTTAAACATATGCCTAATGTAAATTTTATTACTTGTAAACAGATCTGACAATGAAATTTGACGTGTTTGTTATTTTATTTTATTAATTGATGAATTAATAGATGAAAGTATATTTGAATTTCAGAGCAAGTTTATGTCTCAATCATTTTTGGAGGGATGTTTTTTAATGGATTCACCCCTCTGTTGTATGAACTTGGCGCAGAGGCAGCTTTCCCCGTGTCAGAAGGGGTAGCGTGCGGATTTCTGACGTGTCTCTCCAGCGCAATTGGAATTCTATATTTATTATTACTTCAAATACCAGATATAGGTAGGTGTCAGAAACAAATAATGAAAACAAGTTTTTTTAATCCAAATGTATGAATAGACATTTACTTAAATGACAGATCTGTTGTTTAGTTTTAATCATTTTTCCTCCAGAATTTTTTTTTTTTTTTTTTGCTGTTTCTTTGAAAAGAAGTTAAAATTTTTCTTCAAAAAGATATGCCAAAAAATTTCAATACTTTATTTCTGAATATTTCTTTGTTTTCTAGGCACAGCCTGGATGAACTGGACATTGGTAGGCAGTATCGGTGTATCTTTGACTTTTCTGTTCATATTTCCAGAGCGGTACACTAGAACTGATATAGATTTGAATGTAAACAAAACGGAGACTGGTCACCCAGAAACAACGACTGTAGTCAAGCAGAATTTATACAAGAATTCATGATAAAAAAATATCATAATGCCTCCATTTTTATCTTTAAAAAAAAACTAGTTGATTCTGAATTCTGATTTCGAGGATCTGGAATTGATATGTATCGAAGATGAATAATTATATTTATGAACAAATTATGGGTCTAGAACAAAATCTCTGATCTAATTTATCGGTATATTTCTCAGTGTCACATACTTACACTTCATAGGAATGCATAGCCAAAGAGAAAGAAGAGATTTAAAACTACCTTTGAAACTGGAGAAAATAAATGAGTAACGTTTTCCTTTACGGAGATTAAAATCCACATGTGGTTCAAATGGATATATTCATATCATCATTTTCCCTGGTACAATGTGATGGTTTGGACCATAGATATTGGTCTGGGTAGCTCAGTTGGTAGAACACCTGACTAGTGGTGTAGGGACCAGGGTTTTCCCGGTCCAGTCATATGTTTCCTCCTTTCCTGTTACATAATTTTTAGTGCCGTGACCAGTATCTCTGAAGAAAAACGAAATAAGTAACTAAATGCAGATTTTAATAGTATAATAAGACCTATATCAGCCCCAAAAGTTGATAGTTTAAGTTCTAGTTAAGGTGCTAGACGTAAACTTATGTCAAGAGTCGATCTTCCCTCTTTGTCCCCTCCTTTGAGTGAGATTATACTGAGTTCATAGATTTCAGATTTAAGACAAGTGCTGCAAGACCTCACTTAAGACTTTAAAAGATGTCAGCGTGAGTTGAAGACTCTTAAACAAAGCAGTCATGGGTCATTTGCAGAAGATAATGATAGAGACATGAAAGAAACTCAGAATGATTTAGCGAAAGAGACAGTGACTCCATAACATAGAGTGAAAGAACAAGAGAATTTGAGTACCTCACCTGCACAAATAAATTTTGCACAGAGTGAGTGAGAATCTGAGTAAGTCACATACAAACATGTCTGCACTGCCCAGTACCGCTGTAAATCTCAGTAGACCTAAGCGTTATAAGAAGAAAAACAGACAAGTTTGATGGAAAAAATGTAGCCTGGGAAGATTACCCAGTTCAGGTGTCTGACTGGAACAATTGGTTTTATGAAGAGAAATCCACTTACCTGGGTTGGTCATTTATAACTAGAGGTTGTTTACAACTTTAAGCCAAGTTTGCTATTTTATTTTTATATTTAATATTTTATTTACTAAAGAGTTCCACTTACGGTTACAACAATATAGGCCTACATGTATAAAAGATGGGTATTTGAAAAGGCCTGGATATTGTTTGATAACATGTTTTAAAAGCATTTAACGGAACATCAAGAAATATATACCTGTATGATGATGTCAAAATAGTATTTTCGTGACGTGATAACTCCAATGTACATGTTCGGTATACTTACCGTAGAAAGTGAATAACATTGATTGAAAGTAAACATCTGCACATATTTTGAACACACATTACCAGAGATTAATAAGAGCTTGAATAAAGCTATACTTAAACTTGACTCCATCATACTTGCTTTGAAGGAGAAAGATTAATATTATTGATTCTGCATGTTATATAAAGATTTCATTGACAGCACGAAGCACAAGCATAAACATATTATTAAGAACACATTGCTGTAACAAATAAAAGCTAACATCACATATGGTGTAGCATTTAAGGAATCACTGTCTAGTTAGTAGAGTATGCCAGGGCATCAACGATAGTTGGAAACGTGGGATAATTTGCATAACGGGCATACTCTACTAACTAGACAGTAATTCCTTATATTTCCATTTCATTGTGAAATAAAATTGTAAGTTTAGATTTTAAAAATGTAGTCTAATAGATTTAAATTACACGAGGCCTCACATGTCAATTTCAATAGTCCCCGCCCATTGACGTCAAACATAAAGACAGCCGCACGAGAATTACATGCATATTAGGCCTCCTTAGAGTCAGACACAAAGACAGCCGCGCGAGAATTACATGCATATTAGGCCTTCTTAGCTCCTGACCTTTCGCTTGGCGAAATTTGCAATCCAGTAGAATGATCAATTCTCCTAACTTTCAAAGAGTTATCACAGAGAAAACAAAAAGAAATGGAAACATATTGCTATATACCTGTACCTGAATTGGTTTTTACCCAGTGATAGCAGGATGAGTTGCCGGTCCAGCATTGGAAGCTAGCACGAATTTGTCGATTTTGTGCAGTTGAATTCTAACTTTAAAACAATCTATATTTTACCTTTAGAGTGATAAATTGCAAATCTTTTCGGTAGCAAAATGATCCTAAATTTATATTTTAATTTTTTAATATGTCATTAAGTATAAAAAAAAAACTTATTGAGCATTGATCAAAATATAGTGTTAACCCACCTATCCACAAAATAGTGTTACTTAAAATACCGTTTTATGAAAAATGGTAATTTAAGTGGTTTTTTAAGTCTTGATTATAATCATTAGATTAATAAAGATATTAAAGAACACAAAATACACGAAATACGTATACACCATCCTGAGACAGAGTACTTGTGAGAAGTATATACATGATCGTATGTTTATCAGACACCTGGGGGGGGGGGGGGCAGGGGGGGGCTCACACTTTTTTTTCCAAACAAATTCTTTTCTATTGAAAATGTTCATTGAAAGGACGGATGCCCCCCCCCCCCCCCACTTTTTATTGCAGTATATTCAAATAAGGGTAATCTAGTAGTGTATGAATGAAAGTTGAAAAAGGATTTTCGAGTTAGGACAATTTTCTTTTTTTTTTTCTTTTTTGCTTGTCAAGCTTTTTCAGGTAAGTTGAATTTTTTTTTTTCTCTGGCTGCCCCCCCCCCCCAATTTTCAAAAACGATGCTACGTCCTTGTTTATAACTCTAACAATACTAGTACAGCTCATAGCATACAGAGGTTTGCTTAAAAACATGTACAATTTGCACGAGTAAATATTTGATTTGATTACAGGCTGTTCATGTAACTTTTATCATGTGAGGGTTTGCCTTCAACACACCTGAGGGAAGTGGATTTACTTATCTGTAATGGGAAAGTAAGACATCGTATTTTGTGAAATACTTCATATGGGTAAATGATTTTTTTATAATTATAAGTTTGTTTTTAAAACGTTATGTCGGTGAGCGCACGAAAAGGTGCTTTAAATAGGACAGTGCAAAGTGATGACAGTTCCCTAGGAGATGAAGAAGAACCGCTTCTGCAGAGAAATGAGATATATAAAACGTATAAACGTCGATGGTACGTTCTGTTCCTCTATAGTTTAACTGCATTTTTGCAATCTGCAGTATGGAACACATGGGGACCTATTACTCAGTCTGCGGAGGTAGTGTTTGGATGGAAAGACAGTCAGATTGGATTGCTAGCTAACTGGGGAAATATTGCATTCTTGATCACCGTTTTCCCAACTTGCTATCTAATGGACACTAAAGGTAAATCATTGAACCTTCTTCAAACCGAATTTATTTTATTTCTTTGCAAGGTGTGTGTTTTGAATTAGTTTTCCAAATTCGACGTGGAATAGTTTATGTTTTAGTTACTACATTACTAATTAATACGTCATCTTCAGTCTACGTGTTGTACATGTATGTATTGATTCCCTGTAAAGGTTTTAGCTGTAAATTTCAAAAAGATTTTCCTCAAAATCTCCAAGTTAATATCAACCAAACTTGGCTCAAGTCACCCCCTGGAATAGAACAGGAGGCAAGATACTTTCAATTTATTATCAAGCTTTATCAATTGGAAAATGCCTGATCAATCATAGGAAAAAAACGAGATTTTCGGGAAATTAAACAATAATTCTGAGGTACAGAAAGTGTATATTTCTCAAATCTGTCTACCTTTTCATGTTTTATGCAACAGGGTTACGAGTATCCCTTTTGGTCTGCACTGTTTTATTGCTGATTGCTACTGGACTCAGATGCATAACACACGAACCTCAGTACGCTACCTGGTGGGTAATGCCGTGTAAATGCTGTTAAACAGTATTGGCAAGGGTCTAATTGTGATTTGAAAAGTTAGTTATCTTTTATTCCTTTTAATTATTATTTATTGTTCATGCTTTTATTTGTTTGCTTTTGTTAATGATATTTTATGTATTCTATAACATGCATTGAAACGACTTTGAAGCATGTTGGTATTTTTTAAATGTCACTTTCAGAAGACAACCATAACACTTAGTTACACAAACTGTATCAAAATATGTCAGAATTTTGATGTAATTTTCTTTCAAACGAGTTTTCAAAATAAAATCTGTCTTTCAGGTTGATAAATTTCAGTGCAATCTTAAATGGAGTTTGTGGAACAGTGCCACGTGCTGCGCCTGCGCAGGTTGCCAACACGTGGTTTCCTCCAAATCAGAGGACAAGTGCTACAGCTGTAGTTTCAGTATTTTGCTACTTGGGTGTAGCTATGGCATTTGTTATAGGTATAAATAAACATTTTTTTTCTTGCTATATATTCCTTTTCTCCCGAGTTTAAAATACGAGGATCAATACACTTGATACATTATCATGATTGATAGAATGATTTAATTTTGTTGTTTCAGGCCCACAGCTGGTGACATCACCAGAGTATAAAAATGAAACTCAAAACCGAAATTTTACATATACATTTAAAAGGTACATTTTTTTTTCACATACCTGCCACAAACATTAGGTCATATTTAGAAAAACTCTGATACATGTATTTGAGTTATTTTTAAAATTGCTTCTTACTTCTCAGTGAACTTCATTATTTTTGCATAAAACAGATTCATTTTATTCATGACAAAACCAAATAAAAAAATCAGTTAAAGTGAAAACTGTCTAATCCAGCACTGGAAACACATTTCACTGTGGATTCCAACATTCATTTTCATTCCAGTTTTACTATTTTCCATTTTCTTTATACTGTGCAATCCGGCACCCTGTCTATTTCGACATAAAATTTGTCTCCCAGTGCCTGTCAGATTAGACAGGTTTCACTGTATAAGGAATATTTCTTTTCTTGGAACATGTTTCAATTTAGCCTAATGATTAGCATTAGCAAAACAACTAAATTTACGGTAATGTTAGATTATGAAATGACTATAAATAAATTATGAAAAGTTTTAGAACAAAAGTAAATATCACGTGATTAGTCGAGGCAAAGAGATGATCAATTAATTAAGATATATACAAGTACATTAGAAAAAAACTCTAAGAAAACTTTCGGTTATTTATGACAAGATATTGCAGAGAGAAAAATATAGTGATTTATAAAGAGTGATTTGTATTAATACCGGTATCTATTTTTTCTTTATGAATACTTATAGGAATTCTGAAACTATCTAATTCGTGTATCTGTAACCAACCACCCTCCCCCAGTTATTTAGGGTTTTCCTACATAATTTATTCAGGAAGGTACCGTTATAACCTCATTCGCATTATGTTTTACTTACAAAAGGGTTTGTATTGACTTTTTCTGTAATTATTTGATTTCCTAGGATTGCACAACATTTACAATACTATAAAACTATGGTTGCATTTACGAAATGTTTTCCATGAATTTGAAGCACTTGGTGGACGTGGCAAGTTTGACCCCTTATACACACACACAAAGAAATCAAAAAACACTAGTTGAGAGGTTTTCTTGTAATCAAAGGTTTATTATATTTGTGTTTCAGTTTCTCAGTTACTTTGCCAGTGATGAATAATGATGCATAATAGAACAGAAGTATAGCTCTGTCAAATTAATTAATATGATATACAAAATACTTTATCTTTTCTAATACCTCCTTAGAATAACACAGCATGACATATTAATGTTCATCAAACTAAAAATTTGATGTACTTTTTTCCATAGATTAACTACAGATCTAGATTTAGCAACACTGGACACCTCAAGAAACAATTTGAATTCATCTCAAGGTAATACAGGTATCAATGACGTGTTTAATAAATGCACAATTAATTTTTTTTTAGATATTTAGAAATTCAGTGTAAAAAAAAAAAACAAACTCACTCACTGGAATTCAATAAGCCTGAATGTGTGCAAACCGACCTAGTATTGTAGAAAATTATATTTTTTTTCTTTTGCAGTTTTGGTTAATTTTATTCATATACGCAAAGACATTATGTATCTTATGTATTACGGTAAGTAGTACGAGCGGTATGTACTGGTCCCCAGCTGATAAAGCAGGTACCAACATTGTCTTTGTTTGTAAGGCTCATATCTTAATTGTATTTTGGAGGTAGTGGGATTTATTTCTGCAAGTAACAATCCAACTTATACCCATAGTTCTCTTTTCAAGGAGGAAATTCTTCAAAATCATATGTCATTTTTAAATATTTTTGATATTCCCAACAACCAAAACGAATTTTAATTACCATACCTATACTGGATTCCTAAACTTCATAAAAATCCTTACAAACAAAAATACACAACTCCATATGAGTGAAAAATTCTCGAGGGGGACGTTAAACAATAAACAAACAAACAAACATAGCTGGTTCCAGTAAATGTTCTACCAAGCCCCTTTCTTTACTCCTTACTAAATATTAACAGTGACGAAGAAACTTCAGGAGTACTGTATAATACCAATATATTTGAGAATGGGTGTAAATCAGATGTGGATACTTAAAAATCTCAGGATCGAACTTTTAGAAAATGAAATCATAAAATTTTACCAAAATCAATAATATCAAAATGTACGATTTTTCAACACTTTATACAACCATTCCCCACGATAAATTAAGTCTAGGCTTTCTGACCTCATAGACAGCTCTTTTTTCAATCAAAACTGAACTCGTAAATTTACTAAATACTGATTGTACACACAAGTACTCTGAAGTGGTTTTTAAAAGGATGTTTGATTTTCTAATTGATAATATCTATGTAGTTTATGGACATCATGTCTTCCAACAATCTGTCGGAATTCCCATTGGTACCAATGGCGCCCCGATATTAGCAGACCTATTTTGTATTCATATTAAGCAAAATTTATTCAAAAACTTACACATGAGAAGACACTTGATGTGGCCTCCATTTCGATATATCGACGGCGTACGTATTGTCAATTAACAATAGTTATTTCCATTCATATGTCGACTCAATATTTCCCAGTGAAGTTGAAATAAAACATTCCACACAGTCTACCACATCTCTTTCATATTTCGTTAATTTACTATAAAAAGACCTAAATCGTAACCTATCAACAAAACTTTATGATAAACTTGATGACTTCAACTTTCTATCATCAATTTCCCTTACTTATGTAGCAATATACCTTCATCATCTGCATATGGGGTTTATATATTCCAGTTGATTTGATATGCAAGAGCATGCTTCACGTACGAACAGTTTCTAAAACGATGCATGCTATTGACAAACACGTTGATGAAACAAGGATATCAACAGTCTCGTTTGAAGTGATCAGTTTGCAAGATCTATGCTCGATACAATTGCCTTGTCGGCAAATACAATCTATTATTAAGTAGAATGCTGACTGACGTTTTTCAATGTTAGGCTATTATTTATACACTGAATTGTCTGCAGATTTTTCCGTTTGCCCGATCATGACCATGAGCACACGGCGGGTGTGACCGGTCGACTGGAGATGCTTACTCTTCCATAGCACTCCATGGATGTTTTTTTAGAGGTCCGTGTTCGCTCTGCTCTCGATTTTTATTGTTTTAATGGATTTTATGAGCTTGATTACTATTCATAATCTCCATATTTCATGTACGTATTTGAATTTTTCTCTTTTATTAAATTTCTTATTTAAGCAAAGTTATTGAAAAAGGATTAAAATTTAATTTACCGTTCCCTTTCCTTACCAGCTACAATCTCACAGTAAATCAGTTACATTAAGTTTAGACTCGTTTTTGACTATATTATTCTAAAAGCTATTTTAGGACCAACAGGTACGGAACATAATATTGTTCTCAAATTTATCATTTCTCTTCCTTTTTTATACTGTCCTTTCGTTAAACAATAATTGCGTCGACCCTGATCTTACCCTTCTGTCAAGAAAAATTGGGGGTAAAATTACGACGGTAAAACAACATTTTACTGAGCACTGTTACTTTTCTTTACAACATATTTCAATTGCTACATAATTCTTTTATTTTTAGAATTTGCTGCCATTGTACTGTTATTTCTGTGCAGTATTTTTATGCCATCAAAACCTCCAACTCCTCCAAGTCTTTCAGCCTCGACAGAACGAGTAGTCTACAGGAGGGCATTACTGAACATTGCTCGGTAACTTCTAAATAAGTTTTCTTTTAAACTAATTCCCATTTATTCTCAAAACCTCTTTTGATTTTATGTTTGAACTAGTCAGCCAGTGTGTTTCATGTATAAATATTCCTCTCAAAAGTCATTTTTGTGTGTCTGAAGAAAAATCAAGGCAAAAAGAATGTTTTTTAAAACCTGCAAAATTGCAAGGAGCGAAGATGAAAACTACGTACATGTTTATGTGTAAAATAGTTTGCAATTTCAATGCTGTATCTAACACTAGGTACATGTACGCACATGTACACACTTTTTCGTTAGACTTGATATTCAATTTGCCAGCACATCATAGTGTAAATGTATCATATATTGTTTTGCATATTCTGCAAGAAAAATTAGCTTGTAAATTGCTAGCCTAAACATTGGTACATGTATCAATGAACACTTTGGTCTGCATTGGTAGCATAGATCTCTATCATTGAAATCACATGTTCATATCAGGGGCAATCAAATCCGCATACTCAGAAAATTTGTCAGTGTTAATGGAGTATGAGTTATAAAATATTTTATCAAAACATTGAATAGTTTCGTGCATAATTGACATATAAATTTTTTAAAACATCTTTTGTCAGTTTCAGTAAAAGTAACAAATCTTGTATGAAATTTTCTTTTTGAGCTCAAGTTTTAAAAATAATTTTTTAGAGAACAAGATTAGGATTTTGTTTATGGATTTTACTAACTATAGAAATAAGGCGGTATGGTTAATTGGGCTGGCCTACGCTCTGCCATCAGGTGTATACGGGGCCTGGGAAGCAGTTATAGACATTATACTGAAACCCATAGGAATAGGACAGGTAATATAATAAATTAGTATATTATTTTGTTTGTTTTATTCATTTTTTTATCAATTCGAGCTAGATTTGTGAGCATTATCCAGATTTAAGGATTAAAGGGACATAGACACAGTTTTGAAGTTTATATCCTACAAAATTTTGGTAGCATTTGATAGCTAATATATTGCATTTCAGACCCATATATTATAAAAGTATATTTAAAAACTTATTACATCTAAAAGTTATCAGAACTTCCAACTTGGAACGTGTTGATTGTCTTACATCTTTGGAATACACTTACTAAAATTTTTTCCTAATAATTCCTAATAATTTAGAAAAGTGGGAAATCTGTGGTGTATTTATAAAATAAATGAAAACTATAGAGATAATAGAAATGTAAATAGCAAAACGTTGAAAGTTCGCGTTCAGTGGTGTATGCAGTACAAATCGAACACACCCAGTAAAATAACAGAGTTCGAGCTCCTGTTTACAAACACATGTGTTTGGTGCAGGGATGGGGTAATCGTAATCGAGTAATCGTAATAGATTGTAATGATTACATTTTTCAAGTAATCGACAGTAATCTGTAATCGAAGAGATTTTCGATTACTTGTAATCGTAATTTAATCGATTACAGCTAAAATTTTCAATGTAATTATAATTACTTTTTCGATTACTTTCGATTATTTTATACATAAATGTTATTTTGGAGAATTATTTCCAGTCAGTTACACAGAAATATCAAATATAAACCACCTAGTGTAATGTTTGGATTTCCTAACTTTTATTATCATAAGTGTAATAATGTTCTCAATAAAATTTGCATTAAAGACCTATTGGTCTAGTATTAAATAATTCAGAAGTGTATTTCAACCATTTATTAATAAAATATACAGATTTTTCGTGTGCATTTTACATTTGACCCACTGTCCTCTTGCTGCATGTCCTTTTTCATATTTCAGAAATTATAAATAGCAAAAACAAATTTAAGTGCTGTATTAAATATAAATTTGGTAAATAAACTACATTGCATGTACTCGAAAAAAAAGAAGATGGAAGTACTTTTTCATATCTGAAAATGTTTAAACAACTTCAATCTTGTGTTTTAGTAACTTTAAAATTTGCAAAATCATTCTCATGTTTTCATTCAAAATTGTAAGGTTGCTTTTATATCAGGGAGAGGTTATAAGTGTCTGTAAGAGAGGGAGTGTGTCACTGTGTTTGCTTATCTTAATTGGCTAATTAATTGACTGAGACATCCCTGATTTGCAGATAATGAGGTGTAAACTGTGAACTACCTAGTGTTTAAATTTCATTCCATTGAAAACAAACGCTACCCAAAAACATGCCAAATACCAGGAAAGGGTCTGAAAACAGTAAATCTGGGCCTGAAAAAAATGAAACGATTGTAGCAACAAACGACCTAACATTAACGTCCCTTAAAACTGATCTACACGAAATAAAAGAATGCTTGCAAAAAACGGTCAAAACATGCGATCTCGAATCTATGGTGACGAATATTGTGAAGGGACTTTTAAAGATTCATGAAGAAAATGCAGAAAAACGAGAAACACAATTAAAACAAAAAATTGATGGTCTAACAAAAGACGTTGATAGATTAACATTGGAAAATGAATCTCTACGAGAAAAATTATGTGAAACAAAGAGATCTTGCTACTTTTGCCACAGTGAAGGCCAACTATAATGAGCAATACAGCAGAAAAAATAATATTAAAATTTACGGTGTTCAAGAGACAAAAGACGAGAATATTATCGAGGTCGTGAAATCTGTATTGAAAGAGAAAGGGGGTGTAGAGGTCAATGAATGTGACATAGTGGCAGTTCACAGAATACCAGGATCCAGGGCGAAAGCACCAAAACCTATTCTTTTGAAGATGAAAAATAACGACAAAAAGGCCCACATAATGCGAAAGCGATCAACGGTGAAGGACGCCCCTGGTAACGTTCGATTGGGCGACGACGTTACCAAAGAAAACAGCGAGTTAATTGCCCGCCTGTTGGATAATGAATGTGTAACGTCGGCATGGTACTTCAATTGGTCGGTTTATGGACAGGTAAAGGGAAAACGAGTAAGGTTTGATATTCTAGATGACATCGAATACAAGGTAAATAAGATCCGGGACTAAAAAATCCGACCGTATTCCCACCGACGTTAGTTGACAGCAATATTTATCCGGTGTCATAAGCATTGACTTTTTTCCAAACAGTGACTCACTAGATCACGGTAGTCAACTTGTTTTTCTGTGAATTTTTTTTTTAACTGTTGATAATCATTATCTGACTTACTGTATTGTTGCCTTTTCTGTGCTCTTTCTTTATTTCTTTTCTATATCTCTATCTCTATAGTTGACTTATATTCAATATCATGAGTTCACCTCCATGGTTCCGTTGGGTATCTAAACGTTTTTGCGTAATTATATCAAATGGTTAAAATTCTATCAGTAAATTGCCAAGGTTTAGGTGATATTGTAAAACGCAAGGATGTTTTCAATTATTTAAGAGCGTTGAAATATAACATTTACTGTTTGTAAGACACACACTTTTCCTGTGATATCGAAAATGAAGTAAGAAATTTATGGGGATATCAGTGCTTTTTTAGCTCATATACTACAAACTCCAGGGGAGTTGCAATTCTGATAAATAATAACTTTGATTTTAAACCCCTTGCAGAAAAGGGTGATGTTGATGGAAACTATATTTTGCTTAAAGCATGTATAGAGGGACATGAAGTATTGATATGCACTATATATGGTCCTAATAATGACACACCACTCTTCTATGAAAACATACAAAATCACACTGAGGATATGCACTGTAGTAATTTTATCTGGTGTGGTGATTTTAATTTAGTTTTAAACCCAGAATTAGATTATTATAATTATAAATCTATCAATAATCCAAAGGCAAGAGAAAAGGTTTTGGAAATAATAGAAAATAATTGTTATATTGACCCTTTTCGACAATTACATGAAAATGTTCATAGGTACTCTTGGAGAAGAAAAACTCCTTTGAAACAAGGTCGTTTAGATTTCTTTTTAATATCAGAGTCCCTTTTGTCAGGTTTAGAAAATTGTACTATAGAATCTAGCTACAGATCAGACCACTCCATGATATCATTGTCTATAGCCTTTAACGACTTTAAGAAAGGAAGGGGTCTATGGAAGTTTAATAACTCTTTACTTCATGATGAAAAATATCTGGAATGCATCAAAAAGGTTATCTTAGAGGTTAAAAAACAATATGCAATTCCAGTATACAATTTTGATAACATAAATAATATTTTAGATCCAGACATTTTCTTCACTATTGATGATCAATTATTCCTTGAAACCCTGCTCTTTGAAATAAGGGGTAAAACTATTTCCTATGCAACTTATATCAAAAAGAAAAATGAAAATAAGGAGAAAGAATTAATAGAAAATAGTAGAATATTGGAAGAAAATGTTAGTGAAAATAATATTGATGAATTGTGTAGTAAAAAGCAAGAATTAGAGAACATTCGAAAACATAAGTTACAAGGAACATATATCAGAAGTAGAGCAAAATGGGTTGAGGAATGTGAAAAACCATCACATTATTTTTGTACACTAGAATCCAGAAACTTTACTAGTAAGATCATACCAAGATTGGAGGATAATAATGGAAATGTTATTTATGACCAATCAGAAATTTTGAGGGAAACAAAATCATTTTATGAACAGTAGTGTTAAATCTAAAGCAAACTAGCATGGCGCGGCGCCATGCCCTTTTCTCTCGGCGCCATGCCCTTTTTTCCAGCGCCATGTCCTTTTTTTCCTTGCAAAAATAAATAAATAAATATGCCTAGCAGAGGCAAGATGGACTAGCGGCTTTGTTTATTCAGTGCATGCTGATTAGCCCCTTTGTTTATTTAATGCACGCAAAGGTGTGAATTCAGGACAGGATATATCACTTCTCGCTTGAACGCACACAGCCACCTGGCCAGGTAACATGCCTCAGGCTGTCAGGGTATAAGAGATAACACGAGAAAATATCATTTGATTGCATTGATTATGCAAGAATTAGCCCAATGTCAAAGATAGATTAATTTGTAAATTAAAATGTTACACATTTTAAAATCAGGATCGTTTTTTTTTTAAATTGAAAGTAGAAAAAACGGAGTTGATGAAGAAATGTGAAAAATAAAACTGCTGATGAATTAAGTCAACTTACAATGTACAGTACCAAAAAACTGAATATTATGTGTGAGATGGGCTAGGAAACAACAAAGTATAAAGTTAGTTTCTTTCATTTCAATGATTCTGCGTTCTAACTTTTTGAGTTGACACCCAGAGACTCAATGTCTCTAAGCCAGAAAAAAAATTTAACCAATTTATATATTATTTCAAGTTTAATTTTTTGGTATAATATCAGTTTTCACTTGATTTTTTTGGTAGATTATTTTCAAAATAAAGAAAATGTCCTCTTAATTTATTATCCAAGTAGCAATTTTGCAATTTTGTTCTGTTATTACCTCATACACAAATAACAATATTAAAGGAAGGGAAAAAAAATTCATACCCTAAACTAAAATAATTCTTGAGCAAGTGACAAAAAGATTCACACCTATTACTTTTTAATAATAATAATTTGAGTACAGAAAATATTTATAATTTCAAAGACGTTAAAATAGTGCCCTCATGAAAACTTGTCGCGGCGTAAAGTGCCCTTTTGATTATTGGATTATCATGCCCTTTTTAGGGTCTGGATTTAACACTAAACAGTTATATACAAAAAGTACAGTAAATACAAATATTGATTTATTCAGCAAGTTAAGCAAAAAAGAAATACCTAAGCTTTCATTCAAAGAGTCAGAATCTATAGAAGGCGAAATTACTATGGAGGAGGCCTCTTCTACGCCTCTTCTACGCTTTACAAAATGAAATCAAATAAATCCCCTGGATCAGATGGGTTTTCTGCTGAATTTTTCAAGATGTTTTGGAAATATATTGGTTTTTTTGTAGTTAGATCTATTAATTACGGATATAAGAATAACAGTCTGTCTATTACACAAAGACATGGGGTCATTACTTTGTTACCAAAAGGTGACAAGCCAAGACAATACTTAAAGAATTGGCGACCTATTACTTTGTTAAATACCGTCTATAAAATTGCATCTGGGTCTATTGCTAACAGAGTAAAATGTTATTTAGATAAAGTAATTAATCAAGATCAAACAGGATTCATTTCCAATAGATATATAGGAGAAAACACAAGGCTAATTTACGACATAATGCATTACACTGAGGAAGAAAATATACCTGGACTATTACTACTTATTGACTTTGAAAAAGCCTTTGATACTTTATCATGGAGCTTTATACAAGGCGCACTTAACTTTTTTAACTTTGGTCCCTCAATTAAGAAGTGGGTATCGCTTTTTAATACAGACATTACATCTGCAATAAACCAAGGTGGTAATCTCTCTGATAGAATTAACATTCAGAGGGGTTGCAGACATGGTGATCCTTTGTCACCATATATATTTATTATATGTGCTGAAATTTTAGATTAAACAAAAATATTAAAGGTATTACTGTAAACAATATTGAAAAAAAGATTTCTCAGTTAGCTGATGATACATCAATCATTCTTGATGGTAGTAAAGAGTCCCTCACACAAACATTGGAAACATTAAAGGAATTTTCAGAAATGTCTGGATTACATATTAACTATGCCAAAACTCACATAGTGTGGATAGGTTCTAAAATGTTTAGTGATGAAATTTTATTGCCAAATTACAAACTTAACTGGGGAACTACCAGATTTACTCTTCTAGGAATACATTTTGATGTAGAATTGGATGAAGTACAACAATTAAATTATGAACCAAAATTAGTACATATTAAATCAATACTTAAACAATGGGAGAAAAGGTATTTAACTCCCATAGGGAAAATTACAGTCATTAAAACATTAGTTTTACCTTTATTAAATCATATTTTAATGTCAATCCCAAATCCTTCTGAACTGTATTGTAAGGAATTGGAAAAAATCTTCTTCTCATTTATATGGAATAACTCAACGCATAGAGTAAAAAAAGAAGTAATTGTAAAAAAAAAATATGAAGATGGAGGTTTGAAAATGTTGAATCTGATGTCTTTTATAGCTTCCATGAAATTATTTTGGATAAGGCATCTCATCTTTACAAATAGGGGGATTGAACACCTCATTCCAAAATTCAATTTGAACAAATTTTTAAGTTGTGGAATTGAATACACTACAACCTTCTTAAAAACATTGAAGAATAAATTTTGGACAGATGTTTTTAAGTCATGGATAATGTTACAAAACCTTGAAAAAAAGTTTGATGTTGCTGGTGACTCACCATTATTTTACAATCCACATTTACATATTGGTGGAAAACCATTTTATAATAAACAAATGTTTGACAGTAACATTAGACAACTTAATGATATCATAAATGAGGATGGTTCACTCTTTACTTATGAGTGTTTCTGTAACACCTATCCAAATATAAAGATTAATTTTTTAGAATACAATAGTATTATTCATGCTATAAAGGCTTGAATGAAAAATTCTGGTAAGGAAAAAACAATAAAAAAGCTCACTAACCCATTAATTATGTCAAATATCTACACAGTACTGAAATGTAAAAAATCTAAATGCTATTATGAAATCCTTAATCAAAATTCTTCTGTTGCAGCAGGTAAAACACATTGGAGTGAGCTTCTAGAAATTGAAATTAAGGAATGGAAAAAAATTCACATAATACCCTTCAGAGTAACAAAAGACTGTAAACTCCAATGGTTCCAGTATAGGATTATAAACAAAATTTTAGCAACAAATTCATTCTTATTCAAAATTAAGAAAAATGACTGTAAGTTCTGCAGTTTTTGCCACACCGAGGAGGAAACAATAGAACACCTTTTGTGGGAATGCAATAGTACACAAATTTTTCTAGAAGAATTTGTTCATTTACTTGAAGATAAGACTGGTCTAAAGATTAGAGTTACTAAGAAATCTTTTATTTTAGGGTTTATTGATGAAAACACTGATGTTCAAAATGCTATTCTTCTTTGGCTTAAATATTATATTTATACTGCGAGATGCACTCAGAAACCTATTAATGTACATACTGCAATATCACAAATGAAATTTCATTATGAAACACAAAAATTTATTTCTTATAAGAATGGTGGAAAGGAAAAGTTTGATACCCAGTGGAACAGGTGGAACCTACTATTCTCTTAACTTTCACCCTCTCTCTCTCTCTCTCTCTCTCTCTCTCTCTCTCTCTCTCATAAAATAAAAACGCACTTCTGCTTCTGAAACTTGATGTATGTATATAATGTTACGTATGTTGTGTGAATAAAAAAAAAGAAAGAAAGAAAACAAACAATATTTTTAAAACAATTAATAGCTCTCAAAACACTTATTTCAATATAGAATGAAATTGTGCTATTAGTTTAATTACTTAAAGACACATTTAATTTACATGTTTATTACTAGCGTTCTAATTTACTTATTTTTTTTAAAAAGACACGTACAGAAATGTTTAATGTGTACTATCAACATACGGGCAGCCCAAATACTTCTAATGAAGTAATACACAATAAAATAATAAATAATTTTTGCAACAAGTCAATAAATATGGAGATTCAGACCCAAGGTTGAAAGGAATAATTAATTCCTTGGCATATTTTATTGTAGGAATCATGTCTCCACTTTCCATGGTAGAGAATCCCTCATTTGGGCATTTAGTGAGAATGTTAGCCATAATAAAACCTTAAAAGAATCTGCACTGAAACTGCAGGAACACATTCAAACTTCAGTGGATAACATCAACATTTACCATTTGAATATTGTTTGATATTTGAAGGGATAAAAACTTGGAAGTAATCGATTATTAATCGATTACATCTTCCAAAGTAATCGATTATAATCGATTACAGGACAAAAATGAGTGTAATCGATTAATAATCGATTACACAAAATTCCTCTAAGTAATCGATTATTAATCGATTACATTTTTCAGTAATCGTGCCCATTCCTGGTTTGGTGGACGGTTATGAAGAGTGCCGTTGTCATCAAATATTAAAAATGTTCGTGTAAGCTCAGATCATTGAACTAAAGTTATTTTAAGTTATTTGCCTCTTTCCTTAAATTTCCTCAGCATCTTATGGCGGTAACCTCGTTTTTTTATCCTTATTCCTCTCGCCTCTTGCACACAATTGCTTCATATGATGCAAATATATGAGACAGAAATTTACAGAATCAGTCCAAAGGGATTCGACTAACATTCTTCTTAAAACTTAAGATGTTGAGACAATCTCTTGCATTGAAAACTTTAGTCTAAGATTATATTTAAGTTTGGTCATAGAATTAGAAACTGCGTCAAAATCATAGCGAAAATATAAGCAGTCTGTAATAAAATTTCAGACTGAGATTGGCTGGATCGGATTTTACTCCATAATGGCAGGCTGTGTCACAGGTCTAGCAACTGGAAGGTAAAAATACAATTTGCTTTTATCCACCCTTCTTCTTTAAATTTTCATTTCATAAGAATTATCTACAAAAATTGAGAAAATTTGGTTTACCATAGATCCTTAAAATGTTTATATAATATTTATATATGTGATACATGTACATAGATTTTCAGATGTGTTTATGCGGCATATGAGACTCTTCGTTTTGGTAATGTTTGGTGTGGCGGGAGGATCTTTTGTGTGGTTCACGCTCAGTTGCGTCAAGGTCATTCCAATCTCTACAAGTAAATGCTTACACGGTTTAAATATATGCAGAATTCTTACGACAGACTCATTTCATTTATCATCTGAATGATAAAACATTGTGGAGAAGATATCGGAATCATTTAAAAACTTCAAAAAGGTCTATAAAAATTTATCATAAGCTATCGTTAAATGTTGCATAAAAAGTGCTTGAGCAAATTGTTAAAATACTTTTAAATAGATATTGCTAGTTGATGTACCCGCGGTATTTATTTTGCTTTGTTTTAGTTTTTTAAGAGGCTATAAGTTGATACGTCGCCTTAACATTGTAGCGTCTTGATCTTTATGTATTTTAGTACAGGTTTACCTGTCTAGTATCTTGGGAGGTATGTTCCTTTGTGGAACTCTGCCCCTGTTTTATGAATTGGGGGCGGAGTCAGCCTTCCCCGTGTCAGAAGGAGTGACAGGAGGGTTTCTGACATGGCTGAACAATATAGTCGGAATCCTTTTCTTACTTTTGCCACAGATACCTGATATAGGTGAGTTTGACGAGTTCGGATTCGTTATCTACGTACCAATGATAAGAAATCTTGAAACTGACACGCTTGCAAGAAAGAAAATGCCATCTCATTTGATCAAAAATCTAGAAATGAAATAATTTTTTTTTCATCAAATTTTCTATTTTACTTGGGTTTTAAGGAAGCTTTTCTGGTGTTTCTAGGCACAGATTGGATGAACTGGACTTTGGTGGGCAGTGTTGCTCTAGGACTGGCCTTCCTATTTGTCTCACCACAGCGATACACTAGGACTGATATAGATATATCTGTAAACAAAACAGAGACTGCTCATTCACAAACCAAAGTAATAGCCAGAGAGAATGTATATGATAATGCATCATGATAAGCAATATTGATATTTGAACTGGTATTGTAAATAGGATTCTAAGCACTTATGAATTACTTTTATTACCACTTTAGTAAAACCGACCAATATCTAGGCCTTGTCCAGAACAGTGATATAGTCTACTATGATCACTTTTGTTATGAAATATCAAAGCATAACTCGCTATGATTCACGGAAGATACTCATTCATTTGAGGTCAAAGGCCTGCTAATTTTCCAGAATGGATAGTGAAGTTTTTTTTTTTTTTATAAATAGTTTTACACGTTTTTAATGCAATACCATATCTTAATCCACCAGTTATTTAACAAAGAAAGGTTTAAATGTAGTTAAAGGTGCATAGACACAGTTTTGAAGTTAATATTTACTCAAATTTTCTGCATAATTTCATGACTTATATATTGCTATAGCATTTCATACGAAAATTTGATAAAAATCTTATTTTATCTGGAAGTTATTGAAACTTCGAATTTCTGGACGGTTTGATGGACGCATCCTTGCATTTTCACAAATTTTAACTTTATCCTTATTACTTTAGAAAAGTAGCAATTTTGTTGTTTGTTAATGAAAAATATTAAAACTATAATGCAGAAATTTCGATTCAGAGTAGAAATGTAGAAAGCAAAATCCTCTCACAAGTATTGTCAGTCCGTGCTCAATGGTGTGTGCAGAGTTTAACAATTGAACACACCCGGTGAAACGTAAACATTAACATAAACAGAGCTCGTGCCCTGTTTACAAAAACAGTTTACGTTTCACGGGAGTATTCAATTGGTTAAACTCTGTTCCATATACACAACACTGAGCACGGGCTAACAATACTTAAGTGAGTGGGTTTTGCTTTCGCACATTTTTACTCTGAATTATCTGGATTATAGATGTAATATTATTCATTAATGCACAACAAAATTGCAACTTTTCGTAAGGATAAAGTTAAAAATTGTGAAAGTGCAAGGATGTGTTAATCAAACGCATCCCGAAATTCGTAGTTTCAATAATTACCAGAATAAATAGGCTTTTAATTTTATTTTTGTGTGAAATGCTATAGCAATATATGAGTTGTGATATTATACAGAAAATTTGAGAAAATATAAACTTCACATCTGTGTCTATGCACCTTTAAGGTATTATGTATGTTTTTTTTATACTTGTCCTCAGCATGCAGGAAACCATATATCAGTGTAGAAAAGAAGAATATATCTTGTACAGCTGATAAGATTTCTCTGTTTAAACATTGTTAATACACTCGTTGTATATGCATGTGAAAACAAGTGAAAGAATACTTACAGATCTAAACGATCAAAAATGCATAATTGTGTTTGTACTTGATTTTAACCATCGGACGTTTAATAAAGATAAAATCTTCTACCGCAGCGCCTCTTACTTTTAGACTTGCAAGCATATGGTACATCGATCCGCGCCTTCAAAAGCGTTTAAACTTTTCACGTGACATGAATCACGTGAGAGTTAGTAAAGACACCGGATATCAGTAAAGTGAAAGTAAAGTAAGTCTGTTTAGTGAATTAATGCTGAACATGGCATGATGTGTAGGTGCACGACACAGTTTTTTGGACATTATTTCTATTAAAAACACTTGTCAAGCGTATCAAATATGAAAGTGCAAAATGATGAGAACACTTCTAGCGAGGAAGAGCAACCACTTCTGCAGAATAAGGAGAAATATAAAACGTACAAAAGGCGGTGGTACGTGCTTCTTGTTTTCAGTGTGGCCTCTTTTCTGCAAGCCGCTGTATGGAACACATGGGGACCTATTACCCAGTCCGCCGAAGTGGTGTTTGGATGGAAGGACAGTCAGATTGGAATGTTTCCCAACTTAGGAAACATTGCATACATAATCACCGTTTTTCCAGCTTGCTATTTCATGGATACTAAAGGTATAACATTGCGTTTAGGAATCTTTTTCTGTAGAGTAAACAGTTAAGGATTGGTGTGTTTCTGTTTTCACTTTTCATGGACTTAAAGATTTCTTGCGATATGTGAACATTATTATAATTACCTAAGAGCTTTCTCCTATTCTACTTCTTTTCTGGTCCTTTAATTTTACTAATTATATGTCTATATCAAATAGGCAATTGCTAAAATACTGGGAACTATTTAACAGACACTCAAGTGTTGAACTTCATAGTATAAATGATTTATGGAGCTTATATCCATATTTTTTGGCATCGATGAATTTTGCATTAGGTATATTAAAAAAATGATTGTTGAATTGTAGCTATTTTTGGCTAAAATAGCGACCAAAATTGCTCAAGCAATTGCGACTTTAGATCAACACGAAGTCATTTCTTTCTATTCTGTATTTATATTTTACTCTTGAGTGTCTACTTTGTGATTTATACAAGTGGATCAATGTATATTTAAGAAAAAAAAGATTGTTTAGCAAAGATTAGCACACTTATTTTTCTAAATACAAAGTTGCGATTATGAGTCAGCCAGTTTAATTTGTAATGGGTAAAAAAGTTGTCGAAGCAAATCTTCATTCGATATTGTATCCTCAAGTACGACAATTTTTTAAGCGGAAAAAGCTACTGACAAAATAAGTTGATGTTACCAGGATTTCAAGAACGCCGTCTAAAGTTAGCTTTTCAATAATTATACGGTCGGAATAATGATTTTGTTTGTAACCTATCGTTGGATCGTGTTTTTTCTTACATGTTTGATACCATTTGTTAAGACATTGTTTTATAGTAACATTGACTATGAGGGTACTCCGTATACATGATCAATACAAACAGCGTGACAGGGGATGCTTACTCCTCCTAGGCACATGATCCAACTCTGACGTTCCAAGGGTCCTTTTTTGTTCACCATTCAATTTGTTTACTCTATTTATGAACACTATCCGTCTTCACATTTAACATTCAATAAAGTTTAACCAATTATTATTAAAGATGAAACCATCATATTAGAAATCTATCTTAATTTAGATAAAAAGTTGTTAAGTGTGTATTACATGTTCTTATATGTTGCAGGTTTACGAATTTCCATTTTAGCCTGCACGGTTTTATTGTTGATTGGCACTGGACTCAGGTGTATAACCTATGAACCTAAATATGCCACCTGGTGGGTATTTTGAACATAATTGCTAACATAGTAAGCCTTTGGTATACATGAAACATTCATCAATTTTCAATCTTTTCTGTGTGAATTATACGTTATTGTATAAGGATAATTCCGAACTTAAGCAAAAAGAGGAAGTTGTCGTTGCACGGTAAGAGATTAATCGTGTAAGCATACATATATTTAACTTAAGTAAAAAGAGGGAAGTTTTTTTTCGTTTTACGGTTAAAGAAATAAGTACTCTATGTATTATATAGCTAAAGGGTCACCTTTTTGGAAAAAAGAATATAAATTACGAGAAAACATGAAATATGAAGATAACGAACAGTATCCAATCTCGAAAGTCCAATAAAACGATACAAATTTGGAGCAGAGCAAACACGGACCTCACAATTTAGAGGTGGGATCAGGTGCCATGGAGGATTGAGCATCACCTGCCGCCCGGTCACACCCGCCTTGTGTTTCTTGTCATGATCGGAAAAAAAAAGAAAAATCCGTAGACAGTTCAGTGTATAACTAATGGCCTAACAATCAGTAAACGTCAGTCAGCATTTGACTCAATGATAGGTTGTATGTGCTGACAAGGTCATTGTATCTACCGTAAAACTTGCGAAGTGGTGACTTCAAATAAGACTGTTGATATCCTTGTTTCATCAACTTGTTTGTCAATAGCTTGCGTCGTTTTAGAAATTGTTCATACGTAGAGCATGCTCTTGCGTATCGAATCAACTGAGAGACATAAACCCCATATGCAGGTGATAAGGGTATATTGCTACATAAGTAAGGGAAGTTGACGATTGAAAAGTTGAAGTCATCACGTTTATCATGAAGCTTTGTTGTTAGGTTACCATTAACGTCTTTTTCTAGTAAAATATCTCAATATGAAACAGATGTGTCAGAATCTGTGGTATCTTTTATTTCAAGCTCACTGGGATATATCGAGTCGACATATAATGAAAGTAATTATTGTTAATTGAAAATACGTCGTCGATATATCGAAATGTCGAGTTGAAAGCCACAGCAAGTGTTTTCTGCTTCTCATGTAGAAGTTTTTGAATAAATCCTGCTTCATATGAATACAAAAAACAGGTCTGCTAATAACGGGGCGCAATTGGTACCAATGGGAATTCCAACAGATTGTTGGAAGACCTGATCTCCAAAAACTACATAGATATTGTCAATCAGAAACTCAAGCATCTTTTTAATATCAACTTCATACAGCCAGAGTGCTTTTTAACAAAATAATTTTGTAAATGACCAATGACAAGGTAAGTACATTTACGAGTTCCATTTTTATTGAAAAAAGCAGCTGTCTATGATGTCTATGATTTTAAGTTATAGATTCTTGGTATAAAAAAATAAATAAATTGCTTAAATGTTGTTACCGGTATGTCACTTATGTGTTATAGTGTAAATATTTTAGTAGTCGATCTGCAGTATGTGAGGAATACAGTCTCGGATATACTTAGAGTAGTAAGATTATATTGAATGTAAAATAATTTAGAGTGTAAACGATACAGGTCTGTTCAATGCAGTGTCATCAAATGTTACTAATTTCTCTGTGGCGTTTAGCATGGGCCTAACGTTAACAAAATTAATAATTGTTTTCTTCAAGTTGACAATTACAACTGAGGGGAAAACTATCAGATATTGCAGAAACAAGTACATGTATATGCACCAGTTTTTGATCTGTATGATCTACATATGTAACAGCAAACTTTTGTTGGATCCTTAGGACGTTATTTAATACAATGCACGAATAGTTTGTACTTAAATGCATTTTATTAGGTCACCTGAGTCACTCAGGTGACCTATTGCTATCTGTTTTTGTCCGTCGTCGTGCGTCGTGCGTCGTCCGTCGTGCGTTAACTTTTGAACATTTTTAACTTCTTCTCTAGAACCGCTCAACCAATTTCAACCAAATTTGGTATATAGCATCTATGGGTGAAGGGGAACAAAAATTGTGAATTTCATGGTCCCTGCCCCCCCGGGGCCTGAGGGGTGGGGCTAAAACCACCAAAAATAATGCAATCTTTAAAAATCTTCTTCTTTACTCCCGGACATGAAGCAGTCAAACTGTTGGCATCATTGTAATAAGCATTGAGCCCTCTACCAAAATTGTGAAATTCATGGCCCCAGGGTCAGGGGTTCTGGCCCCAGGGTGGGGCTATATAGATCATATAGTGAAAGTGCATAAATTCTTTGAAAATCTTCTTCTCTGCTCCTGGGTATTAAATAAAGTTACTAAGTACATAGTTATGATGAGCAAGAGTGCCTCTTCCAAAATTGTGAAATTCATGGTCCCAGGGTCAGGGGTTCTGGTGTTAGGGCGGGGCTGTATTGATTATATAGTGAAAATGCATTAATTCTTTGAAAATCTTCTTCTCTGCTCCTGGGTATTAAATAAAGGAACTAAGTACATAGTTATGATGAGCAAGAGTGCCTCTTCCAAAATTGTGAAATTCATGGCCCTAGGGTCAGGGGTTCTGGCCCCAGGGTGGGGCTATATAGATCATATAGTGAAAGTGCATAAATTCTTTGAAAATCTTCTTCTCTGCTCCTGGGTATTAAATAAAGGAACTAAGTACATAGTTATGATGAGCAAGAGTGCCTCTTCCAGAATTGTGAAATTCATGGCCCCAGGGTCAGGGGTTCTGGTGTTAGGGCGGGGCTGTATTGATTATATAGTGAAAATGCATTAATTCTTTGAAAATCTTCTTCTCTGCTCCTGGGTATTAAATAAAGGAACTAAGTACATAGTTATGATGAGCAAGAGTGCCTCTTCCAAAATTGTGAAATTCATGGCCCCAGGGTCAGGGGTTCTGGTGTTAGGGCGGGGCTCTATTGATTATATAGTGAAAATGCATTAATTCTTTGAAAATCTTCTTCTCTGCTCCTGGGTATTAAATAAAGGAACTAAGTACATAGTTATGATGAGCAAGAGTGCCTCTTCCAAAATTGTGAAATTCATGGCCCCAGGGTCAGGGGTTCTGGTGTTAGGGCGGGGCTCTATAAATTATATAGTGAAAAAGCATTAATTCTTTGAATATCTTCTTCTTTGCTCCTGGGTTTTTAATAAAGTAACTAAGTACATAGTTATGATGAGGAGGTGGGCCTCTTCCAGAATTGTGAAAGCCATGGCCCCTGGGTCAGGGGTTCTGGTGTTAGGGCGGGGCTCTATTGATTATATAGTGAAAATGCTTTAATTTTTTGAAAATCTTCTTCTCTGCTCCTGGGTATTATTTAAACAAACTAAGTGCATGATTATGATGCATAAGGATGCCTTTTCAAAAATTGTGAATTTCATGGCCCCAGGGTCAGGGGTTCTGGTGTTAGGGTGGGGCTGTATTGATTATATAGTGAAAATGCATTAATTCTTTGAAAATCTTCTTCTCTGCTACTGGAGACTATTTAAACGCATAGGGATGCCTTTTCAAAAATTGTGAATTTCATGGCCCCAGGGTCAGGGGTTCTGGTGTTAGGGCGGGGCTCTATTGATTATATAGTGAAAATGCATTGATTCTTTGAAAAACTTCTTCTCTGCTACTGGAGATTATTTAAACAAACTAAGTGCATGATTATGATAGACAAGGATGCCTCTTCCAAAATTTTTGAATATATGGCCTCAGTTTTTGGGGTTCTTGAGGAGGGGGGGGGGGGCTAGGGCAACAATGCTTCATCTATCAGTGTATTTAACTTCTAAATTGTTGTATTATACTCAGGTGACCGTTAAGGCCCTTGGGCCTCTTGTTTCCTTATGAAGTATCAAATTTAAAACTTGAAATTGACTGCAAGAAATTGAAAGCGTTTATGTTGAAAAACGATTTATCCCCTTCGGACATGGCTAAAATACTCTATATTCAGTAGGAAAATATCTTTATATACCACAGAATACCTTAATTATCGTGCAATTCAGGGTAAAAAGGCCAAATAACTCAGAAGAAATCCAATTTACAACATGTTCTTATAAATTTGCACCAACCTTTACGTTGCAATGTCTCCTTTTTCTATCAGAAACATGGTTTATTTTACTTTTTAATTTTCAAACTATAAATATTTTTAAATCAGTCATGCTTGCTTGTATTTTGAATTTTTCAGGCTGAGTAATTTATGTGCTGTTTTGAATGGAATTTCTGGAACAGTGCCATGTGCTGCGCCTGCGCAGGTTGCCAACACGTGGTTTCCTCCTCATCAGAGGACTAGCGCCACAGCAGTCGTTTCAGTGTTCAATTACGTCGGAATTGCTTTGGCATTTGTTATAGGTATTAATCATCATTTTCCAGAATTTTACTATAAAACATCTACATGAAATATTAATATATCCCCCCCCCCCCAATTTTACATAGGTGTTATGTAAGACATTGTGTAATTAGAATAATCCAACTTTGTCCCGGGACAGGCCCTCACCACAGTTAAAATGCCTCCGATACATCTGGGGATTTTACAAAAGAACTTACGACTAAGACCACAAACTTAAGCTGAGTGTAAAATTTTGCAAAATTAATGATTCTGTTTAAAATTGCTAGCGTAAAAATATCTTACTGCATTCCTTTTGTAAAGATAAAAACCATTTTCAATATACTGTAAATTAAAAAGTTATAAGCAGAATTAAATTTGGTCCTGGTCATAAGTTCTTTTGTAAAACGTGCCCCTGCAATGTAAGAGAAATTGCAGTATCGCTCCAAAAGAATATTAGAGAAAACAAATGATGTTGCATTGATAGAACATTCTATAAATGTTACGATGTAAGCATTCATAAAGTCTCTTTTTGTATTTTAGGTCCCCAGCTTGTATCATCACCAACATACAAAAATGAAACTCATATCCAAAATAATACTCGTATACTAAGCAGGTACATTATGCCATAGCAAAATGATTCGTTTAAGAATATAGACATAATATACAATAACAAACTTTCATGTCCTTCAAAAGATTGGATGTTTTAAGGGGTTTTTTTTTACCAATAAGAGAAATGGAATGTTACATACTTTCAGATTAACAGAAGATCTATATATACCTACACATGTCAATCAAAGAAATATTACAAATTCCTCTGAAGGTAATATATATATATATATATATATAGAGAGAGAGAGAGAGAGAGAGAGAGAGAGCTTCACTATATAACAACTTGAATGGATTTGAATAAATGAGTATTTCTTTTGTTACAGTTTTGGTCAACTTTAAGCATATCCAGCAGGACATCATGTATCTTATGTATTACGGTAAGTGGTTTGAGATACACACAAACAGAATAGAGATCACAATATTTAAATCAGCTAAGTGTTTGTTTATAACGATTTACAAGTGCTATATAACTTTTCCATTATAGAATTTGCCGCCTCTGGACTGTTATTTTTAGGCAGTCTTTTCATCCCATCTAAACCTCCATCACCGCCAAGTGTGTCAGCCTCAACAGAACGAGTAGTCTATAGGCGGGCATTGCTGAATATTGCTCGGTAAGGCCTAGTATACAGTTTGAACTGTACACTGTATAAGATAAGCTATACTTGTAACTGACTCACACGAATATCTGCAATTGCGATTCACGACTCTATCATTCTCTATGGAATGATGATACAACAATCAGATACAATAACAAATACTACCTGAGCTGACTGTAGGAAATTTTTTTCCAGCAGTGATTTGTGAATAAAAGATTTGTGAATAATACTTGAAGGAAGTTTTTTGGTTAGAAGGCAATAAATAAAACCCATTCCATTCCAAAGAAAGATTCTGTGCTTTGAATTAGTACCTGTTTGGTTATATTTTATTTCTGGCCAAGACCGTAGATTGTACAGTTTTTGGCAGGTCTAATGAAACATGCAATACAGAATGTTCAAGAGATGCAATAATAACTTGAAGAACTAAAGTAAAATTTGAACTCGATACAATTTGCAACTTACCTCTTACATAAATGTTTAAGACGAGACAATAGTGAAAAAAAAATCAGTATTCCAATCAAACACATGGTATGGTGTAAACGTAATTATTACATAATTAATCACGTAATTATTCACAGTGAAACTGTGATTTATTTATTGAATAAAAATAATATTCTCTCACAGTATGAAAGGATACCAAAATGATATTCTCTCACAGTGTGAAAGGATATCAAAGTAAGTAAAAAGTAATTTCTGGTCTGTCATAAGATAGAGATAGTAATTAAGCATCTTGATAGAGCTAAAACTGCAAATTTCTTCCCAAATATGTTGCTAAAATCCATGCTATGTAATGTTTTCAATCACACCAGTGCTAAGCTACAATCGACGTCTCAACCGCTCAACTATGACGTCAAGCCTAGTATGACACTGTGTTAAGAAAAGACAGAGGCAAAGGGAAAATCAAAGAAAATGTAATAAACAGAAAATTCAATGTTTTGTAGATGAATACGGAATTTATTTCACTCGTGAGACAGGATTTTTTGATATTTTCACTCGTGCTTCGCACTCGTGAAAATATAAAAAAATCCTGTCCCACTCGTGAAATAAATTCCATATTCATCTACAAAACATTGAATATCCTCTATTTATTCAATATATCTAAGGATAACGGAAGAATATATACAAGTGTTATTGTCAATTTTCAGAGTGAACTATGGTACATGCAAAAATTGCAACAATGTCAAATTTATTTATCACCTTGTCCCCAGTGTTATTACTTTGGAAAGGTGATATCATGACCTAACATCTTTTTCTGTCGAACAACGTTGAATATTCTGTCTGTTGAAATACATAAAGTAAATACATCTTCAATATATCGAAAAGAATTTATCGTTTCCAGAGGGCTGAGTACTATTATAAAACTTTTTTTTTCATTTTTCATCATATAGCATGAAAAATATTACATTTGAGAAGCAAACTTTCAAGTTATTTTTGTATGTTTCTCCTAAAAAAACCAACATTGCAAAATGCAATTAAAAAAGAAAGCAAGGACAATATATATGTAATTATATCAACATATCACATTTCCTCTATGGTTCTCTTTGAACAGGAACAGAGCGGTATGGTTAATAGGGTTAGCTTACGCTCTGCCAGCAGGAGTATATGGGGCATGGGGAACCGTTATTGATGTTGTACTGAACCCTCAGGGCATTGGACAGGTAAAAGGAGGAAAATGGCAAGAGGCATTGTAGTCGTCTGTCTTCCATTTCTCATTCCTAGTCATTCATCTTACATTTCTCTGTGTTCCTTTATGTTATCTGCTTGCATGACGGATACAATTGTTGCAGTCCTTTTATTTTCTCAAGCTTGACATTTGCAATGCATATGCTTTGTCGTATCATTAATTATGTTTTCTGTCCTTTTTCTCTTTTGCTTCTCGAGCACACACATCCAGATAGTGCAGAGAGAAACTTTCAAAAAAATAGATCCCAAATCATAAGTAAAACAAAATGCACCAGAAAGTGAGGCATTTTCATTTTTTTTTGTTATATATTTTTTTTATTTTTACCTGTATTCCTATCGTGCTTTAATTTCCTCATATTGATTTTATTTTTGGTTCATTACTGTTGCATTTTATCCTATCATAGTCTCACCTGTGTATGAGTTCTTTTGTTTGATGTAGACATTTTATTTATTTGCCATCTACCTCCAACTGAGCGTGCTTTTGCTGAGGATTGGACCTTGATTTGTATGGTATTCACATTGTATGGTATTCTATTCGTGTTCTAAAGGAAAACTCCGAGATTAAAGCCACTCTCTAAATACGTGGGCTTCTTTTATTAGCATGTCTTCTTTTGCGAAAGTGATGGCCAGGCTTATATATCAAGACCAATTGTTCATCGAACAATTTCTATGTAGTTGGGAGTAGGGTAGTGGATTATTCATGGTGGGTAGGTCAAGTACAAGTATGTCAAATGGACAGTAGCGCTGGATATTTAGAAAATTATATAGAAAGACATATTTTGTGGTTAAAAGGATAACAAAACTAAAAAAAAAACTGATATACCTAGACGAACTGGGATAACAGTGTTGTGCAGTGTTGCAATGCTGGGCAGCTGTTATCGTCAAGACACAAAAGAAATCTATATAGTGACATGTTCTCAAACGTTGCATAAAAAATTTACAGATACAATTTTCAAATCAAATTATATATTTTCTTGAAGGTTATTCTATAATAAAAAGAGAAAGTAAGAAAGAATAGTTTTACTCATAAAATGTTTCTTGACCATTTGTTTCAGACTGAGGTTGGTTGGATTGGATTTTACTCTATAATGGCTGGTTGTGTGTCAGGTCTAGCCATAGGAAGGTAACAGAAGATATTATTTTACCTCTCTGTCAAAAATCAAATTATACTGAACCAAAAAGAGAGCTGAATTTAAAAATATTTTTAAAATTGAATATCTTTTAGTGGTCTTATTTTTAATCTTATGGCTTGTATAGATTTTCAGATGTCTTCATGCGGCATATGAAACTCTTCCTGTTGGTAATGTTTGGTGTGGCTGGAGGGTCTTTTGTGTGGTTCACCCTCATGTGTGTCAAGGTCATACCATTCTCCACAGGTAAATGTTAATAAGAATTTGTACACAATTTCTACGGTATTTCCCTTAATACCCTAGAAATCTGAATTAAAAAATCAAAGCTAAATATCAAGGATGGATTTGTTTTGTGTGTAGGTACCTCTATTATTGGGCCTCTTACATTATATAATGGTTTTCAGAGGTTCGGCTTGCTTGGCTCTACGACAAAGAGCTAAATGTTATCTATTTTTCTCTGCTGCCCAAAAAGCACGCTCATATTTCGTTATCCATCATCAAAGTTATCTTCTTTTTCGTCAAAATGTTTAAGATCTAGTAAATGAGTTTAGACTATCTTCTTGGTGCTAGATTCATTATGACGTCATAACTGATTTAAACTTAATTTTTCTTGTACTTTACGGCTTCAATAGAATTATGTAGAAAATAAAGCACTTTCATGGAATTCAATTTGAAATCATGTCAAATGTAATACCCTTATTCCGTTTAATATCATTTTAAAGAAGAGATCAAGAAGATATGAAAAACCGTTTTCCGAGAGACTGTAGGCAATATAGATACATTTCCTTTGTCTGCGATGAAAAAAAACTCCCATATTTATTCCAGACTTTCTTCATTTTTTATTGAAAAATGGGCAGTTTATAATATGTTTTTTCCGATGAGTTTACCCCAAATTATATCCGGATACACCTTATTTTACCAAGCTATATGCGTAAAGGATCATTAAAAGAATGTGTATTCTGAAAGTGCATAATGTTTTGATGTATTTGTATTTTAGCACAAGTGTACACCTCTACTATCCTAGGGGGAATGTTTCTTAGCGGTACCGTTCCTCTTTTCTATGAATTGGGGGCGGAGTCCACTTTCCCCGTGTCAGAGGGAGTAACGGGTGGATTTCTTACGTGGCTCAACAACTTGTTTGGAATTCTCTTTTTCTTTATGCTACAAATACCAGATATAGGTAGGTGTTAAAACGAGTATAAAGTTGAATTTTACGGGGTTTTTTTTTCCAATGTGCTGATGATCGAAAAAATATATTTCAAACTTGTGCTTATATTTGAAAACCGTAAAATTTTAGATATTCTTTCAGTGCTTAATCCATTAAATAAGTACAATAGTAATTATAACTCAGTTGCTTAAGAATTGAAGGATATGCCTTTTTTTCTATGCACCTTTAAAGAAATATTCTTTACATCTGGTGTTTTTAGGCACAGATTGGATGAACTGGACTTTGGTGGGCAGTGTTGGTGTAGGATTAGCTTTCCTGTTTGTTGTCCCTGAGCGGTACACTAGGACTGATATAGATATCTGTGTAAACAAAACAGAGACTAGTCGCCCAGAATCAACGATAGTTGTCAGGCAGAATTTATACCAGACTTAATAGTCGAAATGGAGTGTTACGAAAGCTTATTTTATTCTTGAACGCACAATGCATAGACTAATCTTTTTTTATATGAATATCATAAGGATTTGTAAGGAGAGAAAATACCTCATCTTGCTAAATTGTGATAATACTTTACTTGTAATCTCATTTTTAATACTTAAACACTTGTGTTTTGATTTTGTAAAGACGAAGTTACATGATACCCATTGTCTTTGCAATTTCTCTAACGATTACTATGTTTACTACACAGATAGAACATGGTTAGAAAAAGATACAAATCTCTGTTTTTCTATTACTAGATTAAAGGTTAGACCAATTCGCAAATTTTCATAGCTTGTGATTGGTCATCTACAAAATTACTTTAATAAGTTAACGTTAATAATCATTCTGATTTTACATACAAGTACTCTGAAGTTGCTATTAAAAAGATTCTGGAGTTCCTCATTGACAATATCTATATACATGGCTCTGATCCTTCGACGTATTTGGCTCCAGTCTTTGGCACCCTTTTTCAGCTCTTCCAAATCTTTTTTATTTCAATATTTTGGATTTCCAGCGATTCGGCTTGTGCATCACTGAAGAGACATAATTTGTCGAAATGCGCATCTGGTGCATCAAAATTGGTACCATATATGATTTACATTATGACCCCTGGGTCGAGACCTCTGCTGTTGGACTGTTAGTCCCTGAGGGTCTCTACAGCCCAGTAACTTAGTACTTCGGGACTAGCTTGAAAATACGGATATATATTTAATTGCTGTGGTAAAATTTAGAAATTTATTTCAAAATCTCCCTCAAGCATAGCTCTGATCCTTCGACGTTTTTAGCTCCAGTCTTTGGCACCTTTTTTCTGCTCTTCCAAGTCTTTTTTATTTAAATATTTTGGATTTCCAAAGTTTCGGCTTGAGCATCACTGAAGAGACATCAAAATTGGTACCGAATATGATTTTCATGTAGTCTTTGAAGACCAGGTCTTCCAAGAATCTGTTGAAATTATTGTGCCCCTTTATTAGCTTACCTACTTTTTGTATTCCTATGAAGCAGGATTTAGAAACTTCTACATTAGATTAAGAAAACTCTTGCCGTGGTCTTTATCAATTAAAAATAGTTACTTTCATTCATACATGTATGTCGACTCGATATATCCCAGTGAACTCGGAATTAAAGACACTACAGAATCTGTTTCATATTTGGATGTTTTACTAACGATAGACGATAGCGGTTAACTACAATTGTAACAAATACATTTTATGACAAACGAGATTTCAGCTTAATTTTCGATCGTCAACTTCCTTTATTTATGTAGTAATATTCCAGCATCACCTGTATATGGTGTTCAAGAGCATGCTCAGGGTACGATCAATTTTTAAACCGAGGCAAGCTACTGACAAATAAGTTGATTTTACAAGAATTTCAACAACCTCGTTTAAAGTAACATTTTCGCAAATTCTACGATCGTTATAATGACCTTGTTTGTAAATACAACCTAGCGTTGGGTCGTATTTTGTCAGACATGTTTCATCATTTGTTACAGTGTAGGTCATTGCTTTTATACTCAAATTAACTAAAGAGCACTCCGTATATCTGATCAATACATAGTGCTCACGGCGGACGTGACCAGTCAATAGGGGAAGCTTACTCCTCCTTGGCAGCTGATCCTAAATCTGGTATTTCTTTTCCTGTTTACGACTCGTTTTGTTTACTGAATTTATGAGATTGATCACTGTTCGTTAACTTCACATTATACATGTACATCAAGATTATTGATATTTATATATCTCAACAATTATATAAGACCCAATAACTGGGACTCCTTCTTCTGATAACCTAATTATTTGTACTCACTACTCTAGTTTGAAAAAACTCCACAGGTTTGAGATACACAAGTAAAGGTCAAGGCTAAAACTCTTGTTTTCAGAATAATGTAAGTTCTTCTTAACCTCAGTTTTACTTCACGGAGAAGGAGGGGTTGAAGAAGGACATACGGTTATATATATATATATATGTACAATGTGGTGTGACTTCTTGAAAAAATCAAGGTTAAGTGCATTGATACTTTGGTCATAACTTTTATTCGATTTTGAGTTCTGAGTTTTCTTAGAAAAATTGAGTTTTTCTCACCAAACTGTGCCACCAAATTAATTTTTTCTCAAACTCGGATTTATCTTTTGAGTTTTTTCTTAAATCTGAGATTTTTCTCAAATCTGTAATTTCTCTGAAGCGTGCGTACCACCAACGTTTTTTTTTCAACTGAGAAAAAATCTGATTTCTCAGAAAATCTTGAGATTGGTATACAGTAGACTCAAATAAAATCGCAGAGAATCTATTTATAGTAAAATGGTCGCAAATCGTATGACAATGCACACTTAACTCCAGGAATACACGAAGTTAAGGTACAAGCACAGATAGCATGTTAATTTCTCCTAAAACTAGATCATCCTGTGATATGCATTATTTACGAAGAGGGTGGGGGTATTTCTTCCGGGTGAAGTGCCGGTTCGTTGAATCTTGTCTCATCAAGTTACTTTCCTCGAACTTTCTGAGGGCAAACGGATTTTTTTTTTATTAGAATGTGTTTCTCCGTCATGCTATGGTGGATAGCTGTATCTACACTTATTTAAGTGGAATTCATATTTTGACGATTTTGGCAAGCCTCTGCACGCAAATACATGTATATGACTTTATTAAAAACTATATACAGAATTGCTTCTTATGCTGATTTTTAAGCATCAAATCACAGAGGCCGGTAACATACGATGCAGGATTTTTCGTGATCATCGCGATGAATAAAGCATCTCGTGATTATCGCGATGAATCAAGCATCTCGTGATTATCGCGATGAATCAATGCAAGCCTCATATATATGCGGCCCCAGTGATTTGCACCAAATATTGAGAATTCGCTAAATAAGTACATGTGCAGTCTTTCGTATATTGACCTTTCATGTTGCTAACTACAAGTACTTGTACAATGTTACATAAAGCAGTTTTCCAGATGTAAGGTGTAAACTCAAAAAAACTTTTTAACCTTACATGCTTTGTGAACTAATTACATGCACATTTAGGAAATAAAGATATTGCTACTAATTAAAGGGGCAAACAAATAATATGAAGACTTTTAGAATTGTATTTATGTTTTCATATTAATAGTTAAAGTATTTACTCCCCCTTTTTGCACGAATAACAACCGTTAAGCATTTAGCGTAATTAGGCATGTTGCAAACTAAGTTTTCACAGATTTTTTTTTTCGGATATTGAGCATGTTCTCGCTAAGAGTGGTTTCCATATATCTTTAATTTAGTCAGTTATTAGCATGCTTTGAATAAGGTCATCTTTATATTTGACCCCAAACGTTTTAATTTGGGTTTGAATCTGGACTGTTCCAAGAAAACGAAAGTTTAGAAACTTCGTTTCGTTTGAGAAACTGCCCTGTGCCTTCTGAGCAATGGCATGTCGATACATAATACATGCAAATTGTTTTGTGTGGAATACTAAAAAAGCTGGTACTAACATCTTTTAGTATCTTCTGATGTGTAAAACAAAGTTCCTCGAACGCACTGTATTTTTCTACATTAACGCATCCGGGAATTGGAACTCGGTCAACCTAAAGCAATTCCGGAGAATTTCAGCGTGGAATGCGAAGGAATTTGGTCAAAAACATGCCAACAGCTAAAAAGAAAGACATGTGGAAGATATTTCAGCAAGTACTCAGTATTCCATTCAAAACACGTTTTGTGAAAACTTAAGTTAATAACAAGCCTAATTGTATTAAGGCTGTTACTCGTGCAAAAAAGGGAGCAACTATATCAGTACTGCAAAGTAAATTATCAATCAGGAATATCAAAACTATACTAAAGCACCGAAATTCATCATACCCTTTTGATTGCAATATATTCATTTCCAAAATACATTTAATTCCCCTTTGTCGAGTTTCTATATTCAGGGGCCTATATATACATGTAGGCCCCTGCTATATCTGCCACTCGCACATTTGCGCTGTTGGGTTAAAAAGATTATTTGAGCTGTACATGTGCCAGTCGCTGTCCAATAAGTTCTCTAACTTATTGGACAAGATGGGATACAAAGCAGCAAAGCACAGGATTTACTGAACAACATGACAAAACAAAATATAACAATAATGTAAGAATAACTATTTTAATATATAAAATGTAACAAAATATTTAATATACAATTAATGTATATTTTCAATAACTTAAGAATTTGAATACCCATTAAAATATCTCATTAATAAATATTGCAAGTCAATAACAAATGCCCAAAGAACAAAATGTTCTTTTTTAAAATTTGAATTGGTACAACATAAAATATTGAGCATTTAGAGCAGCATTGGGACTAAAATATTTTTTAACATTCCTGAGAAATTTGACTATCTTATATATTTATATTTTCATACATGTAATTCTTTGACCATTCTTGTAAAATATAAAGTTTACACTGTGTTTAAGATTTAAAGTGAAAACATTACTAGTCTCTTGTAATGTTTTACTTCCACTTATTTTAAAATATTTTCCCATTCAAGATGGTTTGAAAGACCAGTAAAGCCAAATTAAGGTAGTAAAATTGAGATGTCCTGGTCATGTTTCTCGGGCAAAAACAGTAGATAAATTCTATTAAATCTTACAAATATTTTGAAGTAGAGTAAAAAAAAAAAATAGGGGTTTTGCTGGATTGTAAGAGTGAAAAGAAAAAAAAATCTCATTTTCAATCTCCAATGACCAGGAAAGTAGTTTTAAATTAAGCTTGCTTCTTGTCGGAAAATTACCAAAAACTGTCAAATTTTTTTGTTCAAAGTATATATCCTCTTTTTGGTTGCAACCTATCTTTTTTTTAAGGCATTTCAATAATTAATCTTCATTGCTTCAGATAAGAACAAATGATACTCCAAAGCTATTTTACTTTTCTAAGAATGAATACATGTAGAAGCTTATCAAGTGGTTATACATATATGAGTAGATGAGATCAAATGTGTATAATATCAACATGATACATGTAGATACTGACCTTATAAATAGGACCAAAATATCCCAGCAACAGTCAACATACTTTAAAAGTTGAGTAAACAATCTTAAAACTGGAATAAATCTGAAGGACATATGCAACATAGTTTTGAATTTTATATTCTTATTCCATGTTTAATTTCAGAGTTCTAATATTTGAAGGACATTCGTGCGATTTTATGATGCCTGGAAATGTTGTACACCTTTTCTGAATCAAATTTTAGGGAAATACCAGCTAAAACTATTTTCTGCTAATTTTTCTTTCGAAAAAAATAAAAGGATTTTCATCATTTGATATTTGTTCAAAACTCCTGGCTATGTATGCTGCTTTTTTTCTAAGAACATAAGATTGTATTATGATTTTGAATTAAGTATATTTTGGAAAATTATCGATGGGAAAGGTACACTGTAAAGTTCATGTGCATGAACATTGCATATGACCTTAAACTATATTTTAAAATCGTCCAGATTGAAAATCTATAAAGACAACTCTCTCTCTCTCTCACCAAATTCATCATTATATATTTTCATACACAGTTTGTCTGACTATTATCGTGGTTTCTGGGTGATCAGTTTCTGCTTTGTCTACACAGATATCGATATCAGTCCTGGTGTACCGCTCAGGGAAGACAAATAGGAAGGCCAATCCTATAGCGACACTGCCCACCAAAGTCCAGTTCATCCAGTCTGTGCCTAAAAATAATATTTAAGATTTCCCTTAATAGCACCAGTGGATAAATACCTTACTTTTATTTTAAATTAAATAAATATTGGTAAGACAAAATCCAATTTTATATACATTGAGCAAATCTGATTTCCAATCAAACAAGGTCATAACTGCTGAAATTCAATTTGCAAGAGAATCTTTTTAAAAAACACTTGTTTAGTTTTTTAGCTACATTCATGATCAGATTCATGCAATCTAATTAAAATTAGATGTTCCGAATCCGCTACCGCTTGAGAAGCGGTAGCAGATTCGGAACATCTAATTTTAATTAGATTGAGATTCATGGAACATGTAATCAAAAAATAACTACATACATACTGTATAATGTAAAAAGTTTATTCCAAGCTTATTTTGACACCCACCTATACCAGGTATTTGTAGCATGAACAAGAAAAGAATTCCAAACATGTTGTTGAGCCACGTCAGAAAACCCCCAATCACTCCCTCTGACACAGGAAAAGCTGACTCTGCCCCCAGTTCATAAAACAGGGGGATAGCACCATTAAGAAACATCCCTCCCATGATGTTTGAGATATATACTTGTACTGAAATGTATGAAGATGTACATCGTACTTTAAAGCAATATTTTGTATGTGTATTGGTTCTAGCAAAATTCATATGTTGTTGAAGAGATTGTGACAAATTAGCTTAGCTTGGCTACAATGATGCGATCTTAATTGTAACTCCCAAGATGTTCAAAATTAACATAACAAGATAAGATGGTAATACAAGAAGTAAAGAGATTGGTGTGGACAATTTTTTTCATAATGCCCGTAAGCCTGTATGCTACATAATTGTTTTGAATACTGTTTGAAAATTATAGTAAGGTATCAAATATATATGACAAAACTTACAGGAAGCATAAGTCATTATTCTGTTAGTTTATAGAGAATACTGTAATGCAATAAATTTTGAATATGCTGAAATAGAATACTAAAATATGTGTATGTATATATACAGTTTATCAAGATTAATATGAAAACACACTTACAGCATTGCAGCTTCTGTTAAGAGGTGTGTTAATTGTAAATATTTGTTCAAATCAACACTGAAAACAGTTTTATTTAAATCTAAATACTAAAATACAAGTATTTGCACCAAGTGCATTAAAAAAATGATTTCCCCATTTTAAATTTATCTGCCATACAATACCTGTGGAGAGTGGTATGACCTTGACACACATGAGTGTGAACCACACAAAAGATCCTCCCGCCACACCAAACATTACCAGGAGGAAGAGCTTCATATGCCGCATGAAGACATCTGAAAATCTGTAAACAATTTTAAAAATATGTTAAAGTTATTCTCCTCAGATCAGCATTGTATAATAAAACTAAAGAAAATACAATCGAGTCATTTACCTTCCTATAGCTAGACCTGACACACAACCAGCCATTATAGAGTAAAATCCAATCCAGCCAACCTCAGTCTGAAACAAATATTTTAATTGGCACATGTACCTTATAATGGGTTATTTCAATTACCAGCAAATTTTACAGGTATCACTTGAAAAATCTTACAATGCAACTTCAGTTTGTTCTTTATTACTAGGGGTTTTTTTTTTTGGGGGGGGGGGGGATATTCAGGTTAATTCACTAAAATATTCAAAAATCTATGCTAAAAACTAAATAGCTCTAAGCTCTTACCACACTTAACATTTTAACTTACATACCTGAATCAATTCAAACATAATGAGATTTATATTCATTATTACACAGTACATCCATGATCAAATTCATGTAACTTTGAATCATATTGGTTTTGGTTTGTTTTTTTTTTGCCAAAAAGTATTACCAATAAGTGTAATTATATATACATGTACTTTGAAAACATTCTCTTTTATTAATGTATGTTTATTTTGGTAATTTTTACCTGTTCAATTCCTACAGGTTTCAATATGACATCAATGACTGCTCCCCACACCCCATATACCCCCGCTGGCAAAGCATAGGCCAGTCCTATTAACCATACCGCTCTGTTTCTGTTGAAAAATTATCAAACGGAAATATAATCATGACCTTTCCATCATCATTTGCAATTAGTATCAACAAAAATCCAGATATTAAATAATTTATGTTAATATTAACCATTATTAAGCGGAGTATTAAGATTTTTTTGCAGACTCACTAAATTTAATTCAAAATAAAAGCATTTTCATTCAATCACTTAAAGATTTACAAGTACAACTTACCGACCAATAGTCAACAATGCCTTTTTATACTCGACACGTTGTGTTGAGGCTGAAATACTTGGTGGAGTAGGGGGTTTTGATGGCATCGTAAGACTACATAAAAATAACAGCCCAACTGCAGCAAACTCTAGAATTATTGAAACAACTTTATGAATGATCAACAGTGTTAAAACAGAATATTTTGACAAAATTATTAAAACTTGCTTGTTTTTTAAGGACAGGCAGTTTGTATGACTTAAATATAATTTTTGACTCTTTTCATCTAAAGTATTTTAAATTGAACATTCATGATAACAAAAGTACAGTGATAATCATTACAAGTAATTGAAATCACATCCATCCATAAGTTTTTTGGGGAGATATATTTTCTATATCCTATATGTTTATAGATCTTTTCATCTTGTTCTCAAAAACCTCATAACTTGTTTTCAGTCTAGAAGCAAATTACCGATAGCAATACAATTACTTTTTTTAGTCCTACATGTATGAAAATACATTGTATCTTTCTGGTATGTGAAAAATTGCTCTTAGCAAGGCAATACTTTTTAGGCCTATATACACAAATAAGACATTGTGCTTTATCACTATATTTTATCTTTCTGTTTAATAAAATACATTCATGATTTATCTCAACTCACCATAATACATAAGGTACAATATGTCGTGGCGGATCTGGGTAAAATTAATCAAAACTGCAAATAGAGAATTTAAAAAAAAATTATTTTAAGCTAATTCTAATTTCTGTGATTCAGTAAGTTTCTGTGCACATTCTAAAAAAAATTATAATAATTATTATATATAATACTTTATTGCCATTATGAAGGTTTTTGTGCATGTATTACCTAGAGATGAATTTGACACATTTCTTAAGCTGTGTGAAATTTGTAAATCTTGATCTAGTGCCAATCTAAAATAAGAAAAAAAATCAAGTGCCATTCAATGTACAAAATTATCATAACAGTTTTGAATATTAACCGAGTTGCTATTTAGTTTTCAAGTTAATCATAAATCCAGTTGCTACTTTGTTTTCAAGTTGTCAGATAGCATAGACAATTATTACATCAGAGACCCAAATAACACATTATTCATGTCTATGAATAACATGTAACATGTGTATTTATGTTGCAGCAGTAGATGAAATAAAATTTTTCCTCTATTTTCTGTATAAATCATCTAATTTTCACATTGTCACTTTCTAAACTTGTTTTCTTAGAGAATATTGATAAAATTTGCTGTGTTTCTTCAAAATGGGATGTACTTTTACAATCTTATAATTATATGATTGAAAAATCTAATACAATTACCCCAGTAGTGTAGTCACAAGTTAGAACATGTATATTTAGTTTTGTGTTTTGATGTCAAAATGTAAAAATGACACCAAATATTTAAAAACAGGGGTGTTGCTAAAACACGGAATGGAAAACTTGATATGAGATTTTCTGTTTTCCGTTCCGCTTTCCATTCCGTTTTCCATTCCGCGTTTTAGCAAACCCTTAAAAACAGTAATCATGATATTCCTGTGACACATGTTATTTAATCAAATATGAGATATATTATGAAATAAATAGGGTTATCCAAAAAAATTGTGGAGAATTGCATATTATTCATTTCGACCTGTCTTGGTATGGGTATACATGTAAATGCATGTACATTTATTCCAAAAAATGTTTGCAATAAAAATCCAAGCCAGAATAGTTTGGATTCTATGTTTCAACTTATATTTTAAGTAAAATTCTTAGCTAAAAAGGTGGCATATAGTGCATGCATCAAGATTAACTTAGAAATGAATGTGCACCCCTTCCAACCCCCACATACCCCTACCTCCCCCCCCCAAAAAAAAAAAAAAAACTTGATTCTGGGATACTGATGCAAGAGATACCTGTCATAAAAGTCTAGGTCCCCTTGATTTCATCAAGGTGAGCAAAAAATAACTTCCATCTATGATCTTGAGAATAGAAGTATTTAATGTATAATTTGTACCTGCTAAAAGTAGGTGTATTATTCTGAATATGGGTTACATTTTTATACTTAGGTGATGATACAAGCTGTGGACCTGAAACAGCAAAAACAGTTCATTAAATAATATGTAAATACCCAGAAATATTTAATACACTGCAAAAAATGTTAAACTAGCCTAATTTATACAAAACAAAATTACAAAGATGTCAAATAATTTTAAATTTTGGTGAGTGTTCTTTTTACCTATAACAAAAGCCATAGCTACACCTCCATAGTTGAATATTGAGGCTATGGCGGTAGCCGTCGTCCTCTGATGGGGTGGAAACCAAGTGTTGGCGACCTGTGCTGGTCCCGCAAAAGGCACCGTTCCTGCAATGCCGTTTAAAATAGCGCATATATTCATCATCCTAAAGAAAAGTTAAAAAAAGGAAACAATTATTACTGGATCATCAGACTGATATGAAATTATCCGTCATCAATTATGCCATATCATAATAACTTTTGCTATAATCTGTAATTATGACCCTACCATGTAGCATATTTAGGTTCATACGTTATACATCTGACTCCAGTGCCAATCAACATCAGAACAGTACAGGCCAAAAATGATATACGTAAACCTATTTTACAAAGAGAAAGAGAATATTATTATGTTCTTATAATTATACTACAACATGCTTTTGTCAAACATGAATATTTTGTGTGTTGGGAAGGGGGGGGGGGGGGGGGGCAATACTTCTCTCATTCAAAGTTAACACATGTGGGGTTTTTTTTCCAAATGACAAATGAATTAATTGGTTACTTAATTATTTTTAACATATATATAAAAAAAAAACATATATTTTTTAGTTTGGTTAATATAAGCCTAAAGCAAGCATTTTATATCTATAGATAACACGTATGTAATGACCTTCACAATGAATAGAAACTGACCATTGCACCATTGCATAAAAGTGTTCTATAGATATCTATAGTGTACATGCGTATACATCATGCATGGGTCTAAAGCAAACAAAACATTATACAGGTATTCACAGATACAGTTCACCTGTACTTATAATGGGGGTATGTAAACTTAACTGTCATTCGTTTCCAATATGTGAATTAAATTTTAAAGCATTGTGTACATAGCAGGTACACTGCTTGCTCTCTAATCTTCAACCTTATAAAAGTGATTTTTTTATCAGATACATATAATATGGTTTTATTTTTCTTTAAAGTGCTTCTGTATGGTAGGCATGGAAAATTCATGTGACCTAGTTATTGTATTCTCTTTAGAGAAGTGGACAGTGCTTGTCAACTTCTCCAAAGAGAAAAGATCTTTTGTATATAGTTGCAATTGAGGCACCAGTAGGAATGCATTATATCTCAATAAAAGTTCATTTTACTTTACCGTATATACATGTACATGCTCACCCCCACCCCTGGGACATATCAAGTGTGAAAATACTTAAATGGTACCTGCAAGAAGAGTACTAAAGTACTATACAATGTACATATTTATAAGCCATGATCCAAGATCTGTGATATTGTAGTGACACAGTGTATTTTAATACCTCTAGTATCCATGAAGTAGCAAGCTGGAAAAACGGTGAATATGTAGGCAATGTTTCCCCAGTTAGCTAACATTCCAATCTGACTGTCCTCCCAACCAAACACAACCTCAGCAGACTGGGTTATAGGTCCCCATGTGTTCCATACAGCGGCTTGTAAAAAGCATGCCATACTAAACACGGCCAAGACGTACCACCGCCGTTCATATGTTTGGAATTTCTCCGTCTTTTGAAGAAGCGGTTGCTCTTCTTCGCAAGATGAACTTTCATCGCGTTGTACATATTTTCCATTCTCATGATTTTGTACACCTTTACTTTCACTTACCGACATAATGTGGGAATAGGTATGCGACAGTAATAAATATAAGCCTTATATGTCATAGTGACATCACAGAAGAGGTAGAAAAGGACGGACAATAAAGCCTACTAAGCTTCAACCTTTTCAGCTGTCTGCTCGTTACATAATTGATCAATATTGATGGACTTTGTTTACATCCGATACATTGGAAGACTGTCACATGATCAAAGTCACGTGATCAGTTTTCTTGAGTTAGACAAGTTGAATCTAGAAATATTCGTAATAGATTCAATTTAGCTACGGCGCTTTTTGCCTTTTATCAATTTTATCAAAAAAAATATTTTATACAACCACTTATCTGATCTGATAAGATTTCCACCTATCCAAAAAGTGGAGTTGGGGTGGAGGCTATAAAATAATTTAATTTTTGTAATACAAACATAATGTAAAAGCACTGTGACATACCTGGCCCAGTTCAAATGCTGTTGAACATGACCCACCCTCCCCCCCCCCCCAAGTTTCTTTTTTTTTAAGAGAAAAATTCCTTGTCACGGATTAAAAAGAGTTATGTTTGTTCAGGTCAAAAAACAGTTGTTTGAAGAGAATGTAAAGGCTTGACTCATAAGTTTAAACTGAATATGTTAATAGCGAGCGCAGCGAGCGGCGCGAAGCGCCGCTCGTCACTGCGAGCTCTAACGACAATGCCTGGGCGAAGAGAAAATTCGGACTACTGCACATTCATTCAATAGAATTTTTTTCCGCAGTAATTCTGACCCACAATGCATCGCTTCTTGTTCTCGCTGCTAACTTCGTTCACGCGGTGACAACAACTAAAATTTCACACAAAATTAACTCACCTTAATTTAATGGATATTGCATGCAGATAGTAGATTAAACGTTCTTTGTTAAAATATTTGCACTTTTTAAACTTTGTTTATGGAAATGCAGCTAACATACGACGTCATGTGACGTCACAGTCTGTCTCGTGCGGTTTGAAGAGGCGGATCATAATAATGAAGTGAACACTGCGCTCGCCCCAACGGTCGCACCGTCAACATATTATTATGTTTATAAGCTTAAATTATGCACTTTGAAAAATTTTTATAAAAGGAAAGAAAACAGGTAATATAACAAAATTCTACATGTAAATTTTTAAGAATGCATTTTTAAGCATATACCCTTTCGTGCGTTTTGTAGTGGTGGGGTGGGGGACGGGGTCTCCAGGCCCGTAACAACGGTTTTAAAAGTGGGGGAGTGGCAACTTCCAAAAAAATCTGACAAGCGAAAAAAAAAAACGCGGGGGGGGGGGGGTAACCAGCATCTAAAGGAAAAATTACCATAGCAATATTCTATACTCAGAAAAAAGTGGGGGGGGGGGGGCTGCACCCCCTCGATCGTTTGCTACGGGCCTGATCTCGTGGGAATTCATTTGTTTGATTTAAATTTTATTTCAATAGAAGAAAAGATTCTGAAGATGTTTTGAATATATTGCTCTGTCTATAATATTCAGAGATTTACATGTAGAATCCATTTTTCTACAATTATAAATCAGTTCAATTTTTTTCACTTTAAATAACTCCACTGTGACCCGCCAGATCCATTCCTGAAGTATAAATGTTTGAAGAATCCATAACTGAATTAATTTATAGACATCTTACATTGTATTGAAAATTATTTGCATAGAAATAGCTTTCTAGCTTCTTTTTTAAAAGTTTTGATCCATTTTCAAATTAATTAAAAAGAAAGTTATTAGCAAAATCATATTTTGGTCTTAGTCGTACGTTTTTGTAAAACGCGGCCTGAATCTTCTGGAAACACATTTGTGTTGTATAGTACTTGTAAATTCCATGCAGTTTTCAGTGTAACAAAGGATAATTTTACAGAATTAGTGATATCAGACTGAGTCTGATTCAGTGGTATCAGGCCTTTTAGAAGCAATTTCAAGTTGTGTTTTTAGGGGCTGGGGTGGAGAGGGGGCACAACTGAACATAACTTTTGGGGGAAAATCTTGATAAGCAAAATTTAAATAAAATGAAAGAAAGACAGAAAATGAATAAAATGTCATAAGACCTTAATATTTTTAAGGGGCAAAACTGGAACACCACAACTCCGGTCCACCCTTTTTCTACAAGCCTTGTTGTTATGATTATGATAGAGGGCTACAAGAGGGGGGGGGAGGGGGTTATTATCTAAAATGGATAAATATGTACCGTATATACTCGCCTTTAAGTCGGTCCGCCTGTAAGTCGGTTATATTTTTTAAGGTTATTTTGGAGGGATTTGCTATTGACCTGCTTATAAGTCGGTACAATTTTTTGCCAGAATCAGTTGACAATTTCAAATCAATGTTCTGATGTTTTAACCTGGTTTCAATTAATATTTTTAGAAAAGATGCCGATATTTAATTTTAAAATCATTAAGAAAAATACATAATGCACACTTAAGATAAAAATAAAATTATTAAAATATGTAAATACTTGCACTTCATGTTTAATCTTAGAATACATAAATGATATAATATATCCAGACTTTGTTCAACGATAATCATTGGAAATGTTTATGAAATACTACATTTCACTATCCACAAAAATACTGATCTTTTTATAACTCGCCTATAAGTCGGACATAGAGTTTTGGACCAAAATTTAACTCCCAGAAAATCGACTTATAGGCGAGTATACTACTATACGGTATTCTTTAAATGCAACAAAGTGAAAGTGCAAGATTAAAAAAAAACGAACAATTGTTAAGGTATACGTTAATTTAAACACACGTGAACGATTCAATTCCACTAGAGGGAAAAACGAATAAAAAAAAAATCTAAATGCATAGAAGGTTCCGCCAAAGGGCAAAGGTTATACTTGTATATAAATTGTTTCATTATACTCTACTATTCAACTTTACATGCACTTTATATCGTGAACGACTTCATCTTATTTACCGCTCTATATGATACTGTATTGGTTTCAAAATCATGAAATATATAAATGAATTATAACCGACATCCCTGAAATGGCCCCATGCAATCCAAACCCATATGTCAGCAAAATCAGACAGCCAATCATTGAACACCGCGCCAAATGATGCATAGTATATAAAAAGAGTGAGCGGGTGAGTGCGTGCTACCCGAGACTGCAGTGGACATTACGGAAGCTTCAAACATGGAATCGTGGAAAGTCCTCGTGATTTTGGTTGCAGTTATTCATTGTAAGTTTTTGTCATTGGTTTACAGATTCTAAAAATATTATGACATTGAAAATATTGTTAAACTATTCGAACACGCATAAAACAATTGTGGCTTCCTGTTTTAACTTTACATGCGGTAGATACAATGAAGCGCATTGAAGTGGTAAAATTTTCCTTTTGAATGGAAAGTTTGGGTCTTTCTTATCGAACGTCAAGAGTTACATAATGACGCGCCCATTTCTTTAGAAACGAGAAAGAAATATTCGTCGTATTGCTTTGTGACCTCACTCTCTGCAACTAGCAACATGAGTTACGCTGAAATGGAGAGAGAGAGAGAGAGACTCTCCGCTTCTGTCAAACACGTATTGCAACGAATATGTATATAATTATGAATTTATCATGTTTATTGGAGTTACGACATGTTCGGTCGAGCACGTGTTTATTCGTGTTAATTTAGACTGTCAATTTGATTGGCTATTGTATTTATGGAATACCTGTTGAACAGGTTTTCGAATGAACAATTTGACCGCTTTTTTCCCTTTCTTAAAAAATGACCGTGTCATTGTATGACAATCAACGTTCTAAAAAAATCTCAAAACGTTCCATTCAAACGAAAAATTTACTAATTCAATGCGCTTCATTGTATTACACATTTATAAATTTACATGTATGTACTTATTTTAGGCTCGGTTTCAAGACCAAGCAACCCTGAGAATGAGCTACGTGTTATTGTCAGGCAATTGGAGAGACTCGTGGCCAGGACAGATACTGGAACTCCAGATTCCCCACCTGGTCCACGTGTACCCGATGACGACGACAGCGATTCAACCAATGATGAGGAAATTGATTTATCAGAAGAGGTATATAAAATGCTCTTCGAAATGTTCGACAGGATCCTGAAACCATACTTTGGCAGTTTTCCAAGTGGAACTTTCACATGTAAGTATATGTATATATATATATTAATGGAAAACTATAGAATGTCATTGATTTTTCCATCGATTATGGATAATATTGAATTACACCTGAGTAAATTTTCAGCTACAATGCCACTGACCCGTGAAAGATTTGTGAGATTGTTTAAAGACTGGTTCAAGACGATCGCGGGAAACCCGTCCGATACGACTTTCAGAGAAATATTTTTCAACACAACTGGCACTTTCTTGAATGCGAGGTTCCAGTGTGCAACATCAAAACTCAACCAAATGATTTTCTGTGAGTATAAATATTTTACATATATAAATTTTTATCACAGGAAAGTAATTTTATCGCCAAAATAAAGTATAGTGCCCTCAAAATATTTATTAAAAATGTTATCGTGAACGATGGTCTTCCGGATATAATAAGATCTACGTGTAGTTACATAAACTGGTCTCTGTTCGAATATTAAACAGGTTGGGACCACCCTCACAAATCAAGGGGCCATAGAAAAACTATAGTTGTTTTATATGCATCTTTATGCGGATTTACAAATTTTTCCCTCAATGTTTTTGTTTTTTGTGCTTAAATTTTTATTCCATTTGGGATATTATAACCTAAACAAGCTATTATACCCCATTTGGGCGAGTGGTCCCAATTAATTAACTTGTTTAAAAGATGTCTGATATTGAATGATAATGAATAATATGTGTCTGAACAGTACTGTTTTGTCAAAGGCAATCATAGGATTTCTTTTATAAGGGAGGGGGAGCTGTTTTACCCACGGGGAAGTGGGACGGGATTTACAAATGACTACATAATTTTTTTTTCTTTTTTAACACCTTTAGCTTATATAAGAAATAAATACTTTAGCATATTTTATGTTGGTCTCTGTTATTAGATCTGCATCCCACTTATCAGTTAATATACCCATCACACATGTAACTTAAAACTTTTTATCCTTTTTGATCCAGATGTTCTAAAGGACCAAGAGCGTGCATTGACTGCGGGGGATGAAAAGAGTATGTACGCCCTTGTGAAAAAGATTCTGGGGAAGCATATAACCGACGAGGCCACTCTAAACGAAGTCATGAGGACGATGGTGAAGAACGCCCACATGCATGTCTTCGGAACTATGATGAACATGAAATACTTCCTTTTACGTGGTAAATCATTTGCTTAAATACGGGGGCATATTACTATTAGAGTTTTAAGAATTGATTCCACGAGTCCATGCCTCTGTATGGGCCTATGGGGAGTTTTGGGGGGAAGGGGGGCGTTGTATAACTGGCAGGCAAAAAGGCCTTCAGGGCCCGTTGTACATCTGCATTGGTACATGTATATCCCCACTAGAGCTCATTTCTGTGTTAAGTTTCTTTGACATATAAAGTTAATCATAGACAATGGCGACTATATGTGCACCTTGAAATATAATCATTTTAATCAAAATACTACATGAATGTGTAGTAGTTGTAAATACATATTCTTACCAATAAAAATGACTTACAATTTTTCAGATATTATGGAATTCTTTGGGAGGATGAGGATGATGTTAAACACAGCTGAGAGAGAAACCTGGACCGTTACCAAATTTGAGGAAGCAGTAAAGGAGCTCATGTCCGACAGTAACATCGAGTTCAGATGCCCCCGCCTTAGTGAGCTGTGGGAATACCACCGGGAACTTTTCAGAGATTTCCAAGAAATGTAAGCAGCTATATGTATTCTAGTGTAATTATTTTAGGGGGGGGGGCATTATTAGAGGGTTTAAAAAATATTTTACTTAATCATTCGAGTTCATTGGTAAGACTACAAAGGATTGCATTTGTCCATTTGGGGGGGGGGGGGGGACTATATAGTTTTGACCCTAAAGTCATGGAATTTTGTGAATCATCAACTCGCTTAACTTTATTTGCTCTCTTTTAAATCATGAAAGATTATTGTAATCTGTATATGATATAAACAGGTTGAAAGACGACTTATTATTGTAATCTGTATATGATATAAACAGGTTGAAAGACGACTTCTTTAATGAAGCGGAGACGTGGCTGAAAAACTACCTGGCAAAATATATAACAGACCCCGCCCCCGTCATCAGAGAGATCCTCCCACTGTATACCAAGTATGTCAGGGCGGTGGAATGGCACTTCAAAGAAATTGACAACCACATGATAACCGGAAACTTTGGCGACATCACCACGTTTGTTTCCAAGTTCCTTCGTAAGTAATACAGGTGCAAGAAAATTGCACCCCCATTACATGCACTCTTCCCTTGATCCTTAAAACATTGGTTCCAACAGAAATTAAATTTAAACTAAGATTGAGGTAATAAGTCTCGATGAATTCCCTTTTATTTTTTTTCCAAAATCGATTTGAAAGAATGTAAAAAAAAAAAAAAATCAGATTTATATTTGCCCTATGAAAAGAAAGTTCTTAAAACATAATCTCAAGTTTGAATAATAATTCCAGAGCCGGATCAGTTGAACTACCTGAAGTCCATTTTTGAACATCTGAAAACGACGGGTACGAACACTGGGTCTCCAGGGGCAATGGAGTACCTCCGCGCCTTTGACGAGGAGGAGGAGGAGCCTTAGGAAGGATATGGAGGCTATTAGACGGAGGATTAAGAACCAGACCTTACCTCTATGGACAATTGAAAAATGTTAACAATTTGGACATATGCATCTTTGTTAAGTTTTTGTTTGAAGAATAAAAAGAAGGAAATTTTACACTTTTGTTTCAAATTAAATATTTTTGATTTTTCAAACTAAAAATTGTAACTGTTCTGATTTTGGTCCCTCAATAGAGACCATAAGGATTCAAATTTTTGGAACATATTCTATATCTGAAGCTTCATAGCATTAAAACTTCTACAATATGCGAAGAGGAATTGTTAAAAAAAAAATTAAACTTGTACCTTGGAACCTAATAAAAAAAAATGAAATTATTTTGATGTTGTACATGCAGTGAATGCTGGGATCCTTGCAAAACCTGGTCTGAATTAATTTAAATAATTTTTTATTCAGGCTATGAGACAGAATTCAAATTCTTTTCATGTATAATGACCCAAAAGGATGCAGCTACTTCATATCGGTATCCTCAGCCTGGATGACTACAAAAATGTTCAGAGTCTGAAATCAAAATGAAGAAAATCTGTTTATAATTCAAGATTTAATGCTTGCAGCAATGATACTATGTATCATAACTCTAAAAACATGCATTAGTTTGTCTTCATTCAAAAGAATTGATTGGTCATTATTCCGATTCCTTCGATAGATTCGATTGAGACTTTTACTTGGATACTAAATCTTGTGCAAATAGTACGAAACATACCTTTAAAAAAAAAAAAAAAAAAAAAAAAAAAAAAAGAATTGTAATAATGCATTAGCATTTAAAGGAAGTTCAGTTGTTTTTTTTTAACTATATTTTGCAATGCTTGAATTAGCATTTTCTCTAAATTTTATTTTTACTAGTCTTTTTTTACGTAAGCGCATTTAGGACATAGATACATGTATCGATATCCAATTCAAAAATATTTTTGATAGATCCTCAATGGATTTCCGTAAGTATGTGGAATATCTAAATTAGGCAGCCGGGATCATAAATAAAATTTACCGCAAATGTAAGTAATCTAACTGAAATGTTTACAAAATGTCACTTAAAAATGCAGGTACAAAAGAATAGGTTGATCTCTAACAAACTTATTGATGTACATGTATCATGCTTTAGATAAACAATTTCGCGAAGTTAAGCCAGCAGAAGAAGAGAAAAGAGCTGCATAAATTCTTTCTTTGTGGTGCCAGTAGAAAAAAGCGGTTTTTACAAATATATCATAGAGACAAAAATATTACATTATCAAAATCATATAATGCAGGTTAGAAAACTGAAAAGGAAAAAAGTGTGTTGTCGATTTTCAAATAAAAAATCTAAGAGGAGTGGGGGGCATACCCCCAAAATGCCTGTGCCTTAAGCTGACCAATTCCTTGTGTCACATGGTGAATTATAATTAATTAATATTACTAATTATCATTCATATCATATTCATAGATTTTTCTAAGGCATTATATTATAGTAACTAGTGAATTCCGTTCTCACTACGGAATTTACTACGTTAATTCATTGCCTTATTCATTCATTCATTTATACGGGTGAGTGGTCAGTGAGAGTACGGGTGTGTGAGTGGTTAAACTGGTTTAACTCTGTCCTCTGCGCATTCGCGCCAATACTAATTCTCGGGCACTCCAACCTTAGAATTTGGGGAGAGAAGACGCTCTCTCTCCCCAGCACAAATTTATCTCACGATAACTGTGAACTTCGTCTACAATGACGGTAAGAAATAATTGGTAAATTATTTCTAAGGATTCAATTATTATTCAATAATCTATTTGATCATTTTATTTAAATCAAGTATTTTATAAATTCTCCAAATTTAAAAAAAAAAATCTTTTAATTATGATCCGCGTAAAAGTGTGAGTGGGGTGAGAGATATTTAATACCTGTTGTTATATTTCAGGTCACCCTTCTTTTTCTGTAAAAATTTCATAATCGTAGAATATATATATATATATATATATATATATATATATATATATATATATATATATATATATATATATATATATATATATATATATATATATCAGCAGCCGTGTTGAGTTTTATTTCTTCAACAATATATCTTGCAACTTATAAAAGGCTTTGACACTTGAATTTTTATTCGCCTTTTTTTCAAAAGAATGTTATACCTTGTGCAAAGGAATGATTCTCTATTTGAACAAGTATCAATTTATCTTCTAATTTGTTCAAGCCAATATATTCCGAACCAATATTTAATTATTCCGAACAAATACCTTATTCGTCCGAACAAATATTTAATTTCCGAACGAAAAATCTAATTTGTCAGAACAAATATCTAATTTGATCAAACTTCAAAATGAAAATTAAATTCTTCTGAACGATTTTTTTTTGAGGGGGGGGGGGGGAGGGGGCTTCAGAAATGAATTTCATTTTTAAAAATTCATTAGGATATGAACTACGACGCTTCATTTGGTAAAGTCCATAAAGTTAGTGCTTCGTGATAAATTTGCAGGCGCAGGCTAGTAGAACCCCCCCCCCCCTCCCCACTCCAACTTTTTTCTGAGTATTGTCTTTTGTTGTTATTTTTAAAATGTAAAGTTTCATTTAGATGCTGAACCCCCCCCCCCCCCCAACGTTTTGTTTCTGTAAGGTCGGACACTGGCAAATTCCAGCATTTGATTAAAAAAAAATACTAAAAAGTTAAAGGAAGGTCCAACACCATCCCACTTTGAAAAAAAGGATGCTACGTGCCTAACATGCACACAGAGCATGTACATATACATGTATTTGTTTTTGAAATGTGTCATGCGGAATTAATTTAAAATCAAAATGAAGAAGTTAATGTTGGAAAACTGAGAATCTAGGACTATTTTTTCAGACCCATGGGATCTAAAAGGGGCACAGGGGTGCCCCTCCCCTCAATAATTTTGCAAACAAATTATAAAGCAAAACTAATTTACGATTTTGCCCCCACTTCTTTTACAAGGAATTTCTCATTTCTGTTAGCCCCCTCCCCCCAAACTCCCTTAACCCCTCGAAGATGCTTCCAACGGGCCTGCGTTCAGATAGATGTTAAAGAACTACGCACGCTAACTTTCGATTCCCGCCTACATTTTACACCCATTTAATTCAATACAAATAGCAATTTGGCCGTAAAATTTCGAAGATGCTTCCAACGGGCCTGCGTTCAGATAGATGTTAAAGAACTACGCACGCTAACTCTCGATTCCCGCCTACATTTTACATCCATTCAATTCAATACAAATAGCAATTTGGCCGTAATTTTTTTGTTGAATGCAAAGAACAGTTCAATGGTAATTGACTGATAATTTCATTTCCAGTGTTAGGTAGTTAATTACCCCTAATTCCAGCTCTTTAAATAAGGGGGTAGACGATATTTTTCATTGAAATCAGGCTTTAAAGCATCACTTTATTTTAAAATATTCTTGGATATGAATAAATGTTCCTTAAATTTTTTTAATGTTTTTACTCATATAAAATTAAACATATATTATTAATAAAATACAATGTTTTAGTTGTAAACCCCTTTGAAATTGGGTGGAAAAAATAAGCATTTTTGTAGTTTTTTGTCTGTAAACATATACCCCCCTCCCCTTTGAAACACAAAAAGCTTTGGTATGAATTTGTGAAATGACAGTCCATATTACCTGTAAAATTAAAAAAGGAATTTTTGTTTCACGGTTGGGGAAAGATGTTTTAAAAATATTTTCCATTTTTCGTTGATTTCTATAGTGAAAAACACAAGTTTTACCAAAATTATAGAGTTATCTCTCTTTGTTTTCCCAAAGAAGTAATGTTTTATGAAAATTCACATAAATATCTATATAGATATGAAAAATTATTTAAATGTGTTAACTTTTGAAAATTGACTTGGAGGTAGGCGGGAGAACAATACTATCGTTCGCAGTTCTTTGTAATTTACATGTAGGGAGACGAGAGGGCGTAATAAGTTTTAAAACTTGTGCCCAAACACTTTGTAAATATAAATTAAAATAATTATGTTCATAGAAGTTTTCGGTCTTAAAAATTCCTCCATTGTACATATGTATATTGAATACGCAATATGAACATTTCGTATATATTTATCCATTACCTTTAACACATTAACACACGCAGTATACCATGAAAGGACTTGTTAAATAAACAAGGCCAACAATTAAAAAAAAAAAGAACGAAAAATAATAAATGTATACATTATTTTAATAAAATTCATTATTATTTAATTATTTTGCATTCCATAAAGATAAAAAAGTAGAAATAACATTAGATTTTATATGATTACATACATCGTATGAAATTAGATTTGAAAGAGCCATTCACAGTTAAATATAAAAAATCCTCAATGTTCGTCTTCGGACCCGGAAGCTGATACTTCGTCGGACACAATCTGTACATTTTCCCCGAACAGTGCATGTCGTAGATCTGCAATAGCTCTCGCTTTGCCATGAGCGTATTCATAGTATACGTTTCTCATTCCGTCATAAATGGCAATTTTCAGTCTGAGGGTGTATCTAAAAGGACGACGATTTTCCTCCGTGGCTTTTGCGTATCTTGCTTGCAGGTCCGACATTTTGTTGTTAAGCTGGATGATTTGGTCGCAAGCTTTCTTGAAATGTTGTTCGTTGTCTTTCAAGGTCTTTCTCCTTGCACTGACGACTCTGGTAGTTTTCATCCTTATTTTGTAGAATGTCCGTCAGATAACAATGTATTCGATTACTTAATTGTGATGATCGTCTAGATCGCAATTTTTATTTTATAATCCGAAGTGTCATAATCGCTTTAGTCGCTAATTGAGAAACTCGTTTCATTTCAGAATGCGAAACGAGCCGCCCAAATAAACATGTCATTACCGTTCAGCCGTCTCGACAACAGTGAGGTGCAATGATTGTTGAGCTTGGACTGGCACAATTAATGTCCCGCCCAAAAATTACCGTTAGTGTTAATTATCTTGATTATCTACGGCCAAATTGTGCTGCAGAAGTAGTTACATTGTAACTCTTTAATCATGTTTTCTGGTAAAGCTCATATTCGATCACAAGTAGATTAATAATTTATTTTTTCACTCGTATACAAAATACAGAGAATATCCTACAGTTTTAGGTCTGTGTGCCCTGTAATAAATTAAAGAAGAGAAAATATATTAATTTTGAATTAAACTAAATAAATGTAATGATACATAAAATGTATAATTGTTTATCCGATTACATGTATATAAAAAAAAAATACAATATCAACTGACTTTCAACAGTTCAAATGTACAACAATATCAACTGACTTTCAACAGTTCAAATGTACAACAATATCAACTGACTTGCAATCAACTAATAATCTGATAATCATGATAATCAGCTGGTGATCGTACATAAGTATCGAGAACTGTACTAAGCAAAAGCAATCAACTTACCAATATACCCAAATATCAAAAAGAAAAAATATCCATCTTACACGTCAAATTCTGCGACAAAGGGCAACCCTCGGATAGAGTGACCCCCTTTGTTCAATTGTTGTGACGCGCTTCACTTAGCTGACCCACGCTTACCTTTCAATATATTCGACCAATCACAGGTCTTATCAGAAATCGCGAAGATCCTCAGGCAATTCCGATTCGCTCCAAGGTACGAGCCAAAGAGCTCTGTAGTGAGTGCGAAGAAGATTAAATGGATGAATGATTGAGATGTTCATAAAAATTTTAATCACTACCCCTCTTATTTTTCTTGCAGGATTATCCGATCTAAGAACTTTGATATGGTGACTTATTTTGATAAAATAAACGATAAAGGGAAACCCTAACGTTGAATAACTTTGAATACCAATAACTCTTTGATTAGCTTTCTGTGAATCCCTTTTTACATTAATTTAAAATTAAGTAATTTATAAAATAACAATGAACAGGAGAATTAATGCAAAAATTTCTCTATTGGTCACCACTTTTAAAAACGCAAATATCAGATTTGAAATAGTCCAAATTATGGAGAAATCTTGACATTAATAGCTACATGTAGATAGAAATTTGAAAGATTTTGTTATCAGTTTGCAATTGTATCAATGACAATGATTGTACTAGGAAAAAAAAAAGAAATCACATACGCATGAAAACAAACAATACACAAAAAGAATTTATTCAAGTAATTCTAGTCTTATCTTATACCTTTCAAAAACTTGGTTTAGTTGTCCAATCTTACATTGTTAATTAAGGGGAGTCCAATCTTATTTCTTTAAAATAAAACATTGTCCAGGCCGGGGAGTCAGAAGGTATTAATTTAACACTGGGGCGGCGAATTTGATCGTGAAGTAAATTCGGACATGATTTGACTTGATATTCAGATTTTCAAAACCTTATAGTTTGATAGTCATTGTCATCAACCTGATGGCACACCTTTTCAAAGAAAAAAATATATTTAATGTGTTTTAAACCACGGGGTTGGATGAACATAGTTCTTCTTGTCGAAAGAGTATAACTATTTAGTCCAATTCAAGTGTAACAAAAGAAAAAAAAAAATATAATTAAAAAAAATCGATAGTAGTCTTAACATAATTTTCAATGTTATCCTTTAAATTATATATCAAACACGTATATTATAGCAGTCTCCAATTTTTTTTTATTTATGACTTTCAACTTGTAATCATCAAAGTTTCAAATCATGGACCGATCTATCTGTTCCATTGACCACAGATCGCCATTATATTGGACATATATCGTTGTTACAGTTTTTCAAATTTCTTCCCTTTTCTTTTTTTCCAAAACAATTGGGCGGCGACATGTTCTGACGCCCGAGATGTTAATAGCTTTTTAAATTTAATTAATAAATAAGAAATAAATTAACAAACAAAGAGTTTTTCTCAAGATGAATTTGATCATTTTTTTTAAAGGTATTTACTTTTTTAAATTTTTAAATCTTGTTAAAATAGGAGTTATTATTCTTAGTTCGTTTAGCAAATACGATTGAAAAAAAATACATATACTGTAATAGCTTAATATTTTTAATTGTACAATATGAGGCCAACACCTATACTTTAACGTACAATACTTGTTCAAAGTCTATCCTGCAAAAGGGAAGCACCTCTTTACACTCATCCTTCATTTAAAAGTTTTTTAATGTTATGTCGAGAGATTTGTTTAAATCAAGAAAAAAAAATCTAGTAAATGTACGAAAAAAAAAAAAATCACAAAACAGGCGAAATCATTTTGATAATAGAAAGGAATGTGTTAATAGTGAGTTGCTAAGAATGCCCATATTAAACCTTTCCTTCTAAAAAAAATTTAGCAAATTAATTAAACAAATTAATTTGTTTTCATTCCAAAAAAATCACACTCATAAAGTGAAAGATACCACCAAACACCAGTTTTTATTTTATAAAAATCTAATATTTTGAACTCAATTTCTTTGGGGGAAAGTGTCTAAAATTAAATTACTTTTGGCAAGATGTTCGATCGATTACCGAAAATAAAAGGCATTCATTTTTACCACAGTTAATTTCATAAACAAACCTTTTTAAATGGATTTAAAAGGTCGATAATTTACTTTCATTTTAGACACACTGACACGAAATTAATTTTGAAAACTTCTCCGCAGTTTTATACATGAATAAATAAATGTGACTGTGACAGGTCTGACTATTAACCGTCCAGGAAGAACTCTGTATATTTGAGAAACTGTGTCATTCATTTGTATAGTTTCTACATTGACATCTGTTTTTTTTTAAAAACTGAACTGTTAAGATTTATCTTTTCATGTATATGTCATTAAACTGAATATTGGCATATGTTACATTTATGTCGTTTTTGATAAATATTTTGCGACACTACAATGGCACGCACAGGCAGTACAACACACAAGTGAGCTTTTTTATACTATTCTCATATATATCTTTAATAAATGTCATATAGATTTTTACATTTACATACACGTATATACACATACACTATGGTTTTAAAACACAATTGATAATACTTTACAAATATATATTCACATGCATCAGGAAACATTAAACACAAATATATTCAAAATGCCATAAAAACATTTAGCTTAATAACCACCCTTCCCAACAAACCTTCGAATTTACTTTCGTATTAAAAAAAATAACAGACATTAGACTTGAACCTATCAACATCCAAAGTGTATACATATTTTTCATTTTCTAATTCATCACACAAATCTCATCACACATGTATAAAGGGACTTTTCAATATTTTGCCAAATAATAATCAACAAAGTGAAAATTGTGCATTATTGTCATCTATGCTTTCGGTCGATCCGGCCCCTCGCAGAATGGCCGATTCCGTATTGGTGTCTGAGTAACTGTTAGATGATCGCATGATAGCTGACTCTGAATTGCCTTCAAAAGAATACTCTCTCTGAATCACGTTAAAAGTGTCCATGCTGATATTAAGCGGAAGTTCAACACCAGGAGCTGCGTCGTTCGATTGAAGACTACTCGAAGATCGAACCGGAGAAGATAATCTTTCACAACTCGTCCCCGGAGTCAGATTTTGTCCACTTTTCGTGAATTCTCTGGAACCGGAAATGCCAGTCTTTATGGAAGTTACAATGTTTTGAACAAAGTGAAGTTTGGACTTTTCTCTTCTTTGTTCACCGAAAATGTCATCACACGACTTGAATGATCTCTGGATGCCTTCAACAGGCTCTGAAGTAGATCGAAATGTTGTAGGCGTTTTCGAAGAATTACCGGGATCATCAATCAAGGACTTTGAGCTTTTACTTCTAAATCTAAATGTTTTCATGATTTTCGTCACAAATTTTTTACTGGATTTTTTCACGGTTCCTGGGTTGCAACTGGAACATGAATTGTCTGAAGAATTTGCCATTTTTTGATCACTGTTCGAATGTCGAAGCCGCACCTTTTCAGTGTTGTCCAAAGATGAAAAATCTTTCTGCACAGCTTCCGTTTTGGGGGATTTTGACATTTTACTATGACAATTACTGGACTTGGATATGTTTTGACCACAGTTGTTTGACGAAAATGGTCGCTGTATGTTATGTATCCGGGACACGTCTGGCACTTCTTCGTTATCGATGATACTTTCCAGAGATTCTATTGAAAAAGTCCTAGAGCGGTTAGATTTGCCTGACGATGACGAAGAGTACGAATTCATCGAGGAGGAAGGAACTGATAAACTATTGCTTGAATATGAGTTGGATGAACTGTTTGCACTGGCGCTGGATGAAGACGAAAAGGAACTGTCTGACGGATTATACTTGGGAATGTATTTTATTTCCAAAGAAGCAGACAGAAGTTTCCAGAATGGTAGAGTATATTTGAGACGTTGGAGCTTTATTGCATTGATGCCGCGGAGAACCCTGGGATAGGAGGCGTCTTCATCCTTTATGATGGGGATGATCTTTCTTCTCTTTGCGTCTATAATAATTAAAATTTGTTAATTAGAACTATTTCAAATAAACATTAAGCTTTTTCATATAATAACAAAATATTTTCTTCTTTTTTATTGAATCATCCATATCATGCTACATTTGTATATCGTAAATCCTTTTTACGAGTTGATGGAAAATGTTTTTTATCATAGTTTTACATCAGAATATGTCTGAAAGGGAATCAATTTTTTTTTTTTTTTTTTGAAATTCTATATTATATAAAATAAAGACTTTATTACATTCATTTCAAGAGTATGCTGCAGATAAAATTTCTACAGCTATAAAATTTCTACGGCTATGAAGTGACGGTTCTTGTTTTCGATTTCAATTTTTGAGGAAAACTGTCACTCTGTTGACTTATTATTGATACTTAGAAAAAATTCTTAAACTTTCTTTTCGGTGTGTCAGAAATAAATTTCAGAAAATGAATTAAAAATATAATTGAAATTTAATTAATACAAGGAAAATGGCAAATTAACTTAGCATGTCTTCAAAAACATGGTATTACATTCATATACAAGGAAAAAGATTATTTTATTATCTTTGAGAAATGAATATATAATGCATGGTTAAAAAAAAGTATTGCGCGCTGAACAGTTTTTCTTTTTAAGAAAAAAAAAAACATTAATTGCTTTGTCTTATTTGGCGAAGAGCAATTATGTTCAAATGTAATCACAATAAATAGGCAGATTACAGTCTGATTTTTTTTCTTTCGAAAGCTTCCCCCAGTGTCATTTAAAACAGTTCAGTAAAATTTGTGATGAGACGATAAATTTGTGATTTTGTAAGTTAATTGGATTATATGAGACACATGAAATATGGAGGTAACGAACATTATTCCAGCTCAAAAGTCTATTCAAACAATACAAATCAGGAGCAGAGCAAACACGGACCTCTATAACATCAGAGGTGGGATCAGGTGCCATGGAGGAGTGAGCATCTCCTGCCAATCGGTCACACCCGCCGTGTGATCATGGTCAAGATTGGGAAATAACGGAAAAATCCGTCAACAATTCAGTGTGTAAATAATTACCTAACAATTAGTATGAAAAACGTCAGTCAACATTTGACTTAATGATAGATTGTATTTGCTGAAAAGGTCGTTGTATCAACAATAGAGCTTGCTTAATGGTGACTTTAATCAATACTGTTGATATTCTTCTTTCATTAACTTGTTTGTCAATAGCTTGCCTCCTTTTATAAATTGTTCATACGTAGAGCATGCTCTTGTGTATCGAATCAACTGAGAGACATAAACCCCATATGCAGGTGATAAGGGTATATTGTATTGTCTCTCAACTGTTCAAAAACAAACAAACAAACAAACAAAAAGGTCTTAATGAGTTGGAAAAACGAACAAACATATGGGACAGAAAAATGACAATTTCAAGAAATGCTCAGTTTGTTTACATGTAATTATAGAGTTGTTCTTATGACGAACATTTTGGGTCAGAACTGTCAATCTATTCATTCAACCACGTGTTAGGTTTCTTTCGACGAAATTTATTTGTATCCGTACATAAAAATCTAAAATCTTTTTACGAGAAAAAAAGATTACGAGAAAAAAAATTTCGTATGCCGTTGCACCACGATTCTTACATTGGGACGGTATCCCTTGCAGTTTTCTCTGCAACTTGAAGATATAATCATATACGTTTTACTTACAAGTCGCAGGGTTATTAATTGATTGACGTGTATATAAACCCAAATGCTAATTAGAATTACGAGTAGGTTGAATAAATTTGTCACCTTGCGTAAAATGTGCCCTAGAATGCGGCGACAATTTTCTACCTGAGGAAGTACAGAATAAAAGGATGTTTGTTTCTTTTGCTCTTAAACACATCCTCAGCTATAAACAGCTGACGATAATGATGTAAAAGTAATATTTAAAAAAAAAAAGAAGATCCACAGGTAAAACGTAATTATGTTCATGCAGTATCGCTCTTTTTTGAAAGTTTCCCTCCATTGGTGCATTCTATGGCCAATGAAAAATGTTCTTTGGATTAGAAATCTTTTCATACCATAAGGAATATGTTAAATCTGGTCTAGCAAACCTCATTTGTATAAATTTAGTTTGACATTTCTTAAAAGAATTGATCCTAAAGTTAAGTCTATTTTTAGAATGACAGAGTTATAAAGGCTTTATGATAATTATTTTAAAAAAGTACACGCACGTACAGCTGATTTGAACATCTGTAATGGTAGACTTTAACAACTTTCATCAAGTTAAGCCAACTCGTCTGTCACTAAACTTCCTTATATTTTTTCAGTCAAACTAATTTTTTTAAACTTAATATATCTATTTACGCATCAAAAATAATTCGTAAGAATGATTTGACAATACACTTAAAGCACTTGAGCCAACTCGCAATATGCAATAAATGTTCCATGAACCTGGGTTCATTGGGCTGATGTATTCACCCTCTCTATATTTTAATTTTAATCCATTTTTCAGGAAGAGATTCCAATCTCAATCCAAAAAAAACATGAGATTAGTAAAACGAATATTGTTAAATTATAACCGACCTGGATCTAAGGACTTGACGAACTGTGTGGAGAATATACAGGCAGAACTGGCACCATAAGTCTTCGACATAATGACAAGAAGGCGACCGTCACACCTGTATCAAAATCAGGGTCAAAATATTAAGAAAAATCTTTATATCAGACTATTGAAGCAGATTAATATTTCAAAAATACATAGAATGTGTGTAGAATCTTTGAAATTAAAGATTTTTTTTTTAAAGAGTTTGTTATTGAACATTTCAGATTACAAGCATCACCGCCTACTGTTTATCAAATGGATATTTTGTTACAATAGGTCTAGTGTATATATCTTCCAAAAACAAAATAATTTGGTTAAATTAACATTCGAAAGTCATTTTTCTTTTCAAATATCATGTGAACTTAATAAGTTTTGAATTACACTCCAAAAGATGGAACATGATAAAACAAAGTTCAAATGTACTAAATATTGCTCTTATTTCTCAAAATCTTATTCAAGTGTGATTATCAAATGATGATTATCAAAATGAATTTTATGCTTGTGCATGTAAACTGTATGTGTACACAATCTGACCATGAACTGTGAACACTCACCTGTCTTCAATGACCTCTGCTAGGGATTCGTACTCGTATTTTCCGCCCAATAGTTGTTCCTGGGGAAGGAAGAATTGTACAGTATTCGTTACCTCTCTGTAGGCTTCGATAATCGTGTGAGCAATTTCTATGTCTTCATCTGAGCAACATATACAAGCAACATACGATGCCTGGTTTCCATCAACTGCAGGTAAAAAAACAACCACAACAATTTAATCATAATTACTGATTTGTTACTAGAATCAATGCGGATGTAGTTTTAAAATGATAATTACTGATTTGTTGTACAATAATAATTATAGAAAACTTTGACCCATTCCACTATATATCTCTGGCCAAGGGCAAAAAATGACAATGCACTTTTTTCAAGCAGTTAGGGTCAATTTCTGGGACCAGTCACAAATTTCGTATGACACAAAGCAGAATGCGCAGAACATGATTAATTCCTCGAAAGTTACTTTGTTCGTATGAACATTACGATACTTGTTATAATGGCTATGTGTCAGACATATACCTCATGGGGGTCACGTGTATAAATAGATATATTTCAACCTCTAGCCAAATTAATAATTCTGTTACATCCTTGTATGACTTGACTGTTTACTTACGATCGTCCAAGGTCAATGGTCCATCGCTGTGGTCACTTTGGTCTCCTGTGGACTTTGTGGGGGACACTGGTGAAGAGACACTGTCCACTGGCGAGGAGAATATGTCCCCTCGCTGGAAGTTGTTTGGTGTTGGAGCAGGAAGACGTAACTTTGGAGGTTGGGTGCGTGGGGTATCTACGACTAATGAAAGGATAAATATAAAGTAAATTCATACACTTTTTGCGATGTTTACTTACTGTTACATGTAATCATTCAGAGAGAGAGAGAGGGGGGGGGGAGGAGGAATGCTAAATGCATTAGATATTATCATAGTATACTGTGATATTACCTAAACGGTTTGGTTCTTTGGTATCACTGTCCAGCCAATTCTTGATATCTCTTGCTGAAAAAAGGAGGCAATGTATTACACACTTTTCTCTTTCGGTATAGTATTTCAGGAGTGTTGTAAAACTTAATGTATCATCACATTCTCTTCTATGATGTATCATTTACTATTTATTTATTTAATTAATTTATTTATATATTGTTCACTCCTGTAGTTTTGAAAATGTTTTAAAAAATGTTGGTAAAAGTAAATTTATTCTTCATGTACTACATTTAAACACTTCCTGGAAACAAGATTCTATGTAGCAAAAAAGTAATGAATGTGTATTACACACAATATACAGACAGGCGACATTTCAGGGAAAATTCATTTCAAGGAACATCTTGTTTTGACCTAAAGAATCCTTTTATTTTGCACCTGGCGCCGTAGATTACATGTACATTCGTTCTCTTTTTATAATGATTCACATGTCAGTGATAGCAATGACATGTTATAAAAATCCGACCTAGTGATGTATAGTGTAAAAATGAAGACGTAGTTTATTGTTTGTCCTAATCATCTTCCACAAGGAAATTTTACGTCTGGCACGTCTGTTCTTAGAGTCCTTTCCCTGTTTTTACGCTGAATAAAGCAAAATTCTGAGCCTCTCTTTTAATGTAAGAAAACTCCAAGTAACAAAAGTAATGTAACCCCCCCCCCTTTTATTCTTCTCGATTACAGCTCATAAAGCGGATTCTAATGCAAGTATGACAAAGGCAACATTGTAATAAAGGAATATGTCCATTTTTAAGGGTCCGTGAGGATGATAACCGACCTAAATTCACGTGATAAATCTTGCAAAAGCGGCTCCATGCTGAGCCCAGGTCCTATACCAAAATATAGAGACTTCTTCCTTAATTAAAATGTAGTCTAAATGTTGACGATAATGAAAAGTTGATCAATAATGCAACAAGTACACTGTATTTCTTTTGGCAGGAGTGTGAATTATGAAGAAAAACCTGGACTATGGGTAAATTGGTAACGCCGGACCGTTTCCTTCAATATTACATTTCGATCTGTTGGGAGTGACGTAATCATGGTATAACCTTCAGACTTCACGCACAGGCAGATTATGATGACCTTGGAATTGACCTTGCCTTCGATAATTGGCATTTATAAATAAATAATTTAAAAAATAATTTCTATTTTACAAAAAAAAAAAAAAAAAAAATAAAAAAAAAAAAAAAAAAAAAAAAAAATAGATGATCTTTTCTGATCAGTATCTTGTTAATTCGAACGTGCATATATTAATTAATATCGGATTGACCTTGACTTCCAACTTTGACCTTGAAATTATAATAAAGTTATCTCTTTTGGGGATATGATCATGTCCTGATTACTTCAAACATGTGTATATCAAGAGGAGATGTTTCAAAATTTGTCATCAGAGTAAATAATCTTAAACTTTATATCCTTGTAATCGCTGAAACAAATATGGATATTTTTTTCTTGGGAGGACCATTAAATCATCCTCTTTTAACTTCACACATTAAATCATCCTCTATTAACTTTACACAAAGTTTTAGCAGGAGAGATAAATATGTTATCAAACACTACCACCAGCACTGACCATAAATAAAATTTGGAATAAATAACCATTGAAGTTTATTTCAGCCTAAATTTAACATGATGTTGGTGTGATCAAATGAAAAATAAGGGTTCGACATATAATTCACAAACAAACATGCCATTAAAAATGATTTAGATGCTACCTATAATTAATGAGGATAAAAGTTTTTAAGTCAATCCACAGATATTTTTTTCAAAGATGGATAACATACTTCTGAATGAACCAGCTTCTTAATTCAATGGCTTGTTCAAATAAACAATCTGGGCATGTTATGTAATTTTTAATGAACTGAATTTATGCTCTATGTATTTTGAGATAAATGGCAAAAATGCGGTAGATTTAGTATAGAGATAGTGTAAAGGGTTGGAATAGTAGATATTTTACCAGATTTTATTGATTTTCGCCCGTGATGACATTCTGTGATACAGAATAAGTACAGTTAATATCTGCTTCCAATTCGCTTATCCTCTCGGCGATCAATTCAATCGTCGACCATAGCAAGAGTTTCAGCATTTATAAAATGCCTGGAGATCAATCACACATGAAACGTGAGAAAGGATGACAAATTACGTAGAATAAAATAAAATAAATACAGTCCATGACCGACTTATTTGCTTTATTTTCTGCATGCTTTCCTTTGTTTATTTGCACTTTTTTCGAGTACATTCGAGTTATAAGGTTTTAAGACCAATATCAAAAATAAAAACAGGGCATGAATTGCTTTCATCTTAATCTACAAGCTACAAATTTCTCAGATATTCTGACAACAGGCACCTTATACCTTTGTGCTATATATTATCAACAACAAAGCATAACATTTATTCACAACAACAAACACACTGACATCAACATCTATGAAGAACTCTGAGCGTATAGTATATGTATTTGTCTATACTTTTTAGTCGATTGATAATTCGTTTGTATTCAATACATACCAATACTGGGAGTAATATCGGTTTTGCAATCAAGTCTTCCAAGAGCATCCAAAGACGTCAGAAGCCTTCCGATGGTTCCGTCGGATTTTCTGGACCACGCCTCTAACAGCACAACAGTCTTCTCTGGTTTTGTTGCCAATCGCCTAACGTAACTGGAATCAAATCCAGCTAGTTCGGCTAATCCAAACACGTCTGGAGTTAATCCATTTTCTGTCACAATGTCTGCAGGAATATCCAGATGATTGGACAGTAGTTTACACGTGGAATGTCCAAGGACTTTTAATGATAAACAAGAATATCCATTTTGGCTTTCCAGCCCTTCTACCATTGTTTCTGATGATTTGGTCATAGGGTTAATGGGCACGTTATAAATATCCTTCATGAATACATTTCCAATTAAGAACTCAGGTTTAAAAAAAAATCTATTTTTTATACAAGTACTCCAGTGAAATAATTAAAAGACAAGAAGAACACTTTTTTTGACACTTAATCCAGGTTCATTATTTGGAGCATCGATCTATGTTACAATATCCAGATGTAAACTTTCTCGTTCCAATCAATCACACAAACAATCACAGGAAATAAACCTGAATGTTAAAAAAAAAGATAATTATATTCACCTATCAATCACTAGAATCATTGATACGATAAAATTAAGAACATATTCCATCTACACAAACCAGAAATATGTGTAGATTTCTAAAGAAATAAATTATAAATAATATTTTAATTCAAATTTCACTATATATTTAAAATAGCATAGCAATTTTTACTTAAAATAAATAAAAACGATCATTCTTACAAAGTAAAAAGTAGTCTTACTTCTCCACAAGTTCTCCAAAACAGTGTTAACGTACTTATAATGAGTGAAATCTCTCAAAATACATTGACCACACCTTTGTATGTCTCATTCATGAATGAATTAAAGTCTGTGACTTTTTCTTTTCAAAACTTAAAACACTTACAATCTGTTACTGTGAGACATATGTAATTTAGGAATGTCACTTCCTATATTTTATGCATTCTAATTGATTTAATGGCATTTCACTGCAGGTTGTTATGATGTAATTAGCCGAGGCCCTGAGTATTGATGAATCATCGAATTTATTCAGGTAAGAATTAATTTGATTGTTATCAATTTGTAACCACTGAATTAAAACAGATATTTCGATATATTCAATATATTTTGGTGAGCATAAATGATTTTTTTAATTTGAAATTACGATCTTGATAACCTTAAATCCACTGATCACATGATGTAAAAAGGCGTACATGTACATGTCTATTCTTAAAATTATGACACTCGAGAATAATTGACCTCATTATTTCTTCTAAGGAGGAATTTTTTCACCTTTATTTTATTCATTCATTATTATTTAATTATCAATTTTTGGTTGGTTTTTCTTGTCTTTTGAGTATGATTTCAACTTGTGGTCAATACAATGTGAGAATGACTTTTGAATCAAAACACTTACCACGTTTTCCAAATATTATATACAGCAAGTGAAATAATCACTTAATCAATCTTCTTCTTTTATAAACCCTTTTGATGAGAGCTTAAGTATACATTGAAGACCCAAGTTCTTTGGGAAACGCATTACAAAAGGTTGTACCAAAAACATAATACAAAACTACAAAATGCGTTCCCTCATATATTTTCTCTTTTTTCACGTTGAATTAAATTTGTCAGCGAACACGGTTGCACTTTTCTTTTTGACAAAACCGAAAACAGACTTATTGTCAGCAAACATTTGAAATTTATGCACTGTAAAATACTGGTGCCGGATCGGTATCACTTAGAAAAATTCATCTGTAATTTCAAATTATGTGTTTGTATATTTATAATTAGGTTAATGTATTTGCATACATTTTCTAAAAAACACATTATGGAAAAAGAAGACTTTTTAAAAAAAAAATGTTGTAGAGAAGAAAATGCAGCCATGCTAAGACATGCGTACATTAGGGTAAGCTGATTGAAATTTGATATCGCTCACACTCTCTTGACATTTGATAATATATCAAGCTCAATCTCAAAATTAAGGTTATCAAATGTTCCATACTCACAATACTTTACATAATCCCGCGAACAGGCGTTATCTTTTATCTCGTAATTGCCTCTGATATCTGGCGGATTATGCAGTACATCTCATTAAAAACTTCAATTGTTCATGGCCACAGGAAATAGTTATAATGGATCTTACAGTTAAATATATATGTATATACAACTTTTCAGAATGCGCGTACTTAACACATCTAGATTAATTTTTAAGAGGTCTGTAAAATTTCACGATTCTTGTGCAACATTTCGTCAATATGTGATGTATGTTTTCTTGTTATGAATAAATATTATCAAGATTTGCATGGAATATATTTTACACAACTACCCCCCAAAACAGCGTTCCATCGAAATGATGGTCAACATATTGTAGACAAAGAGAAAGAGAATAACAGTATACAAGGCTTTGGCTTATAAAGAAAATGGCGAGTTAAGAAAAAGAACAACTATACCTTTTCAGCTCTATCGATGGTATGGTAATCCCTGTCGCCATATTGCATTTTCTCTGCTTTCGTTTAGTATAATGTCTTGTGGCCCGAGGCAGTACAACTACTCAAGCTTGACAGCTCGGAAACGACTTCTTAGAACACGTTTCACCTCTCCTTCTCTTTTAGGGCAGCATATATCTATATTTACATTGCGTGTTTATATTGATCGCTGACCTGCTAGAGTTAGTAAATAACTACAACGTACGCAGAGAACCGTTCGTCAATGCCAAGAAAAATCATCTATAGAATGATGTGGATGCTGGATATGAGGGGATACCGAAGGGGAAAGAGAAATATAATGTGAATATTCAGAGCATTTCTATTTTACACTGTTATTTGCGAAATTATGCTGTGTCATTGCTATGTATCTCTCTGTAATTGTTAAAATGTATTAATGTACAATCTTTTTTTTAAAATCCTTATTATTAGTCATGCTAGTGGTATCTTGTATTTTTGATAAAAAAAAAATCACTCATATTTGTTTGATACTGCATGAAATATATTTAAAATGTATTAACCTGATATGTTCGTATATAATTATAAATTTCTTGTATACATATATAACGAAAACGCTCAAGACAAAGGGTTACGGCGGGTGTGACCGTTCAAGAGGATGCTTACTCCTCCATGACACCTGATCTCACCTTTCATTTTTCTACGGTCTTTCTTTGATCTGTTGCAATTATTTGTATTGTTTATTTGAGCATTATTACTATTCATTCATTCTGGATGATGATAGCAATTTATATATTTTTCATGAAATCCTTAACTTGTTTCTTTCCAACAGTTCATAACTTTGCTCTAAATATTCCTGAAGGAACGCATAGGAATCATTGAATGATACTAGCATTATAATATTTTTTGGTCCTTCATATACCAACAGAGACGGAAAAACTCGGTAAATTATTCAATAAAATATTTACCGACTACTTTAATTAATAAAGGTACATTTTGATTGCCTTGCGTTCAGGTTCATGTTTATCCAGTTGGAATTCAAACGATGTGTTCGGATTCTCGAAGATAGACAATTTAATCGTAATAAACCATGCAGATTTTCTACTAAAGGAAAGTAACAATTTAGCTAATCAAGATCCTTTAGGTTTTTTATCAGAAGGAAAAAGCATTGCAAGTGACAAAAAATGGTTAACTACTGTATTTTTGAAATCTTTATTATTTGTAATGGACTGTTTTGCGAAATACGATAGCATACATACGGTATGTTTAAAAAAAGCTTAAGAGGGCTGGGTGGTCGTGGCCATTTTAGACTATATTGATCTCCTTTAGAAGAAGAGCTCCATATAAAGATATACAAAAATGATCAAATTTTAAAACTAAAATGTATGAATTTTTTCTTTGCCAAATGATAGTTGACAGTTTAAGATATCATATCTAAAAAAATAAGTTATATCTGATGGTTAATTTGTTGACCCCCCAGCCTCCTTAACTTGGACACATTTCTTGTGTTTTCTTTGATTGTTGCTTGTTTTCAACAGAAGAGAACCTAAAATTATTTAAGACTGTTTATTTTAAAAATAATAATTACTTGCAAAATATTCGAATCAGTTTCGACGATAAAGCTGAATATTAAAGAATTTCACTGAATCGCCGATATAGTATATCTTTGCCTCAATTGCAATGACTAAATTCTTTGCATGAATCAAATCCAGACAGATAAAAAAAGGCTTTAAGCTTGGCATGTTTGACAAGTTGTGGTAGAATTCATTATGGACATCTTTATCAGTGGCGAAAGGACTTTGTCACAAATAAAAACTTATATGACATGCTGTCATTTTTCTAATCTTTTTGTTCATCTCCAATTTCAAACTTCGTCTATAGATTACACCAATCTATTTTGCCTACTACCATATCCCAACAAACATTACTTATAGTTTCATTTTTTAAGAATATTGTCTTTTTTTGTATTTTTACATGATTATTTAAAGTAAGGCAATACAAGTCAATACACACAACTTTCAAAAATCATGTCTTCCACTTTTTATATACCTGTATAATATTCAGATACTCTGAGATCATTATACTTGTGATCTATATCGTTAGTGCCTATAATAATATATTTTTAAAATAATTTATCTAAATCCTACTCTCGCAAATGTTGCACTATATAATCATATCTAAAACCTCTCTTACATGTACACTGCATTAGCTGAGGTTCTTTATTTTGTGTATAGTGTCTAAAATCCTTAACTTACTATATGCTGAGACGGAAAGATACTATACTTACCTTGTCATTGGTCATTTGCAAAATTATTTTGTTAAATAACATTCGGATTGTACATATAAGTACTCTGAAGTTGATATTAAAAAATGCTTAAGTTTATAATTGAGAATATCTATGCAGTTTTTGGATAGCAGGTCTTCCAACAATCTGTTGGAATTCCCATGGGTACCAATTGCGCCCCGGTTTTAGCAGACCTATATTTGTATTCATATGAAGCAGCATTTATTCAAAAACTTCTACATGAAAAGAAAACACTTACTGTGGCCTTCAACTCGACATTTAGGTATATCGACGACGTATTATAAATTAACAATAGTTGCTTCCATGTTGACTTGATATATATCCCAGTGAGTTTGAAATAAAGATGCCACAGAGTCTAACACATCTGTTTCATATTTGGATATTTTACTAGAAAAAGACTGCAAAAGGTAACCTAACAACAAAACTTTATGATAACCGTGATAACTTCAATTTTTCAAGGATATCAAAAGTCTCATTTGAAGTTTTCATTTTGCAAGTTCTATGATCGATACAATGACCTTGTCAGCAAATACAACCTATCATTAAGTCGAATGCTGACTGACGTTTTTCATACTAATTGTTAGGCCATTGTTTAAACACTGAATTGTCTACGGATTTTCCGTTTTCCCCAATCATGACAAGGACCACTCGGCGGGTGACCGGTCGGCAGAGGATGCTCACTCCTCCTTTACAGCTGATCCCGCCTCTTATGTTTTTGGAAGCCCGTGTTTGCTCTGCTGCAGCTTTGTATTGTTCAAATGTACTGAGCTTGAATACTGTTCGTTATCTCCATATTTCATACAAGTGCATTGTGAGAAAACTAATTACAAAGTATAAAATCTTTAGAACATCAACTTCAATTGTCTCTTCCAAATTAAGCGATCCAAAATGAGTGATTAGATTTTAAAAATAAACTGCTGTATATTAAAAAAACACTAAATGGGATTCGGGCAGTAGGCTATAGGCCCGAGTCCTGTCTCCACCTAAGAAAGGACAGCCTTTGACCTTTTATTGTCATTTTAGACAACTAATATAATTATACTCTTGAAGACTTAAGTGACTTTAATTTCATACGAGGCTAATTCATTGATGGGTTTTTAAAGCATGGTGACAATGAGTTGTATGGGATTTCCTGATCAGGTTGAAGCTTCAGAAAAAAATCAGAACAAGGTTCTAGGCAAAATGTTTATGTATAAAAATGGAGCCAGGTCAGCGATCTTTCGGATGAAAATGATAACATAGTTAATATATCTAGCTAATTACTAAAAGCCAGACCCATAACAGCTTTGGACGTTATCCATGGTATCGGCCAACGTTAACTAGCTATGTATACATTTTGGGGAAGTTATCTGTAGTCATCATAGAACAAGATGTTTGAAATGATAAAATCCTTGCAAGCCAAGGTGTAACGACTTGTTTGCAAAACATAATATATAAAAAGTTGTATAATTATTAATCTATGCAGAACATGAAATAGTTACATTAACCCCTCATCTCCTAAACCGATCAATTTGATGTTCAGTCATTGATGAAATCTTTCGATATTAATGTATCATAAAAGCATACCCTACTGTGTTATTTCTTTGATTTGGGCACTAGTTGTGTTCTTCTGGGCACTACTTGTGCTCTGTTACTAGCTGACCTGCTTTTATATTCCTGTGAAGCAGAATTTATTACTCTTTTAAACTTCTACATGAGAAGAAATTGCTTACTATGGCCTTCAACTCGACCAGCTATATTGACGACGTTTTGTCACTTAACGATATAGTTACTTCCACTCATATATAAACTTTTACCCCAGTGAACTAGGAATAAGACACCACTGAGTCTGCTACATCAGCTTCATATTAAGATGTTTTACCGACTATGTACGATAAGGGCTAACTAACAACTACTAGTATACTGCATGAAAAACGCGATGATTTCAGATTTTCCATCACCAGCATTTCTTATTTATGAAGATATTTTCTACTTTCACCTATGGTCTATAAGTCTCCCATATTATTTAAAACTCAAGAGCATGGCATGCTCTGAGTACAATCAATCTTTAAACCGAGGCAGACTACTGACAAAGTTGATGTTGCAAGGACCTCAACAACTTCGTTTAACGTCAGCATTTCGTAAATTCTATGGTCGTTATAATGACCTTGTAAGTAAATACAGCCTATCATTGGGTCGTATTTCGACTGACATTTCATACCAATTGTTAGGCCTTTGTTTTATCCTAAATTTGACTACGGAATGTTCCGTCTACCTGATCAATACATAGGGCTACCGGTGGGTGTGACGGGTCGACAGGGGATGGTTACTCCTCCCACTCACCTGATTCCACTCCTGAATTTCAAGAGTTTCGTGTTTCGTGTTTTATGCCCTGATCAATCACTGTTCGTTATCCTAACCTATTTTATTGATTGCTAATGGCGTTTGAGCCAAACATCGTAACGAGAAATATTAATGCAATAGTCTAAAAATAATATTAAAAAATAGAAATCTATATATGAAGTAAATTATATCTACAATGGAGATTGTAGTATTTCATGGCATCGATGAATATACATACATACATACATACATTTATTTACATATCAGCTCAAAAAGAATTATTTATCTTACACGTTTTGTGAACTACATGTGACTAAATGCAAATTTTTGAAATAAAAATATTGCTACTTGTACTAAGCAAAAGGAGTAAAGAAAATATACGATGAATTTTGCAATTTAAGTAAAAGTTTGATATTCATGATTGATAATTTACTTTACTGTACTCAGTTGCTCCCCTTTATGCACGAACAGCGCTAGCCTTAATACAATTAGGCATGTTATTAACTTATTTCACCAAACTTTTTTTTTAACTGAGTGTCATTCTCGCTCAAGTACCCAGTATATATGCTAAATGTCTATTTTAGCCGTCGGCATGTTTCTACCAAATGCCTTATCCATTCCACCCCCAAATTCACCTGAATTGCTTTATATTAAGTTTTAATCGGGATTGTTTCCCGACCACGCTAATATAGAAAATGACTTGCGTTTCAGAATCTCCTTTGTGTCATCAGAGGATGCTGAAAGATTTTAGTACCATGTGTGCTTGTTTAGCATATTTCCCAGAAAAACTATTTGCCCGTATAATGTAGCAGTATGCCAGAACTCAGAAAGCACAAGATAGTTTCTCAAAAATATGTAGTTTCTACTTTTCTGATGTCCAGGTACAATCCTGATTCAAACCCAATAAAAACATTTGAAGGCAAATACAGAATACCGGACCTTACAAAAATATGCTCACAACATAAAAGATATGCGGAAAGTACTCCACATAAAAGTGCTCAATTCTCCAAATAAGTTCTGTGAAAACTTAGTCCATAACATGCCTGATTGCATCAAGGTTGTTATTCGTGCAAAAAACGGAGCAACTAAATACTGCATCGTAAATTATCGAACAGGAATGACAAAACTTAAATAAAATTGTTAAATTTTTCATATTTTTGCTTGCACCTTTGTTAAGTAGCAATATCCTTGTTTCCTAATGAACATTTAATAAGTTCACAAAGGCATGTTAGGTAGGTTAGAAAGTTTTTTTTTTTTGGAGTTGTATATATCCAATAAAACATACAAACAAACAAAACAAGAAAAAGTTGAATTATTTCAAAGAAGAAATCTTTGCTTAATTAAGATTCATAAGAAGTCCACAAGTAAACAGCAATTTTAAACTGGTGTCTAAAAGTCAGAACAATTTGATATTCATGGAAAAAGGTCAGCAAAACAATTAGATGTTGGTCGACATTTTCATAAGGTGAGAATTGCACGTATCACACAAATATGCGCATGTTTCATGATAAATATTCACACTACTAATTACTTTGGTCATCTTTGCTTAACATCTCAAATAAATGCCCCCATGTGTTCCGTCAACAAACTCCATTTCTCAGTGTTTTTGAAAATGAAATACATCGTTTATTTGTGAAAAGTATTAGGGAACACATATACAGGGTATTTACGACAATAAAATGCGAGAAGTCTAAAAACTTTCCTACGTATAAGATGACTTCTATTGTGAATCCTACACACTATACAATAAATATCATTGATGTTACATGTACAATATTGTGTCATGAAAGTCTTTGACGCTCAATTAGGAAGTTTTTAATTTTTTAAAACAAAACAAGATAAAACAGGTATCCGTTAAAAGATTTATGTAATTCTATACGATTTATTATCTATTTATTTCTAAATTGATCAGCAATCATTGACATTCATTGAGATATTGACGCAAAAACAAAAAGAAAATAATTTTAAGAAAAGACGAGGACATTCAGCTATTTAAAAACATTGTTGACCAATTTACCTTATAGCCAGGAGAAAATCTAGCCCTTTACAAATTGTGAGTATTTTAGATATTTATATGTTTACACCTGAAACTCATTCCCTCGGAAAGGCGACCTGCAAAATACTTCAAAGGATTTCAGAACGACAGAAGTTGTTCAGCTTTGATGGAAAGCGTGAACATACAAATAGAAATGAAAGGATTTCAGCAGAAAACAAACAGGCCAGAAGACGCATAAAATTTTTAAGAGGCATTCATATATACTGCTAAGTGCATTTAGTATTATAAAGAAACACAAATCAAAGGATATGTATATAAGGTTTGTGAGAACAGCACTTCCCCACCACACACAGTGATTACAACATTCAAGATTAATATACTGAATGGTGAATTGCATACGGATCTTATCAGCCTCAAACAATGCATTTTCAAATTAAATAATCAATGATGACTCTAATATTTTATTTTCTTTTCATCAAATACATGAAGCTGTTTCACTCATGAAATATTTCGAAGTTACGTAAGAACAGTCTTCTTTTTTCTTATTTTTTTAAATTTTAAATGTTCTACAAATAATTTTTCTTCGTCACCGGCCGCGGACTTCCGTTGTGGACAAATTTGTGTAATTCAACATATTTTAAGGATCAGGATAACTTTTTTTTACGCTGATAATGCTTTGTCACTTGAAGATTAAATCTCTGATACCTCAAATGTCGAGACTTATATACTTATACATAAGTTTCCGGAACACAACGGAAACGACCCATTCATGTATAGATCCATAGGAGGTATATTCTATAAAATCAAGTTTAAACGTTTAATTTATTAAATTGTACTCCATGTTATTCTAATATTAAAATGGAATAAATGTCAAAATATTCTGGTTTTGTCCAAGCAATTCCAACACTAGGAAGTCAAAAATTCCAATCTGTATATAGATACGTTTTAAAATAAATGTGAATACCATGACATTGTCCTTCCCTCAAAATATCGTTTATATGTGTAACTTCCTGACCCGTTGAAGTGGGGGCTTGTAGTATACTTGAACACATTGGACAAGATTATGTTTCTCCAAACCTGTTATGCCATTCTGTTTACATCAAGTAAGTATTTTATTATTTACCATTACTTAATAAGTTCTGCATGTAGTTTCAGATAGTATAATCCTAAAGGAGTAACACGTATCTAGATTTGATAAAGTTAATATTTGTCTCGGCGTGTTTCATTTCGCCGGAATGTTCTATGTTAATGTAAAGAACCTACAATGTTTGACGCATAGTACTTATCCCTAGTTCTGGGGTCTGATGTGAGACTCCAAGAAAAAGATGACTGGTACACTGCAAACCACACCTGTACTGAGAACTTGTCTGGTAGACTTTTGTCAAAGATAGATGTGACTATGGACCCAGCATTAAGGGATATCACCACACCTAGTTCAAAATCTTACTGGTCCAACAAAATGGCCACCATTACGGATTTCATTCAATATGACGGTAAATTTCAATAGCAGCATCGCAGAGTATCACTAAAGTGAAATACATCAAATTCATATAACTAGATCTGAATAACGTTTACATTGCATTCTAAAAGAGTATTTAGCACGCATATTTTCTACACTTTTAATAAAACGCATTTGTAGACAAAGATATGAATATATAGCTAAAACAGTTGTGACTTTAAAAGCCTAATCAAATTGTATTTGACAACACTTAAGCCTTGTTTAACAAACAATGTTCACTTTCTATTAAATTCATTACACATTTCATTATTATCTTTCATCGTTTTCACAGCATTTTTAATACTTAACTAAGCTATGTTTGTTTTTAAGAAAATTCTCGACTTTTTTATTTTTTAAAAAATAGAAAGTTATGGCACAACCAGGAAAAATATCGTGATTGTGTTGATCGTTGTAGTCTTTTTTTAATTGTAGGTTGTTTTAATTCTTCCGAGTTACATGCACAAAAACAGCTGGTACCGCCATCACGAAGTCCTATCGCTGCCTGCTTTGAATATTGTAACAATATGAATACATCTCGTATAGGAGTAACGGTCAGTTGTATAGTTATTTCAGTCATCTAAAAAAAGTTAAAGTTGGATCCTAAATGCACTTTATATCAGAGATTAATTTCAGTTACAATTGAAATACAAATTTTATGAATCTTATAAAAGAAAATCGAGTTTAGTTTTTAGAACAGTTTATATATATATATATATATATATATATATATATATATAATATATATATATATATATATATATATATATATATATATATATATATATATATATATATATATATATATATATAAACTGTTAAATTATAGACCAAAGACATGATGAATGTTTCTTGCATATGCTTGGGGGATGAAAAACTTTATCGGGAGAACATTAGCACTTGTTACATACCTTGTCCAAATGACTTCCTGAATACTTGTGGCAGTGAGGACTTTATATCAGTGTGTAAGTACGGGATAATAATGAAATCCACGCACAACTTTACAGCAAGAATGAGACTTAAATTGTTTTAAGATGGTTGTTTTAGCTAGTATTTCAAATTAGAATTAAACGATTAATAAGATGCATCAGAATGGATAGAATTATCTAGATCTTATAATGTGATGACAAAGGTTTATACCTTCAAAGAAAGTTCCTTTCAAAGTACATTTTATTAATTTTGCTATCTTCCTTCCAGTTTGGGTTTGACACCACAAGTTGTACTGATTCCACTCTATATGGTGCACCTATCCTCTGTCAGAACCTTTCTTGCCTTGTCTGTTATCCTCCAAAAGATGCACGGTTTCACCAACCATACTCCCCTCCAATCAATTTCTTAATGACATATATCCTTTTAATGTTTTCCGGTTGTGTTAAATGCATTGCTCACTGCTTCCATCTGAAGAACCGATGTCATATTTCACAAATCATGAACCTTTGGCTCGTTATCTTCATGATAAAATAATGATAGCGCATGCTTTCTTTGAAATCATCATTCGTGAAATCTTGTTATGTTGTTCTTTCAGCATAATAATTAATCCTAATTCTTCCTTTTTCTTTGCTAAACTATTAGACATAAAGACAGGAATTATGTTCTTAGCATTTTTTTCATCTTCGACGAAATTAAATGTCGCATTAGTACTATTCTCGAAAGATCTATGAATTTACCCCTTCTCTTGTCATTCATTTTCAGATGTTACAAATATTTTATATTTTAAAATGAATTTATTAACAAAGCTTCATATATCTATTACCATAAAAAAGATGTTAGACAACACTTTGGAGCACAAAATCCCACAGAAATGTCCGAATGCGTCGCCATTACAACAGACGATAATGGTATTTCATTGAGTGTTGATGATTGCATGAAAACCAATGATGGATACATTTGCAAAATCTGTAAGTGACAATTTACAATATGTAGCTCAAAAATTCTCAAACCCGTAATATGAGAACAATGAGGACAAATATACAGCCAAGACTCTTTAATCCGCACACTTTTATTCCCGAAGCAAATCGTCCGGATTAATGAAGCGACCGGCTTAAATGTGAATTCTAGGTGGATTATTGGCTTCCAGATTAATGAGGTTACACTGTAATTAAAACGATAACATTAATTACAACACATATATATTTTAAAGGTGAAGAGGACAAATGCTCTACGAAGATTTTCGCTGGAAAAGAAAAAATAACGTGGCAGGAAGCACAGCAAGAATGTGAAGGGCACGGTGGATACCTGGGTAATATAGGAACTTCGCGGAATAAGACAATCTGGACTGGATACAAAAGATGGATGTTGAAGGAGGACTGTAAGTGACGAATTCTATTGTTCATATATACTGATAATAAGTTATTTATTGATGTGCATCATTCATGGTTCCAAATGAATTTTCAGTGAAAAATTAATTGAAAGTTAAAGAAGTATTGGGTTAAAAGTAGAAGTAAAGTTCTAGCATTTATAAATGATATGATTCTACAAACTCAACCATGCATATCCTGAGACAAGGACATTCATTTAAACTAAAGATTTATATGTACTTAGATTTGTATATTTCTAATGTTTTCAGAGATCTGTGTTTGCTATTCTCAAAATTTCTATGGTTTCATTGGACTTTAGAGCAAGATTTCATTACATTAACGATTAATATAGATATAGCATTGAACTGAACACAGTCACTTCATCACTTTTAAATGGAGACATTCAATCAAATCTTGTCTTTGATTTTGTATATTTGTCTCAACTTAATTTGCATAGTTTTGGAGAAAACACTTTATTTTTTTCTCATTCAATATAAATTATCGAAGAGTTTTGATTCTGCATGTTTTAGATAATTAAATGGCGATGTAAATTTCTAGTGTGTCCTTTCGTAGAGTGTTGCAGAGGCTTACAATTAGAAGTTGTGCAGATTATATGCTTGAACATCCATTCCAGATTCTGTTTTTTCAAGACTGTGCCTCTTATGTGAATACAAAAATGGAACTGCAGACTGTATCTACGCTAACTGTTCGGAACAACATGAATCTTTATGTGTAACCGGTAAATGTATAAATTAGCCCTAAAGTAATTTTCATCATCAAAGAAGTCCTATCATTTTTGAAAAATTCTATACATTTTTTTGTATTGAGTGCTTTACTGTAACAAACTTTTTATCTATTCATGCTTTTAAACTTATATCAAAACCTTTCACCTTTTCTAAGAGTCTGAGCAGCTACAGGAAGTTGCCTGGTTTGATGCAGAGAGAAGTTGTGAGACTTCCGGTTCTAGACTATTGACAGAGAAGGAATTTTCAGAGAAGGTCATTGGAGACAATATGTTTACGTCACACTCTTTCTGGATATATGGTGTTGCTGAATACTCGCCATGCGCTAGAAGCATAGGTATATTGCATTGTTTGAACCGATAAATATAAATCTTTACATTTTTTTGGTATTAATCTGAATTTTGAAAAAAAAATTATATGATATTTAATGCTTAATAAATGCATTCATTTATATCTATTTCTCTCATTTTATCGTATGCACATCTATACGTATTTGTGAAACAACGTGCAAAAAATAAGAGAATATATTTAATTTTTATCCTAAGAATTCAAGGTTGTCTGATTTTTAAACGAGCATTCTCCTCCATGAAAAGAAATACATGTATTTCGCAGGCACATGGCACATGGTAGATAGAACGTTCTATCGTTAAAATGATTTTGTCCTACGGACCCGGTTTAACGATAACTGTGGTGAGGGCTTGTCCCGAGACACAGTTATATTATTCTAACTAGGCACCTGATTGTTTTTGAAAGTGACCAAGTGTGTGTTGGGGGGGGGGGGGGGGCAGATATTTGACAACTTACCTGAAAAGAAAAATAAATTGTCCGAACTTGAAAATCCTGTTTCTTTCTTATTTATATCTGGAAAAAAGTTGGGGCAGCCCCCCCCCCCCCGGCTCCCTCACATACTACGTGCCTGTTTTGGATTGCATCTTTTGCGTCAAAATTTTGCCTTTCAATTCTAATTCCAGTTGACTGTAAAATAAATTGCTTTGGCAGGTTGTTGCGACATCTCTAACACTTCTAACATATCGTCATTAAGCGGTGTTCAGAATTCTGTTCTGAAATGCATGGAATTTTGTAAAGACACGCCCTATCTTGGACTAACAGTAAGTATTATCCAATTGTACATCTGTAGATATTTGTTAGGCTATACACTGTACATGTACAGCTGTATTCACAAGTTCCTAAAGCCTTTTTTCAATTTCTTTTTAAATAAAAGTTTTAGTTTGATTAATTACCCATTCTGTCAAAACTACATGAATATACTACTTTTTTAAATTTAATTTTAAGTATTCTTCAATCTGATTAAAATCGGGTCTTTGTACAGCGACTGTTCAGAATTTTGGAGCGCATCAGGATCTTATTTTGATTAGACTTATTTTTCTTCTTTTTATGATTATATACTACGTATCTTATTTTAAATTGACATTTCAATCAAATCGTAGAAATAGAGAGAAAAAAAGATAAACTAATTTTTTTCTTCAGAAAGAAAATACAACAATTGACAAATGTTTCTGTATAGAAGATATTGATACATTGTCCGCAATCTTCACAAACGCCAGTGAGTGTGCAATGAATTGTCATGAAGAATATACAGACTTATGTGGAGGGCATGATCGTTTGATTGTGTATGAAATAGGTAAAGCGTTCTTATTGGAAAAAAATTCTTTGAGATTAAACTTAATATCTTATTTTATCTCCACAATTACTATGAATAACTGACTACCAATTGAAATTATTTTTTAAGATAACATTACTAACTCTTTTTACGTCAAACAATCAAGAAATTGAATATTTTATATTGATATTAATTCATAACAAATATAACTGAAATGGTATCTTTTTCAAAATCAGTTTACAAAAATTAAAGACCGAAAATTAACTAACTTCACTAGGAAGCAAATTAAAATTTTGATATTAGTAATATCAAAATTTTCATGAGTCCTCTCACTCGCAAAAATTTAGAAAAATCCAGTCTCGCAAATGAATTGAATTCCATATTCGACTTCAAAATCGTGATTGCTGTTGATAATCTGTCCTTTTCATTTTGCCCTTACAAGTTTCCTCACTTCTGAAATTCAAAACAATATCGGGGTGAATATCAGGGCTCAAGAATGATGCAGACAATATAAAGGACACAATAAGTTATAACTATTAGTCTTAATTTAACCTTGTACATGTACATTTAATGATAATTTTAACTATAAATTGAAATACATGTATTTCACAGTTGAAAATGTGATATCTGTTATTTTCTAATTTTTGTGTCATCCGAGGAGCTTGAGGATACGCAAAGATCACTTTGTCCTTCATCTGTGCGTCTGTCCATTATGGAGACATTGCACAAAAGTCATTTGCAAGCGATACGTTAGCATCTGTTTTCTGTACATTCTCACTAGATATGGCAGAAGTTTAATTAATACTTTTTACCAGACAGAAAAAGTGTAGCGGAAGGGATGTATGAAACATCGGTGGAATGTATGTACCTGATAAAGCATCAAGACTACATGAACATGCGTTCTGCTGACTGTCTTATAGATGCTACTGGTTACATCTGTGAAACATGTAAGTTATTGTAATATTGCAATTTCGTTTCATAGAAAAACAATTCAAAGTACATTGTAAAAAAATTTTATAAAATAAAAGTATTATTTACAAAACTGTGAACACACAGAAATCTGCTTGGATGATCATCGAAGAGATATCCATTTCAATAATGTATTCGCTATACTTCTGAATATAACTTTACTTATAAATTTAAATATCTGTTAAGAAGTTGACTTTTCAGGTAACTGAGGTATACAGTAAGGTTTCTGTGATATGGATCTAGTGACCTTATCATTTTGGATTTTATTTATATAGGTGAAACTGGTAAGGAGAATTGTACACAAGCTGCTTACCCTGGTGAGTTGAATTGGTATGAAGCTGACGAGGAATGCCGGGAAATTGGCGGGAATCTTGGAAACATGGAGTTTTCTGATTATAGTAGTCTTAAGGATGGTACATACTGGTATGGAAACAGACGATGGCTGAAAGAAGAGGATCCAAGAGGTAAATTTATCTGTATATAAATAAAACAATTATATAAAACATCATGGAGGAGTCTCAGATTATTTTTATTGAAAATCTATGATATATGCTTTTTATTTTTTCACATGATAGGGGCAAAACAGTCTGAAACGGAAGCTTGTCTAAGCTGCAGATCTAAAAATGGCAGTCCGGACTGTGTTTACAAGTACTGCAGTGAAAATTTACAGGCACTATGCACAGAAGGTATACATTTATGTACAAAGATATTATTGACTTCCTTTGCAATATGTTTGTAGACAAAAGTGTGTAAACATAAAAACCTCCCAATTGAATGACTGACATTCATATTAAGGCATCAGTTTGATAAACCCATCAGTTTCAGATGTTGTAGCCATCTGCGAATAACCATACATTCTTCTAAATACCGTTGTAGTAAATTCAACGGAGCCTACCACTCATGAAATAACAACAGTCCACACAGTCCATAAATTAATGACAACGATAAAATACTACACTAAATCAGCCGGTTCAAGTGGAACTTTGATATTTGTTCCGACACAGAGTTCAGATCAACATGATCAAGGCAAGGCTAAATTTCAAAACGAGCATGACGATTTCAACTCCAATGTTATCGCCGTGATTGTGGCGTTGTTGGTGATATGTGGCGTGGTGGTCATGTTGGTAATCACAAAATTGTGAGTTTTCTTTATTAATTATCACATTTTGTCGAGAGTTTTTAAATATGTACATGTGTTTTGAACATATTTTATTGAATTAATCAAAAGGATTGGAAACAAGTTCTTGCAACTTACTGGTTCCTCTCCTTAAATATAACAATATGTCCTGCAAGTAATACATTAAAATATAATATTTACAAGTGAATAAGACGTTAATTTAAAATCTACATGTTTCATCAATAAATTTATGTACATGTATATATTATGTAATGTTTAAGGTGCTTATCCCTCTGCTTAAAATACAATTTTGATTTAAATACAATGTAATTTTTCAAAAGAAATCAATTTCAATTAATATAATTGAAATGCGAACCATTTCTTCATACCTTGCGGTGCAAGATTTGACAGAAATCCCGGTTTAAGAACTGTGTTTGATTTTTTAAATTGTTCAGTATGAAATGGGAAATTAGGTAAGATATAAACTCATAATTAATTCATAAACAATTTAACTTTTAAAATAATATTGTTACAGTAGTTGTTCTATTATTGTAATTATGTTAAATACATATCAATACTGACGCATGATCGAAGGTTTCTTATAACACAATTCACACTGTGTGGTCTTTGCGTAGTAAAGAGAGAAACAATTCTTTTATTTTAGACGGAAGAATGAAAAGGTGACATCAGACGTTACAGACCTAATAGATACAAAGAATGGACCAACCAAAATTTCCTTTCTAAAGGAAAACGATAGTAGACCATCATCATTAAGTCACGTGACAGTTGAAAGGCAGAGAAGCTTCTCTAACCCCAGCTTTATGGATCATGATGTAGACATTTTAGCCAAAAGTTTAGACAATGAAACTACCCATCAAGATCATGATCAAACTAATTAGTGGAAATTGCTCTCTCTCTCTCTCTCTCTCTCTCTCTCTCTCTCTTCAGGAAGACCGATTATCATCTCTTTGTGCATAATGTTGAAAGAAAATTGGATAATCATAAAAATTTAGTCAGGTAATTAATTTAGACCATCCGTATTTTAATTATTATTAGTTATCATGGTAGGAAATATTTCCTTATTGTGTAATATACAATTCTGAATAGGGAGACCAATACCATTATTATTAAAAAAAAATTATCTACTTTGCCATTTACTGCATGAAGCTTAAATTGTGGCTATGGTATTGAAATTATAATGCAATGTTACTTTTTAAGTACACGTGTCTTGTTAAGCGGATGATGTCTAATGGAATTTGCACATTATGTAATGAATTTCTGATTTATGTGATTCCATGAGTCGCGTTATAAAAACACTTATTCTGAAAGAGGAAATGACCATGAGTGTTAAAATTAGAAGTGTAATTATTTAACACTGCAACACGTGGCAAATATGAGTGGCCAAATCAAGGTCCATGGATAAGAAATAAAACTTTGAAAATTCTCAGTACTTCCTGTATATAACTTTACTAGAACAAATTCATTTTATTATTGTTATTATAAAGAATAATTATTAAAATTCAAAAATTTTATCTTCTATATGAAGCTTGCTAGATTGTAGCGGCCTTGGATTCAAAATACATCATGTATATTCTCAAAATGATCATTACTGTATTTACTCATGTATGGTTTTGCGTTATGTATAATTGGCATAATTTAAAAAAAAAAACACTAATGTACGACAACATTTCATTGTTTATATGATGAGCTGATTGTTGACCTATGTATGCATAATTCAGTAACATGTCGGGGTTTTTGTGAATCAATAAAATTCTCTCAAACAAGGTCTTTCTGTTGAAATCTTAAAGCACTTGATAGACACCAGGAAGCTATTCATAATATTGGAAGTACTGCTGTATTCATTTGTCCGAATTTCTCTTGTCATGTGAACTGGAAACCTGCTAAGCAATCGTAAATCATTGAAATCATGACACTATATCTTTGTAGTCTGGTAAAAAAAAAAAAGGTAGGGAAGGTATTGAACCTGGGTTTCCGATAATTATAGCAATCAACAGGTGGTTTTTGTATCATACATCTCTTTTGAAAGATTCATTGTCATTTCAATGAACATGATCCAAAGTGAATGTAACCTTTTTTTTTTGCAGGAAGACAAAACATAAACCTAAGGTATATAACTCAGATTTATTAAGACATTTTGATTTTAATTACTTATTCTGTCGTATTTTCAGGGCTTTTACTCAATCATAGCACAATATCTAAATATTTTGGGGAATATTGTTTTAAAATAATAACTAGATTGCAAACTCTTAATTAATCGCAGGGGAAATTTTGATAAGAATTTCCGGTTAATCTGCACATTGCTGCATGTCCTTGAATGCAGCACATTAATATTGTTAAAAAATGAAAAGAAACAAGTGCGTGAGTTAGCAGGGAAATAAAGTAGACATGTACAAGATGATGCAAGAAACTTAAAGTTCGTGAGAAAAAGGAAACGGACTATAAATAAGAATCATTTACTAAGCATGAAGGGAGATAACCATGGAAGAGGGGAACCCTTCTTCCAAGCCGGAAAGATTTGAGGGAATATTAACTCCAAGTTAAGACCCATTAGATAAATAAAAACCTTCTAAGTCCATTCCTCAGGTTCTGAAAATCAGTAATGAAGTTATTGAAAATTCTCAGAAAGATGTCACCGAATTCACAAAGTAATGTGTACTGTCTAGTATTTACACATGTTATTTTTGAAAGTTCATCATTATAGATAATAGTGGAAATTATTAAATTTCAAATACTCAAAAACATTATCAGGAAACGTGAATGAAAGCACCATATATGCATTTTGTAACTGAAAATTAATCAACAAGTGGGCTATGTTTTAGGATTTAAAAAACTGTAGACACCCAGACATTCGTAAAGAATTGCATATATATTCATTTTTTACTCGTTCTTCTATTCACTTCACTTATTATATGATACATTATGTAAAAAGCGTGATGATGATATCATTGCATGATATTACATATAACTTAAAATATCATTTCATGCTAATTTTGATACATTGGTATCTGAGGCAAGCTTAAAGGAGGTTCAGTTTCTATAAAAATGTAATTAAAAAACCTTTATGGGGTGCAAATTTATGTTTATTTTTATTTTTTTTACAAGACCGTTTCTAAGACTTCAAAGAAACTTGAATCATATTAAGATGCATCAATGAAAATTATTGTACAAAAAAAAAAAAAAAAAAAAAAAAAAAAAAAAAGCTTCATTTTCTGACTTACTGAATTTAAATAATAATTTAAAGAATTATTTCTCCTAGCTAAGGGGGTCCTTAGCTATAAATTAAATGAATGCCAACTTCAAAAAAAATATAGAAAAGCGAGGGCTATCGACATGAAAATGTTCACAAAACCCAATAGGAAGAAGAAAGAAGAACACTGTTTAAATATTCCATATGGGTATACCCTATATTAAGTACTGGATTATGGAGTGTAAAGCGTTGCTTTATTCGATAATCTTGTGATATATATATATATATATATATATATATATATATATATATATATATATATATATATATATATATATATATATATATATGTAGGACTCCAAAATCCGATGGTCACGCCAAAGTCCGATGGTCTGCACCATACCCTGATGGTTTGACACGCCAGAGTCCGATGGTGCGGAAAAACAATTAACATTTGTGACGTCATAGTACTGCTGCGCCAAATTGCGATGCCGCACCATGCCAAGATCTAAAATAATTTAGGAATGACTCTAATTCTTGGCCAAATTATTCGAGTATAACCTGGTTTGGGTCAGTTTAGGCTTTATAATCCGCGAAGCGGATTATAAAACAGCTTAAATCTGGAATTTTCCATGAATCCCGAGGACTGGAAATGAGAGGATTGCATGGATACAGACGATTCAGCTGGTTGTCAGGGGGTGTGTCCCCATACCAAACTAGGTTATACAGAAATAATTTGTGTTCCTTTTTGGATATTAACCAATCAGAGGCTAGAATATACAAACAAAATTAAATTATATTTTAGGAATGACTCTAATTCTTGGCCAAATTATTCGAGTATAACCTGGTTTGGGTCAGTTTACGCTTTATAATCCGCGAAGCGGATTATAAAACAGCGTAAACTGACCCAAACCAGGTTATACGCGAATAATTTGGCCAAGAATTAGAGTCATTCCTTATAATTTAATTTTAAAATCATTAAATAACTATGGGTGTAAAATTTCGTTGCTTTTTATTAGTTCAAATTTGCCGCTCAATAATACAACCATAGTAACGGAAGTGATGGGAAGCGAGGGGAGGTAAAAACTGATAGTTAGGCCTAGCAGCCATGTTGTTTGTTTACATGTGGTAAGATCGAATTATTGTTTGAAGTTAAAGGTACATTTATTAAATCTGGAATTTTCCATGAACCCGAGGACTGGAAATGAGAGGATTGTATGGATACAGATGATTCAGCTGGTTGTCAGGGGGGTGTGTCCCCATACCAAACCAGGTTATACAGAAATAATTTAATTTTGTTTGTATTCTAGCCTCTGATTGGTTAATATCCAAAAAGGAACACAAATTATTTCTGTATAACCTGGTTTGGTATGGGGACACCCCCCCCCCCCCCAAACTGAGTGTCTGATATTTAAATGCGGAGTCGGTAAATAATTTAAATCGGTTATTGTTTTAAATTTTCTAATATCTATGAAACGCGATTGATTTAAAATTTTGTAATTTAGAGGAAAGTCCTATCTTTATATAAAGTACAAAACAAATAGAAAGAAATTATAAAAAAAAATGCGCCATACATGACTTTATTAAAGACGCGTGTGTACAATACTGTGAAGAGGAGAATAGTGCAAATAAATTCACAGAGACCAGAAATCTCTCTGTCTACGTATATATATATATAAACTTCTATAGAAGCAGGCTCCGGGGCCATAAAACTTAGATGAGCTCACTTTTGATCTCAGTCTCACTTTTACTTTATATATATATAAATGTTACTTTATATATATATAAATATATATGTATCTTGTATCTTGTATATATATATACTAGTGGAAAGTGAGCTCGTCTAAGTTTTATGGCCCCGGAGCCTGGACACAATTTTCTGCATGACCAAAAAGTTTTCTTTTTACATTAATGCTTTCTACTTACATGTATCTATCTGCCATAATTTCTCTCCCCCCCCCCCCTTCTCTCTTTTCAAGACCCCAGTAAATATTTTTCTGCAAGGGGTGTGTCTTCGAGGGCGAAGATAATTTATTTATGGAGGAATGTAGAGATTTCCAGCTATAAATGTTTCTCCATCTCTGTAACAATTATATATTCATTGATTTAATTTTGGAATATTCAGGAATCAGTGTTTGACATAGTATTATAATATTGCAAGAAAAAATATATTTATATGTTTAAAGATGAAACAGACTGCCGTAAATTGGTCATTCAGGTTTCAATTACTAATGGATTATCATAGAAAACGCACTCTCCGTGAATAAAAAAAAAATAAAATAAAATTTCAGCATAAAAATGATGAACAATTAATAATCTATTATTACGTGAAAATATCAGAAACTTCTTTGAAATACTTATCTCTACAAGGTATATGCAATGTATGAACATCATAATAATTGTCAATATACATAAAAAAAATTATATTCATAAACTCCTCTGGGTGTTAAGGTTACAGTGTGAGGTGGATTCAAAAAATTGTCAATTTCCTAAGCGTTTAATCAAATTAAAATTTAGTTAATTAATTTTTAACGATTTGAAAGATAAGTCCCTATGTAATTTATTTATCCCAATTAGTCAATATACTTTTCAAAATTTATTTAAGTGAGTTGATATTCCTTTTGAGAACTTTTGTGTCCCTTTGGATTTTTCGGGGTCATTTTGGGTAAATACGCGCCCTGCATTAAAGCGTTCACTTCACCCGAGTTTGTTTTGGTAAAGATGGCGCTGAATTTGTTTTTTTCAATCGCACTTTTTCTTTTATTTTCTTTTACAGTCACATATGCGAGTAACATTGACGGATGTAGAGTAGGGGAACCAGACTGTAAGTATACTTTTATTTGTAGTAGAATTCTCAAACGCACTTAATTTCAGGAAGCAAGTATAACTACATGTATACCATCTATAAAATGATCAGATGATAGGGAAGGATATACGTCCCTAATCCTGGGATAAATCCAGGTCTAGTATACACCATTTACCTATGTAGCTTGAATTACCTTCACACCTTTATTTAGCTATTCAAAATATAATGTTTTAGCTATTTCAATGCAGGTTATCACATTTTTTTAAAATTTTAAAGTAGACAATAACAATATTGTAACAAGCCATATTATAATCATGCAGAAAAAAATAACATCTTTTATTACATTTTCAACAGTGAAATACTGTGATTTATTTTTTGAATAAAAGTGATATTCTCTCACAGTGTGAAAGGATAACAAAATGATATTCTCTCACAGTGTGAAAGGATATCAAAGTAAGTAAAAAATAATTTCTGGCCTGTCATAAGATAGAGATAGTAACTAACCATCTTGATAGAGCTAAAATGGCAAATTTCTTCCCAAATGATTGTTAAAATCCATGCTATGTAATGTTTTCAATCTCACAACTGGTAAGCTATGACGTCTCAACCGCTCAACTATGGCGTCAAGCCTATGACACTGTGTTAAGAAAAGACAGAGGCAAAGGGAAAATCAAAAAAATGTAATAAACAGAACATTCAATGTTTTGTAGATGAATATGGAATTTATTTCACTGGTGAGACAGGATCTTTTGATATTTTCACTCGTGCTTCGCACTCGTGAAAATATAAAAAAAATCCTGTCCCACTCGTGAAATAAATTCCATATATTCATCTACTGAACATTGAATATCCTCTATATATCTACTCCAGCATGGATTCAGAAGTAAAAGATCATGCGAAACACAGTTGCTAGAATGTGTGCACGACTTAACTAGAAATCTGGAAAATGGAAAGCAAAGTGATCTGCTCATTTTAGATTTTTCTAAAGCTTTTGATAAAGTGTCCCATAGCCTACTTCTTCATAAACTACATCACTATGGAATCAGAGGAAACACACATTGTTGTATGGAAGCTTTCCTTTCAAACAGGAGCCAGGTAGTGGTGGTTGAAGGGGAAGAGTCTGATGTTGGTAAGATTGAGTCTGGAGTACCCCAGGGATCAGTCCTAGGCTCGAGTCTATTCCTCTTCTACATAAATGATCTACCAGACCACATAACCTCTACAGTTTGGCTCTTTGCAGATGATACCATAGTATATTTAACTATTTCAACGAATTTAGATTGTCACACCCTTCAAGAAGACCTTGATAAACTCTTTCTTTGGGAAACAAAATGGAAAATAGAATTGCACCCAGATAAATGTACAGTGCTTACAGTTTCAAAAAAGAAAAACCCTATCATTTACAACTATACCCTTCGCAATCATATACTTGTCCATGAAGAATCTACAAAATATCTAGGCTGTACTATAACATCCGATCTAAATTGGGGTCTACATATTTCAAATATCTGTAAGAAGGCAAATAAAACTTTATATAATGATTCCTACAACGCAATCTCCATATATCATCCAGATCAATAAAGGAGAGAGCATACATATCTCTGGTTAGACCGCAGCTGGAATATGCTTCGACAGTTTGGGACCCATACCAAAAAGGCCACATAGATATGTTGGAAAAGGTGCAAAGAAGAGCGGCACAATACGTCATGGGAAATTATAGAAATATATCTAACATAGGAGAAATGATTAAACATCTGGAATGGAAAAATTTTAAAAGTAGAAGGAAAGATGCAAACTTGAATATGATGTATAAGATAATAAACAACAATTGAAAGTAGCCATCAGACCAGAGGACCACTTCACTAAGCCTGTAAGAAGATCGCGGCACACAAAACAACACTCTTTTGCTATACCATCTGCAACCAAGGACTGTAGAAAGTGGTCATTCTTCTGCAAAACTGCGGAAGAATGGAATAGCCTGCCAGAGGACATCACGGCAGCAGAATCACTCGAGATCTTCAAATCTCGAGTGACTAAGAAAGACTAACTTAAATAATCCTTTCTTTTATCGAGTTTTTTAAAAAAAACAACAAATAAACAACCAAAAAAAAAAAAGTTTCTTTTAATCATGCAAACATGCACACACCCAACTGGCAAAATCTTCAACTTGATGAATGCGGCCAGATAGAGGAAGAAGAAGACAAAAATTCCTAAGAGTGTCCCTATTGATATTTTCTATGGACTTTTAACACTGAGCAAAGATAGTCAAAACATTGCTGCTTTTGAACACTTTTGAACAAAAGATGTATTAGCCATAGACTCACGCAGGTGAGTTAAGGCTAGGTATAGGCATTTCTATGCAAATAATCTAATTAAAATGCCTAAGGACTATATCTATTATACAGGGGAAGTTAAAACTTATTGTTTAATACATACTTGGTACCCACGACATGAGATAGCCAGTACACATTATGACGTCATATTATGACGTCATTGTTCTTTACTACACACGATTATAATGGATATCAACAAAAATGCTACGGCGCAAGGGCATGCTCTATTTTATTTAACTGAAACATGGTTTATTTAGAAGCAAAATATTCCAAAGTTTGCTGGAATTGCTGCACAAATATCAACAGCTCAGTTGTATAATTTCTATTTGTGAAGTTTTAAATTGAATAAGGGTAAAAACGTACAGTCCGGTATAAGTTTCCTCAAATTCCGATCAAATGAGAAAATGTCTAGGATTTGTGCAGCAGTTTTATTAATCTATATAATATTCTTCTTAGCATTATACAATTTTTATGTAAAAATAAATAGGGTAATCCCTTGCGCCAATGCTGTTTTGTTGATGTGTTTCATAACCTCCATAGATAAGATCAGTGACGTCATACTATGATTAATCTTAAATGGAACCATCCTCAGTTATTGTAAATTCAAGTTTGCCCCCCCCCCCTTCTCAGCTTACATGTTGAAAAAAGCTCATTTCAAAAATAAGTGTGATAAAGTAGTTAAATAAAGTACAGTCAAACCTGTCATAGCGGTCACCTTTATCCAGCGATCACCTGTCCTATGCGGTCATTTTATTTCCTCCCAATGAATTTTCCTATATAATGTAACTCTATTAAGCTGTCACCTGCGTAATGCGGTCAGCGATCACCAAATTTCACGTAAAATCGCCGTTTTACCTGGTATATAGCGGCCATTTTGTCCAATCACGTGACCAGATCTCGAGTCAGGTGACTCCCAATTTCTGTCATTTATGTAAATAATTGGTCTAGTGTGGCGATGTCTTTGGAAAAATAATTGGCCTGATTAAAACCATTTAAAATATTGAATATTTTATTTTTTTAACAAAACTCAAATAAGGGTGCTAATGAACTAAATGGTTTTCAGGAAAACGAACTTATGAGAATCTTAGATTACGGAATTTGAATCTCATGGTTTAAAACATTCTGATTGATATTTTAAAAAAAACGCATTCTTCTTTATCTAAAAATGGATACAATATTAAGGTGTTTTCCTAATTATTAGTTCACATTTGGCATGCCTAACTCTGATAGGTGTAATTGTGTAAACGCATTGGCAGGCAGTTTTTAACATCTAGGAAACGTATTATTTGTAGAAACCCTAGTTATCTGTTTTGTATACTGAATGTGTCCTGATTATCTCGTGATTTTCAACTGGGTAAGACGACCGTTAGGATTTAATCACGCTTCATTGCTCACAACACCTGTGAATTTGATATCAATTTGTATTGCACACTTCTTTGATCATCTACAAGTAACTCAATTAAGCTTTGTAGGTAATTGAAGCTATGTAGCTAAATAAGGTGGTGATGGTCCCTGACCTGATATAAGAGACATAAATATTTTTTTATGTCTCTTGTTATATACACTGATATATGTATCAGATACAGAGGCTACATGGAAATAAGATTATTCTGAAAAATAATTGTCAAATACAGTCAAACCTCGTTATCTCCAACTTGATGGGATCGAGAAAAAACTTTGAGATACCCGAGGATTCAATATATCAGGGGTAAAATGCTTAAAGAATAAGTGATTGAGACTTCTAAATCACTTTGACATATCCATGGTATTCAAGATATCAGAGTTCGAGATACCGAAGTTCAACTGTATTAAAATTTCAGATAATCTTTACTCCAATAAAGAAGTGCAGTCAAGCAAATTTTCAAAAATGTGTACAGCTGTATGTGCAGCTCTAAGGGTGCATAAATCTATAGAAATCTATAATACATGCCGCCATGTGCTTTTTCCTAGAGGCATGCTTTCTAAATATGACACTCTTGACTTGGATAGTACTTGGATCTTCAGGTTTTATTAGTGTATTATGGGCCATGACTCATGGCTCTGAAGTGCTTTACAATAACTGTTCAGTATTATACTTTATAAAAAAAAATCCTGTATATTATATTTATTATATACTATTATATTATATTAGATACAAGTTTTTGTTTAATACATATAGTAGACTCAGAACTGTATACATGTTTATGTAAACAAGTGAAGGTTTGGGAATTTAGTCAAAGCTGAACATGACTCGTAAATAGGCACACACCATACTAGTATTCCTATCTCCTATGTCAGAACTGCATGGGGTTTATAAATCTTTGCACCTGATTGCTGTTAGCTGGTCACTATGGTTTGTAGTACATGTATATTTTACATTGTCGGATATCCTTTTTGTTAACATTTCATTTCATTCACTGTGCATTAGTATTTATTTCACTTTGTAATGCATTGACCTCTGCAGCTGATATCAAATATCTTTGGTACCATTTTTCCTGACACAGCAGAGGAATACAGAAGTCATTTTTTTCACACACAAGTTAATCACACTGACAAATAAGGAGATGTCCGCTCAGGTAAAATCAGTGAAGCAAAATGCATTGAACCATAAACAAGTCTGAGGATTATATAGGGGCTGGAGAAGCACATGATGGAGGAGAGAAATATGGTGGACAAAGATATTGCTATTCCTTTTAGGAGTCATATTCAGCTTTAACCACTTATTCCCAATAAACTACTTTCAGATATTTGAATTGCAGATTTCAATACATTGTTATCTAAAAAGAAAAATGCTTGACATTTGTTTAAAACGTACAGTTAAACATGGTGAATATAATACTTTTACTACATCAGTCTGTTAAGTTAGTTTCAGCACAGATGATTATAAAACATAAATTTCTTGCTATCATTAACTAATTAAAAAAATGATTGCATTTTTTCCCAAAACAGGATTTTTATCTGTAAACAAAGTATGTAATGATGAATATAAACCAGTGTTGAAAAGAAGTTATTTATTTTACAATTTTAGGTTTTGAATTTAACAATTTAAAAGATCGCACAGTTGACCATGTGATGGAGAAAGATGATGATGAGTTATACTGGAAGATTTTCTGCTTTAAAGGACTTGCAGAGTCAGTCATTTTCTTGTGGGTGAATCCTGTGGTATGTTGAAATTTCAAGTACTGTAGATTCCTTATTTTATGCGAGTACATGTACTTAATATCATGAAAAGACTCATACACATAAAATCACAGGAACATGATTTCATGAATGGAATGTTCACCAATAATTTTAACGTAATTTTATTTCGCGAGTGGTGCTTCACATGAAATTATGAGATAATATATTCCTTACGTATATTAAGGAATCTACAGTATTAAAAGTTATGCATATTTTTAAATTAAAATTCAAAATTCATTAAAATTCATTTTGTTTGATGTACGTGTACTTCAACCCATATTTTTTCAAGTTGGGTAGGTTTTTTTTTTAAAAAAAATTTTTACTGATAAATGTAATGAACCACATATTTACACATTTATTCCTCCATGTTGAGTCCATGATTCTCACTTTAACTTCATTGACAAAAATTCATTTCAGCAAATTGAAAATTTATATAATAAAAGTCTAAATGCTAAAAAGATAATATGTAATTTTCCCGGAAACATTTAAAAAAAAGATTAAATTTAAAATTAAAGTACTGAAAAAATTTATAGAGTAGGGATAATTTTGATGGATTAATCGGAGTACATCAAATAAAACATTTTTATTGTTGGCCTCATGTTCACATTTTTACACATGTATTATGAAATGTTTATATAGTATGTATACATTTCACATGAGTATCAGGCTGTGTTGTGAATTATGACTAAAATTGTGAACACAAAATTGGAAGCATTAGGAAATAGTTGATAAACATGTTCAAAGACAAGAACTCTTTGATGAGAAATTTTAAGCATCAATAAGAATTTTACTGATAAAATAATTCATTTACACAAGTATAAATAGAAGAGAAGTACATGTATATGACCAAAGTCTCCCACCCCCCTCTCACACACTACTTCACTTGTTTTTTGCTAATTTTCTTTCAGTATATCTTCCATGTTCAAATTAATATGTAATATGTATGTAAAAATAACTACCGGTATTGTTGTCTTTAAAGTCACTTGACATTGTAAAAAATGCGGTCTCTATAGGGAAACAGTACCAATTATTTTCCTATAGAATTTTGTACATGTTGTACAAACCTTATGCTCTCTCAGAACTCTACTAATTCAATTTCAGACAAATCCTTGGAATTGTTTATAATTATAAGAAATATTCCAAATGCATTTCAGATGAAGCTTAATTTTAGTCATGTACCAAGCCACTTTAAGACAGTGAGGGGAATAACTGTACAGGAAGTCAAAGATCAGAGGGATTCCTTCAGCCCTGTGTACAGTGTCCTCCAAAAGTTGAGACTGGTTGTTCAGAGAGAGGTGGAAGAAGTACCATTCATTGCCTTTAACCAGAGCTGTATTGGAGTGCAGTCCGACACACCATTCACTGCCAAATTTTTGATCAAAAGTATATTTTTAGCTTTGTTCCTTTCTTTCCTTTATCTTTTTTTAAAAAAAAATACATGTAGCCTTTGTGTACTGGAAATCAAATGAATTTTGTTGTTTATAGAAAATGAAGGGGAAAGGGGAGGGGATGTCATTTCTGTGTAATTATATGTCTTGGATATAATTTATGGGCTTAGAGTAAAAGCTAGATTATAATTTTCCAAAAAATAAATATATATATGTAAATTATTTGCCTTGTTTTAATATTTCCAGACTTGGAGCCCTGGCTTTTAGCCTCTCTAGGATTTGGAATTATTCTCTTCTTATCAGCAGGAAGTTGGAGTCAGTAAGTCTGTTTCAAATCTTCTGAGCCAGAGACTTAGTGAGCTGTTTTAGCTCACCTGAGACAAAGACTCAAGTGAGCTTTTCTGATCAAAGAGCATTTTCTGTTCATCTGTCATCCATAGCGTGTCCTCCTGTTAACTTTTACATTTTTCAACTTCTTCTTTAGCATCATTTGGCTAATTCACCGATCTTACATGTAACACAAAGCATTTGTTGGTAATGGGATTTTAATGGAAGAGCCACACCCTTTTACAAGGGGAAATAATTTAAAAATAGCATAAAATTACTGGTTTCATATAAACTTCTTCCTCTCAATAACCACTGGAATACAAATTACAAAACTTTTGGGAAAGCTTTCTGAATGAGTGTTGATTTAATTTTGTTCAAATCATGTGGTCCCGCATAATATGTCCATGTGTATTCCCTCTATAAAAATAGCCTTTACTAGCAAGCATCTTAAAGGGAAAAAAAGCCAAGCCCAAAGCTGTAATAAGCAAGGAGATCTCAAATTTTGCTCCAAGGGCTTGAGTCCAAGGGCTGGGCTGTTACACAGTATGTAGTGAAAATGCATTTCATCTTTGAAGAATCTTTCTATTTTACAAGGAAGGATCTTAGACATAAAGTACATGGTTTGAACTGTTATCACTATTTATGTAATGAGCAAACACTGCAAAGGTCCCTCAGCTTATTGAATTTTTGAATTTCATGACCCCTGATTCAGAATGAGGCTAAATGTAGTATGTAATATTGAAAATGCATTTCATCCTCTTTGCTGATAGGCATCTGGAGGCAGAGTTGGAGGGGAAAGTTTATTTAAACATTTTATTGGTTCAAGTGTTCTAACAATGCATTGTGGGTACATTGTACATAGAAAACAAACACCGCAGTTACTGACTTTACATTCAAGGCCCATGGACCTGTAAACATGCATATATTTCTTTTTGTTTTGGTTGCAGAAGAGTACATTCTTGATACATCTGTATGCTTATATTTTTAACTTGCAGCAATGTGAAGCTCCACTATGGTTTTGGTGTAGGAGTAGGAGTGATGGCATCCCTTCTCATTGTAGCGTTTGTGCTGAGTAGGATGTTCCCTCAGGTACTACACATACCATCTAGAAATTCAAACGTCATGAAAGCTGTATTGCTGTGTGCAAATTACATGTAAAGAAATAAATCAATTTTTTTGTTTTGCTCAAGGTCTATTTGAATTGCCGTACATCTTTTTTTTTTTATTGAAAAAATAATAAATTTTGGAAAAATGAAAATTTTAATGTTCCAGTTAAAATTTCCTCTAAAATGTCCAAATTTTTTTTTTTTATCAGCCATGTAAGCGAGAGTCAGATGCTTCCAATTTTTTGTTGTTGTTGTTGTTGTTGTTGTTAAAGTTTGTCATGCTTGTAATTTTAATTTGTCATCTGTTTTATTATCTTTTTACATTTATCACCTCTTCACTAGATGAAAAGAGGGGCCAAGTCCCCTTTTAAGAGAGGATTAAAGATATATACTGTAGATCACTAAATTTTCATGATGCCTTATTTTCGCAAGATTGTTGTTTGGTATTTAAAAGCGAAACAAAATTTTCATGAATTTTGGATATAGCTCTATATAATCTTTGATAATATAATTATACTCGAGAATGACATTTTCGCGACTAGATACTTTTGCGTAATTATGCGAAAATAAAGTTCTCATGAATAAAAAGTTATTTACATTATAAAAAAAATAGGATGGGTTCATTAAGGAATCTTGTACTAAAGAATAATTGGGTCAGAAAAAAACTTAATTGAAACACAGGTCTGTAAAAAATTTTATAATATAATAAAATTTTACATAGAATATTCTTTAAAAACTTTCTTCTAAAATGAAGCCATTAACGTGTAGTTCAGATTATTTCATTAAGGGTAAGTCTATTCAAATTATATTTTTGGATGGAATATGTAAATCATATGTTTATGAAAAGAATAAGAACTAGATACTTATTGCCTAGGCAATAACAGGTCTTCTGTTTTCTTGACTTCTTTGAAAAAGAACAACACCATCTTCTCAATAAGATTATTCTAAATAATTAACAAAAGTTATCTCAAGGCTTCCAAAGATATGTAAATACAGATAAAAACAAACGGAATTACTTTTCTGATTTCTTTATGTACTTCGTCATGAATGAAAGTGCTCCAAACGAATAAAATGTTCATTCTACACCTAAATTATTCACAACTGATCATCCCTAAAAGTTTCCATGAAAAACTACTCATGTTTGAGACAACTTCTGGTTTTTTGGTTGGCACTTCTGACGAAAATAATTCGCATGGTCATGGTCTATCTAACATCTGCATTAGCCAAACATTTCTGTAAAAAGAAAAAACTAGAAAAATTCACTTTTTTGCATAGCTTCCTGTCATGACCAGAAGTGACGGCAACGTACGATTTTTACATGATGTAGATAAACTGGTGACTGACTATAAGTTCTGAAAGTTTTAGACTTCAGTCATATACTGTTTTTGAGCAATTAGGTGAACAAAATCTCAATTTGAGGACAGAAAAACATGTGACCAGAAGTGCATTTTCCTAAGATGGTTGACTTCACACCAGACAATTGCAGTCTCAATAACATATGTAAAAATCATTTCAAAAACTTTATCAATAAGTGATATTTTTGGGAAAGTTAAAAATCCCAATTACATAGTTTCTCTCTTATAACCGGAAGTTGTCGTTTTTTTGTTTCCAGTGAGACCAACACATATAGAAACTGTGAAAGAGATTCAATTATATGATGCAAGTTTTATTTAAAAGAGAAAAGTTTAAATTTTTGATTTCTTTGATCACTTCCTGTAACAACTGGAAGTGATGGCTGATGCTATTAACCCAAAGGGTTTTGCCTACTCATTAAGTTCTATTACTCGTATAAGTTTGGTGTCTTAATCTCTTACCGTTTCTGAGATCTTACTTTGACAAGTTCTTATTTTGCGGACAGTAAAACATGCGACCAGAAGTGAATTTTACCAAGATATTTGACGTTACTCTAGACATTTGCAGTCTAAATAACATACCTTAAAATCATTTCAAATACTTCATCTGTAACCGATATTTATGGGAAAGTAAAATACTCAAATTATGTAGTTTTTCGCTTATAACCGGAAGTTGACGTTTCTGTTTCCGTTGGGACCAACATATTTCGAAACTGCAAAACAGATGCAATAATGTGATGCAAGATTTAATTAAAATAAGAAAAGTTGAAATTTTGATTTCTTTGATCACTTCCTGTGACGACTGGAAGTGACGGCTGACGGATTTAAACATATTCCCTAAACCTACTTGTCATGATCTATAATCCCTAAAAGTTTGGTGTCGTAATCTCTTACCATTTCTGAGATATCGTCCGGACATGATCTCTTTTGAAAAAAAGGAAATCGGACATATCTGACGACCAGAAGTGAATTTTGCAAAATCCTTCTGAAGGAAGTACCCCTTTAAAAATAAAGCTACCTAAAGGGGTATTTGATACGGATTTATAGGAAGATAATTATCCCAATTGGCAGTTCACACCTTCGCATGCGATGGTTTGTGTACACTACACAATTGTCAGAAGGTCAAGTGTCAAACATAGGTGACGTTTTCCAGTGTCTCGCGAGCGAGAATGAGAGGAAAATAGCGGCATTTATCGAGAAATTCAAAATACTGTACAAATTTTCATATTCCGTGAATTTTGGTGTCCTGCTGGTACACAATAAATGGGCTCGAAAAACTGTACATTTTGCGTACTGCCGGTACATATCACATGTATGCCTTCAAAATGTTTTTAGTTTGTGTCATTTGTCATGATCCCTGAAAGTTTCAAGAAAATCCATCAAGCCATCTCTGAGAAATCGCTTGGACAAAAAATGGGGAAAAAATAATAATAATACTAAATAATAATAAAAATAAACAGTACAATCACTATAAGGTCTTCCGACTGAAACGGAAGACCTTAAATATATCATTAAAATGTATAAAATATATAAGATAAGGATTAAATCAAATTTTTAGGATATAAATTATTTTTAATCAACATTTTGCATATTCTGAATGTAGATCTTCACAATGTGCATGAAAGAGTACGATGTAAGTATTTTCAATCGATATTTAATTGGGTTAAATGCTTTAAATTAGTTTAGATGGATACTGTGAATTGTTTTTAAAGATGCACTATATATATTTCATAGAGTAATAAGCCCATAGAAGAAATGTGGAATTGATTGAAATACATGTATCTAAATAATGAGAGAATAGTAATAACAAAGACAATTGTATCAAAGACTGAACACTTTGAGAGGTCTTATTTTTGATTGAATAAAATTTAAATTCATAGATAGTACTCAATAAGTTCTAAATTTATGAAAGAAATATATGTATATAGAATCCATTAACATACATGAAGAAATTAATGCAAATATGCAAACTGTGTATATAACTGTAAATATGTAAACTAACCAAATGAACACTCAGTGTATGAAATTAAAAAGAATTACTGTATGTGTACTTAAAAATGCGGGCTTCATATTTAAGTGGCTTTGGCGCAGACAACGATGCGCTAATTCATGAATACTGCTAAGAAATCATTTATATATACAATATACGGCACGGACATGTATAGCGCTAATTCATGATTTCGCCAACAACTCCATACCCAGTGGTTGCACTAAATTTTGAATACGCCAATATATGTACATGTACAGTATATTAAGAGTTTCCTGATACATAAAGTGAAAGAACAGCATAAAATTTATTTTTGTTTAGTTGCAGTAATAATTAACTATATTTAATTAATGGAAAATGCTATGTAAACAATTAAATGCAAATGCCATGAATGTTTAGCAAGGCTGTAACAAAGCCAGGAGACAGTCTTGCTGATTCACTGGAATTCTGTATAATTTTATACAGTTAGTTTCTTCCACTACTCATATCAAATTAATATGCAAGCATTCCCATAAACTCTGAGAGTTTGTTCAGGTTATGTCCAATGGGGCCAGAATTGGACCTCAGTTGTGAACATGGTAAACCTACTTATTTCAGTGGTTATCATATTTTAGCATCTTTCACACTGCTTCCTTTATGCTAATTTAAGTACACTCTAATATTTAATTAAAACAATTGCATTTAAAAGCTTGGCTCCAAATACTCTACTTCATGAATATGCTAATTGATGATGAAGATGTACATTTACAGTAAAAGAAAACTTCATTTTACATAAAAATGTATAGAAGGAAAATTATTTTTAAAATCTTCATCTTGAGACTTAAAACATTGCTGTAATTAGTTGAAATTGTATTCAAATTTCTCTTTTTTTGGTCAGATAATTTTTTTAATGCTATAACTCTTGTAACTACATTGTAAGGTCAAGAAAGATAGTTGTAACAGCTGATATGGAATAAATTGTCAGTGATATTCAATTTTAGTGATCTCAAAACCCTCACTAATAATGCCAAAATTGAATCCTTGCTAAAAAATTCTGCTTGTACGGTATATGCCTTTTTCTGAAACTTTATTTTTTTCAATTTCAGAGCCTTAAGAAACTTGGTTACGTACTGATGGCAATTGGATGTTCTACCTACATGTACTTATGGACATACATTGTACAACACTTCTATGAAACCTCCTCCACTTTGTTTGGCTTGTACTGGCAGTGGATTGTGGGATATGTACTTGTCTCGGCCCTCATCAGTTTTGCCCTTTGTTATCGTTATGGTCCACTGACGGAACCAAGGACACTAAATCTGATCAAGTGGTGTTTACAGTTGATTTCACTGGTGTTTATCTACAACGGTACACAGATTCGAGAGGCATCTGTGGCCATTATTGTAACTTTGATTACTTTGTATAACCTTCCTGCAGGATTATTTGACAACAGATTTACTAGATATATTAGGTAGGTACTTTTTGCCTATAACTGTATGACGTAGTTTTATTTTTGAATTTTTTTTTATATCTTAACCCTACATCCAATAAATAAATCACAAAGATAAGAATTTCTCTTGAATACATTGATAGGTTTGTCGCATAGATAAGTTACTGTATTCATGCATGATACATGTACTTTGAAAATTAGTATTATGTGATCTTACATGGGTTGAAATTCTCAAAAATGACACTCTGCTGTGAACTAAATGTTGCTCTGCTGATCAATAATTTTTAATTTTATATAAACTGGTACATGTATATGTTTGTTTTCAACTTTATTTGCCAGTATTTCATATAAATTGTCCTAATTTCATTAAAAGTTATTAGCTAATGAGATTCTTTGTAAGGTTAGGATTATAAAGGTACACTACTAAATATTGGTTTTACAGGTACAAAATTTTCAAACCCAAGATCAAGTTATTGACTGAACAAGAGTACCAGGAGCAGGGCTTCGAGGAGACGAAGAAAGCCCTGGAGGAACTGAGGAGTTTCTGTCAGAGTCCCGAGTGTAACAAGTGGAAGACCATCAGCTCGCTCAGTAACCCTCGAAGGTTTGTGTATTTAGTATTATCAGGGTCATATTCATTCTGTCCTGAGTGTAATAAGTGGAAGACAATCAGTTCACTCAGAAACCCTCGAAGGTTTGTGTTCTCAGTATTTATCAGCGTCATACTCATTCTGTCCTGTCTGGAAGACAAATCAGCTCACTCGGTAACCCTCAAAGGTCTGTCTTCATAGTGTTTATAAGGGTCATACTCATTCTGTCCAGAGTAAAATACCTGGAATTTACTCAGTGTTTATAAGGGTCATACTCATTCTGTCCAGAGTAAAACACCTGGAATTTACTCAGTGTTTATAAGGGTCATACTCATTCTGTCCAGAGTAAAATACCTGGAAGAGTACTCAGTGTTTATAAGGGTCATTCTCATTCTGTCCAGAGTAAAACACCTGGAAGAGCACTCAGTGTTTATAAGGGTCATACTCATTCTGTCCGGATTAAAACACCTGGAAGAAGTTTTCTTTAACATCATTATTACCATGCCTACAGTATTTGACACTTTCACAGTTTTTTTAATTTTGATTTGCTTTTATCTTGAAGACAATTCAGGCTTTTTAAATCCAGTGCTTTTCACACTCTGCCTTTAGTGCAATAAAAATAGTGAGGTAACCAAAGTTCCGATTGTAGCTGGGTCCACTCTAGGACTTAATTCATATTCCCAGATCAAATTCACTTGGCACAACAATCTCTCAGGATATGTTTAAAGGTTGACTCTTCATGAACTCTAAGTCTTAATGTCTTGTTCTATGGAGAGTGGTGGGGATAACATTAAAAAGAATATTGTGATTGATGAGTATTTTACTGTAAGTTGTATATGTATATTTTTTCGGTTTACATGTGCATGTACTAAGTAGACATTTTCTTTCCTAGTCTCCAACGGTGACCATTTTGTTTATGATCACGGTTACACTTTCATAAAACAAGGTCACCTGCAGCTGTAGGCAACACACTTTTGTAAACATTTTCATTCATTAATAATTCTGTTTTTCTTAAAAATATGTCAAGTAACTGAAAAAAGAATATTTCAAATATCTTGATAATCCTGCATTATAAAACAATTTTCTTGACAGATTTGCTGATTTTGTGGAGGGTAGATCCTGGCACGTGACAGACGACGAGCTGTTGGAGTATGACAGCGGACCAGATGTGACTCCTGTCACAGATGAAGACAGTGATCAGGAAACGCAGAACGTAAACGTAGAAAACAGTTCACCAGACTCCTCACAGGGACTCGTCCCCGAGATAGACTCGGAAGAGGAGGATCGAGGCGAGACGTCCGATCAGAGTATAGACGGTCCTCCATTGTCCTGATAGAGTTCATCACACGTAGAGAACCCGGTAGCTTAGATTTAAGAAAAAAAATTGATTAAATTTTCAAGTTTGTTGTGAAAGGAAACTTGAAGATTTATCCAGTGAAAATACTCATGCTTAAATATGGAAACCATGACAAAGTTTGCGGTTATGTTCCTAGAATTATAAGCTGTGGTATAAATTGTCTTTGATGAAACATTGACTGTGTATTTGTGAGTTCTAGTTTTGAAATTATGACAGTAGATTTTATGGGAATTTTATTTTTTCCCATTAATTTTAAATGGTTGGTGTGTATATTAGTTTATAGAATGAGATACAGTGTAGATATGAGTATTGGAAGTTGACATCTTCTGTAGACATGATTTGGAGTTGATTATGGAACTCAAGAATATTTGTTGTATTGGAACTTCAGATTGTTTTTTTTATGGCGTCGACCGAAGGTCGAAAGCCAACTAGGGATCGTCACTGGCTTTACGCAACAATCGGCAATCCTCGGTTAATTCCATACAAATGTACAAGGTACGAGCCATGCGAGGAGCTCCGAGTGTTTACGCAACCAAAGGTGTCAGTCGATGCATCCACAAAAGAAAATAGAGCATATCAAAATGAATTCAAAATAGAATTGCATTACGTATATCCACAATTAATTTTGATAAAAATAGAGATATTGTGTTTATTGTAACAAAAGAAAAAGTGGCGACCTTCCTGAAAGTTGCTGCGGATTAATTTCTACACATCATGTATAGCGATGCGTTGAATTACATTAATCATCGAAAGCCATGAAAAAAAAGAAAATAAACAGCAAAGCGGTAAAATAATCACGAAACTATTTTAATGGACAAATAAGAAGTTTAAACTAACTGACTTTAAAGATCAATCTTTAGCCTTACAATTTTACAACCAGCAGATTTTATCGTAAACATCGAAGGGTCGA